GTTTGTTTTAACCATTTCCAGAAAAAAATGATTCTTTTTTAGTATTTTTTGTTTCTTCATATTTAATGGACTAATTTATATACTATATGTATAAAAAACAAACTGTAATTTATTTTATGCAAAGCAACTTAGAATTAAGCATTTAAGGTATTTTACAAAAGTCGAGTTAATATGACATCATTTAGAATCGCCATTTTGAGGTAATTAACACATTTCAAATTTAAACGACTGTAAATTTTTCGAACTAAAGTGATAAAATTAGTGTTCTTTTGGCATTTTACATAGGTTGTACTACGCTCGGTAAGATATTCACAAATCCTTTCTCCTATGTAAACGACATAAAGAAATAATTTGAAGAAAAAAATGAATATCCGCCATTTTGAATCGCCATTTTGACTTATAACTTACAGCTGCACCATCATTTAATTGTAGAATAGTGAGATGCAGAGGAAAAAATACAAATCTACAGTGTATGGATATTTGCAAATGAAAAATCCTGAACAAAGCAGAATATAGAACAATAGACAAATTAATCAGAGAAAATTCGAATTAAGTGTAAAAACGACTAAGTTTTCTGAGTTAAACTAATAATGTTAGCATTCTATTATCCTTTTTATAGTTTTATTACACTCAGTTAGATATTCACTCATTACTTCTCTATTTTGAACGACATTAAGAGAAAAATAGAAAAATTGGATGTCCGCCATTTTGAATCGCCATTTTGACCTCTTTAACGCCATTTTCATGAAGGCCAGCATATTTTTTCGGATTCAGCATACTCAAATTAGGTTAAAAAACTATGCTGGACCAAATAATAATTATTTGCCGTTAGAAGTATTTTTTTCTATAAATCGGACCAGACTAAAGTATTTTATATTGACTTCTGTATTGGACAGGGAGCCAGTGGAGATCTTTCAAGATTGGAGTCACGTGATCAGATTTCCTGGTACGAGTTATCAGCCGCGCAGCAGTATTTTGGACTTTCTGGAGTTTATTCACAAGTTACTTATTTATGCCATACATCAACGAGTTTGCATAATCGAGTCGGGAAGTCACAAGTGAATTTATCAAAGTTTTACATGCGTCGTCTGTGATGTACGGACGGATGCGACCGATTTTCCGGATATTATTGAAGCATGTTCTAACTATTGAACTGCAGATTTTCTCCATACTTAGAGTCTGGTCGAAAAAGGCTCCAAGGTTCTTCACAAAAGGAGAGTCACTAATTGAGCTCTCTCCAAAAACAAGATTGAATGTAGAAACGTCTTTTATTTTATGTTTTGGACAAAAGAACATCAATTCAGTCTTTTCATGATTTAACTTTAAAAGATTGGTGCACATCCATAATTTTAAGTTGACAAGACAAGCACTGAGAGAAGAAGCCACATTATTCAAGTCTTCGTTTGGCTCAATAACGAGATATATTTGGGTATTATCTGCATAGCAGTGATACCGCATTTTATGACGCTTGCATATATTTCCTATAGGTTTCGAAAACAAACAGTACAACCGGGGTCCAAGAACAGAGCCCTGAGGCACACCGATTTCAAGCGATTCCGCATTTGATAAGGTTGCACCTATCGAAACTCTCTGACTCCTGTCAGTTAAATAGGACTTTATCCATGACAGCACAGAACCGGATATCCCGTATGAGTATTCAAGACGATGGAAAAGAATCTGGTGGTCTATAACATCGAACGCGGCCGACAGATCGAGCATGACATGAATTAGAGCCCTCATATCTGTGTCATATCGTTGTGCGAGTTCATCAGGTGATAAATCACGATGATATTTCGATAATGAAGTTATGACATCTTCTCCGAATTTATCAATAGCAATGTTTTTGAGTTTCCTAAACGATACAGATTTCCGCATTTTAGGTGGTTTAGACAGACATAGCGATGAATATATTCCTTTATGATCAACTGTAGATAAGCCCCGCAAATCAGAAAGAAAATGGTCGTCAACAGTAGGGGGATTCGTCAAAATATGACTATTTTCACGTGTAATAACGAAGTCCAATGTATGCCCATGCTTATGAGTTGGAGCGGATATGTGTTGCACAAGACCATACTCTTGGAGCATCGCATGGAATTGTCTGGAAGTCGGATGGTCAGATTTTTCGAGATGCAAATTGATATCACCTGTCATGAACAGTTCCTCCGGTGCGATGACATGCTGATTCAAATATAAGGACCATTCATCGAAAAAATCTCGCATTTTCAGATTGTTTGTTTTTGATATACATGTAGGTGGGCGGTAAACAATGCAGATGCGAGAATTTGTTGCACGAGAAGAAATGATACAATCAAGATGTTCAAAATGTGAAAATTCAGTGTCTGACTTAATTTGTTCTACCTTAATATTTTTGCTAAAAATCATTGCAACCCCTCCTCCTTTTCGATTTGTTCTAGGTATGTGAATACCTTTGTATCCCTCTGGTACTAGCTCTTGCAATATCACTACCCAGCCAATTTTCAGTGATAGCCATTATGTCAATTTTGTTTGAAACTATGATATCAGAAATAGCAAGAGTCTTATTCTTTACAGATCTACAATTCATAGTTAACAGTTTTATGGTTAACGATTCGTTAAGTATAGTTAACGATTTGTTAAGTATAGTTTTCATCTGTAAAACTATATTTAACGGTCGTTAACTATAGTTTACGAATGCTAATCTAAGTTTATCTGTCTGAATAAAGCGTTAACAATAGATTTTGTTGATAAACATAGATTCACGTTTGTAAACTATAGTTTACAATCGTAAACTATAGTTAAGAGTTGTTAATCATAGTTTCACAAATCGTGAAACTATATTTATCAAATCGTTAACTATAGTTAACGGTTTGTAAACTATAGTTTACAAATCGTGAAACTGTATTATCAGATAATCTATGTTTTGCGATCGCAAATGATTGTTTTCGATGTCAAGTATAGTTTACGGTTGTGAAATATAGATTATCGCGTTAACTATGGTTTACGGATGTAAAATATAGATTAACGTCGTTAACTATAGTTTACAGTCCGTAAACTATAGTTTACAACCGATAAACCTAGTTTATCGACTATGAAACTATGTTTTGCTCATTTTTGTGGATTTGGCGTGCCATAGATGTCCGCTCATCTGTTACACTTTGAAGTACCATCTCTTATAATCGGCAACTTCTCTTATACCACTGAATGAAATTCTAATGAAACGATCACAGAATTTTTGTCACATAGTTCCATTCTGACCTCCTATTTTACTTTTTGATCCCAGTTTTATTTTTGATCTGAAATGTATTTTGTGTTTCACATAGCAAACCATGAGCACGGCCATTCTTTCTATATTATTGAAGGGTAATTATCTCTTATCGGCAACACCTCCTATGCCACAGAATAAAATTTTATATCACAGATTATTTATTATACCCCCGCTTGAAAAGAAGAAAGAAGAAAAGCAGGGACCTACCTGTATATACTTAGTATATGTCCCTGGTATTAGTGATCGGGATGTCCATCTGTCCAACTGTCCATCTGTCTGTCCCTAACGCTTAAGGATACTTATCTCTTATCCGCAACCCCTCTTGAACTACTCATTAAAATTTAATGAAACTTTCACAGAATCCTTATTACATAGTGTCACTGTACACCTATTTTACTTTTTTGGTCCGACACATATTTGGGGTTTCCCAGAGCAAAACATGGGCACGGCCATTTTTTCTATGATATTGAAGGGTACCCAACTCTTATCCGCAACTTCTCCTATACCACTGAATATAATTTAATTATACTTTCACAGATTCTTTATTACATAGATCCAATGCCATTCTGCACTTTAAAGTCTAGTTTTTGATCTGATATTTTTTCGCATCTCCCAGAGCAAATCATGAAGTTTGCCATAATCATCTGGGAGGCAGAGCGTATCATTTAGTAGGCTCACTACTCAGAGTACCTCTAGTTATTACATAATGCCATTGTGTACCTCCTTTTTTACTTTTTGATCTGTCACTTATTTTGGGTCTCCCGTAGCTGCAGAACTGTAGCTCTCTGAAAAAATATATATTGATAGACTGGAGAGTTACAGTGCCACCCATTGGAAAAAACTGTATATTTATTGCGCACAAAAAAGTGCACCGTTTCTCGATTTATTTATCCATGTTTTTAAAACTGTCATTTCAAAATATTACTAACCGTGTGTCCCTAACATATTCTTTCACTGTTTCCACAACAAAACATTCCTTATAATTGTTTTTAATAGCCCTCCTGGTGCTGAAATTGAGATCATCGAAATTTCGCCTATTTATACTGCCACATTGGTTTGCAAGATAATTTGATCTAACGCGCTTCGTACAGATGTAAACTAGAAAAGTAATCCATAGACGAGTAAGGACTTTATTGAAATCTAGCTTTTTTTTTTGCAATTGAGGAAAGAACTTAGGAAAGTAATCCAGAAATAGTGCACTTTTTTGTGCGCAATAAATATACAATTTTTTCAATGGTTGGCACTGTAGCTTTCCGGTCTATCAATATAATATATTTTTTCGGAGAACTACAGCTCTGCAGCTAGGTCTCCCAAAGCAAAGCATGGACTTTGTCATATAATTATATGTAAGGCAAATTTGGCCCATATTCTATCGTAACAACTAACAAAAGCATGAGCTCTTGAGCCTTCATCTCAGAAGAGCTAATGTCTTGTTAATATGAGTTTTTGGTTATTTTAACTTTCATCAAGTCACCATGCTGTTTATTTTCCACTCAAGATCATGGATTTTTAATGAAATGGCATTAGCCATGGATATCGGCCCATGTAGCTCAGTTGGTGGAGCACCTGACTAGTGATGCAAAGACCCCAAGTTCCATTACTAATCCAGCCATATACTTTTTCCTCTCCTGTTACACTTAAAATTTCTTGGATAGATCCATGTGATTCATTAGCATTTATAATTACTTTCATTAAAAAATTGTTCAACGTTATAAAATTCTGATCTAATTTCTAAAGCATAAAAATTAAGACAAAATAGGTTATAACTGTTTATTTCCTATATTTACACTGTATCCATACTCTGTACATTTTGAGTTGCCTCCCTCTATTGACTTGAAGTCGTCTGTCTATGTGGTTCTGTTCTTCTGTTAAACCTGCTTTTTTCATCATATCTCTTAGTTCCTCTGAAAATTCATCATTTTTGTCATAAATATTTAACTTCAGGTTATATAAACACATGTACTAGAAGTTTTGAGACTGTACAAGTCACTTATGGACCTTGTTTCTCTGAATATGATCAACCACATATGTGCCTCATATTGAATATACAAGTGAATGGCCAATTTTTAGTTCCTCTGAGACTTTAACAAGTATCCATAGGGTATTAATTTTTGCCAAAGGCTTATTGCTAATACATAATTATAATCAGAAAGAAAGAAAGAACTGTAACACAGGTGTGCCATCTCTTGCTTAATCAATACATGTGTCAATTTAAATACATTGTAAAAATAAATGTGCAAATATGTTTTGATACAAAAGTAAGCCAGTAGCTCTGGGAGAAAAAAAATTAATGAGGTTTACATCAGACAATTTAAATGTATGATTACATTATTTAATAATGAAAATTGGAAATGTTACCTTGTGTGAAGAAATAAACTCTTGTGCCATCTCCTCGAACATAGAAATTTTCAGACAGACAGTGACCTGAAATAAAACAGAATATTCAGATGTGTGCTTGCACCATTCTGATATTTGTCAGTTAGATTTTCAACCTAATACTTGTTCATGAGAAACTACTTGAAGATCTATAGCTTTCTAGTCATCCATCTTAATCTTTTTTATACCAGCTAGTAAAAGATCTGCAGCTAGTGAAAAACGCTTCCTCTGTCTGTAGTTGTTCATAATTTGCCATTCACTTTTGGAATAATTCAGCAGATAGTAAGAATACTAAGGAGTGGGAAAATAAAATGGTGGTTTTTATGTCATGATGTACCATCAAAATATAACCAAAGTCATAAAGATTATTTTAAATCCCTCAATTAAAAAGATTTTGTGACAAAACAAAGGCCTACTGTAAGTTCCTAAATATACGCGTGGAATTAATTATCGCGTAATTTCGCGAGAAGCACCACACACGAAATAAAATTACTCGCTTTTGTTTTAATGATGCTCAAATCTATGTAAAATCTCTTGATCAACCGTCCATTCGCAAATTATTATTCTCGCGATTTGCCGTGGAAGAGCCCATTTGCGATAATAAGTACTCGCGAAAAATAAGGAACCTACAGTATATTGTGAAATTAAAATCATCATAAATGGTACCCTTGAAACTAAACATGTTTTAGCACCATGGAATTAAAATGACTTCCAGTGAACTTGCTAGAAAAAGAAGGGTAGAATAATTCATTCATGAATGAAGCATCAAAGAAATGAATTTGAAAATGTTCATACTTGAGTCAGCTTTTTGACATTACAGGAGCTAGTTACATATTGGTGTGGTTATGTATTTCTTTCTACATCCAAAGTATAAAAGTGAAGTTGTATAACAATTCTGGGTCATTTGCTCATATTATGGAAAATCACTTACCCCATTTACAGATCACAGAAAAAGAATTCATATAATAAAGGCAGAAAATTAATTAAAAATCAAAACATTTAATAGATTCAAATTAATTTAAGTGAATACTGTAAAATCACAAATTTTCGTGGGGTCAAATTTTCATGGTTTGAGGAAAATATCTTGGTTGATTTCGTGGATCAAGAATTAATGATTACTTATATATGTAACATTTTACATTTCGTGGTGGACATGAATTTGGGGTCTCGTCATACCTCGAAAACAACAAAAATTAAACCCCCATGAAAATTTGTGATTTCACAGTATTAGTTCCACAATATTTACCTTTTTTAAAACGTAACTGAGCCATATCATATCTCCCATAATCCCTGAACAGAATTCTTCCTCCAGGTTTCAGAAGCTGAGAGAGGCGATTCAATACATACTGCATCCTGAAAGTAAAAATAGACCTCAAGGTACAATCTCCACACAATCTTGTCCCACAGATTCTTTTTTGATGCACTTTTATAAAATTTTATAAATATATTGTATTTCTAATTAAGTATTTGCCCTGTGCTCTTATCTGATGTTCATGCTTTCAAGATGGCTACCTACTTGTCTGGGTGGATTGCTGATAACACAAATATCAGAATCACAACATCTAGTGATTGGTCAGGGACCGGTATCACGGCGCTCTCGTCTGTGATGTCACATACAAAGGCATGACACGTGTCTGGGTTATAGTCTGCATGCTCCTAAAATGTCAAGCATTCTGGTCTCTGAATCATTCTACATAAATCTGCATAAGTTAAATGCTTAAAAAATTAAATAATGTTTTCATTGGTTTTACATAATATGCTATGAATTGATCACTGTATTGAAAAGTAGATGTTCTTTCTTAAAAATTATTTCAATGTGTTGCACACATGAAATCCTTTTTATAAAAGAAGATGGTGGCTATACGTCTCCACATATGGTATGCTCTCATGTACATTACTTACATGTATTTTAAACAGAATTTGTGTTTCTTAGACATTTAAAGATAAGCAAAGTAATCACCTTCACAAGCTGGACAGCAGTGGAGGAGAAGTCACAACAGTACACCATCAGGTCAGGATCACTACAAGAAGAAGAAAATTTGTAATTCCACAGTCCAAAGCATCCTCATCTCTCAAATCTTATTGAAATAAGAATTAAAAAAAAGAGTTTGTGTGTGATCAATTACTTCTGCCTTCTTGTAAAACCTTGAGTTACTGAAGAAGTACTTTTTTCCGTGTGATATTATTTTACGCTATGTACGCGGTCACAAATTTTCTGCGGAAATTCATCCAAGCTAACTTACTATTAATGTAAGGCATATAGTGACAGTTTTTAAGAAATCCGTGTAATTTTCTACCAGCCGATTAAACAGAAATTGTGATTCCGCAGAATTATGACCCTGCGGAAAAAAGTACGTCTACAGTAATCTTGATCACAGTCTTTTCATGCTTTAGCAGGTTATTGACATAGGTCGACATTTAAACAAGATGGCAGTGAAACCGGGGTATAATTCATCCGTTTTCAGAAAATCTTGGACTCTTATTTTAAAAAGGTTCATTCCAAATTAAATCATATTCAAAGGGCAAATGTGGCAAATCCTATGTTTTGCTTTAGAAAATTAAGTACTGAAAAAACTGTGATCAGGATGTGTTTTTCAATGGTAGAAAAAAATTGTGAAAAACAATGGCTTTTTTCTTACTTATTTGTTTGCAAGACAGGAAAGACTGTATTTCCCACTCCACATCCAACCTGCAAGCACAATATTTTTACATGATGTTTGCTACCATTTTCAAGTTTTTTTTTTTTAAAAGATCAATAGATTTTACACCAGGGAATAGAATTTTAAAAAAAAATTAAACCTCAAGACTTTTAATACATGTGTACGCTCGTATGTCCATAAATGTATGAAGTAGCTGGATCATCTTTGGCATTTAAAAAGAATAATTATAACAAAAACCTGTTGAAATGTCTAGTGAAGAACAAAGAAACAGATTCATGCATTACCTCCAGAATTCTCCTTTTTGCTCTGTGACCTGGAAATTCCTGACCAACTCTTACACTTTCAATATCCTCATTGCATTTTCCATCAGGACCCAGCTCTGGAAATTCTGTGAACAACCAGTGTCGATCCTTAAAGAATCGATTCTGGTGAATCTGGTAAAACTTGTCCCAGTAGTCATCGGCAAGGTCCTCATACTCTTCTGTTAAAAAATAAACACTTCACCAGTAACCCACAGATCACTACACTAACCTGAGTCATACTGGCTCTCTTTGTCAAATTAATATAGTGTCAAAAATACAATATGGGTCCAAAATTTAGAATAACACCATATCCAAAAATTCCTTGATACATGTATTCATTTTATATTCCTATATGAAACTTGAAGCATTGTGAGCAATGAGCTAACAAAATGATACCCCCTGCCTCCCATGTAATTACAATGGCCAAGTCCATGTTTTGTTAGGGAAGACCAGAAATATGTGTCTGATCAAAAAATAAACAAGCTAATTCAGAGAATTGTGTTCCCCACTTTAGGAAAAATGAAGAACATGTGCGGATCTAGGGGGATCAATGGGGGGCACTTTAAGTAGAGCGGGCATGCTATAGGGAGTTATGGTATAAAATTTAACTGCAAAAACTTGAGATATCGCCCAGAAATGAAATTTTACACACACACAGAATGTATGAATTTACGATCTTGACCTTTGACCTTTTGTCCTAAAAATAAATATTAGTCTTCCTTACGCCATAATGAGTTGTGGTATAAAATGCCATTGCAAAAGTTCACAAGCTTCAACAGATATCACATGGAAACAAAAGCGTTAAAACAGGCAGAATATTTGACCTTGAACTTATCATATGACTTTGACCTTTTGACCTCAAAATCAATAAGGATCTTTCTTAAATCATAGGGAGTTGTTGTGTAAAATTTCAAAGCAAAAGCTCAAAGGGTTCTCGGGATATCGCGTGGAAACAAAAGTGTTACAGACAGACAGAACTACAGAAAGACAAACAGCTAGACAGACTGAAGGATGAACAGATCAAAATTAATATCCCCCACTTTCAGCAGGGGACAAATAGGAGGTGTACAATGACACTACATAATAAAGATTCTGTGAAGTCTCATTAAATTTCATTCAGCAGAGGAGTTGCAGATAAGAGATGAGTACCCCAAAGCGTAATGGACTTGAGCATTCGGCTCAGGTGAGCTAATAAAAAAACTTGGATTCATCAGCCATGACATACCTTGTTTCTCTGGAGGCAGTGCTGTTGTTAACTGCTCCTGAGTCTTCTTTTTGGCACTGATCTCTTGTTCTTCATCCCACTCCACGTTATCCCTAAATTACAACTATTTACATCATTCTCTATATTGAATAACTGGAATAACTATTTCTGGATAGTCTCAAAAAACAAGGTGAAATTATTTTTCTAAGCTTGTATTATACAAATTTAAAATTACTTTGATATATGGTTCAAAGATGCTTTGTGCAAGTAGAAGAATATGTAAAGATTTGTACAATTTTGATAAATGCTTTTAGCTATAAAAGATTGATAATTTAAGTTTTTCACTTTCAAAGTATTGGTATCATTAACTTTTCTGTACAGTGCTCTTGTTATAAAATAATAATTGAATGACAAGCTATTTATTATTAATCAAAGTACTCAGAAGTACAGAGAGCCGGGCTCATTTACAGAGTAGAATGGATTTCTTACATGAATCACGTTTATATTCTGATGAAAAAATTATTTTAAAACTATCAATATAAATGATAAGACACTGACAGTGAGTTTTTCAACCCTAATACCACGGTCCGATTTTGTCAGAATCATTAATTTGGTACCGCATGAATGTAAACAAACAGGCCAGTCTGGTTCCCTCTCCTGCTTTACCTCGTATGTGTAGAGAACTACGGTAACACTGATTATCAAAAATCCTTAATACGCTAATGACCTATGTTCTTTGACTTATGAAGTTTTCAAAGTCATTACTACAAATGTTTATTTTATATAAATAAAACTTCGTTTTATTTTTGTTGCTTTATTTAGCATTTGTATTATATCTCAAAAGCGGTTGAGAGTATAAGAACTATATTTTTGCACATAACTTTAAAATGGCGACTATTGGGTTAACATCCTGCCTTGAACAGGATCACATAAGCCGGCAATTGCTCTCTGAGCAATAAGACCGGCTAAAAAGGAAGCAGTGCCATCATACCATGCATTGTGCTGAAAGACATCTTCTGGATTAGTCAGGAGTCGTCCCCCAAACTGGGGTCGTTTGTCCTCCTCGCTCCCTGATTTTGGACTTCCTGCTTGATCAGACATTGATTCAGCCATTAGTGGTGAACATACAGATTTACGAAGTGGTAAAACTCTACGCATACAGGTATAAAGTCTACTTCTTAAGATCCTTCCTTGTCTTATCAGCATCACCTACAATTAGAAGTTCTTTGAATAAAGCAGCGGTATAGTAATTTTTAGTCAGTAAGCTCTATATCATTTGCACCTCTTGTCTGACGTCAAACTTGTGTGATGGGTCGGAGACCCTTTACAAGTAAAGAAGTAGAAGAAGGCCTAGAAGTTTTCGCAACCAAAGGGGTTTGTTAGCCCCTCTGATTTAACTAAGACAATAGTTCAAAATACCTGTGCATCGCTGGGATCTGACGATAGTAATGGTGTAAGTCCTTTCTCTTTACATACAGCGAAACATAATGATAATAGAACAATTTTCACGATAATAAATGTCTTCAGGACTGAAGCACGTTTTGTAAACAAACTATTCAATGTCAAATTCAGTCTTGAACCTAATTTTTGGACACCTTATGAAAAAAAACGCTAAAGTGACAATAAGTCTAAAAGTAAAACACGTCATTGAATCCGGAAAACCCCTTTGAACAGAAGCTGCAAATGTCAACAAAAAGTGAGAAAACATCTTAATCATGAATTTACGTTAGAGAAATACTGAAGGACGTTGAAGGAAAATAAGTACTCCATATTCAAACACAGTAAAAGCATATTCAGCCTGAAATTTAAACAACAATGTGCATAGCATTGTTAGCGTAATTAATTGCTCTTACCAGTAACTGTGTGTATAGTTTTACTGAAATATTGAATTTCTAAGTAGTTTGACTATGCCTTTTAAATGATACTTTGTTTTTACATTAAGTAGGTAAGAGAAGTCACAGTCATGTGCATGATTTGAATACTAAAATTTTTAGAGAAAAAATCTTTAAATTACAGAGGTTAATTTACATTTTAACATAATGAAATATCCTACAGGTTGAGCTCTGGTTGTTATGTATGTATCTGGTTCAGGTATAGACAAAACATCACTATAAGTTATACCTCTTGTATCCAGAGCATGAATATAAGAATCATGATCATGATGATTACTGCTTAACAATTGCAGTAAATTAAACGTACACGCTTATAAAGCAAAGTGTCAGGGATGACTGCAATTTTGATTCATTACAAAGGTAATTACCATTATAACAAATCAAAATTCCAGCCATCCCTGACACTTGCTTTACTGTAATTCACTAATTTTATTAGCCCCTGATAGCATGGCGAGGACTGGTGCAGTCAGGCAGGTACGTTTCATTGCCAGACTGGCCATGCAGTTTAATCTTAATTGTCTAAAATTATTGGCTTACCTTTGAGCAGGCTTAAAAGGCCAAATTTTACACCCATCAAGAAAACGCGCTATAAGGTACTGTGTAGGCTGCATGCAGATTCATTCAAGGAGCCAGAATTTAATCTAGCTGGTCCATCACATTTTTCTCCTTTTTTGTTTAATTATAATTGGTGCCGTGGAAGTGACAGCTAGGTGCTCGAAGGACATTACTGTTGAACCTGCCAATAGTGAACTGAGCTTTAACAGATCGAGGAATGTGGTGATAAGCAGGTTTAATATTGGAACTGGGTCTTTCTTCTGACTTGCATGCAATGCAATGGATATTGTTTTTAAGCCCTAGCTGTTTGTGCACCATAGTGCATGCATATGACTTTCATTAAAATTCCATTCAAGAAGTGTTTCATCACAATTCAAGGATCTTGATTTAGCTTGATATGGTTTGAATTACAGTAGCTAAAATGCTTTATTTAGCTATTGAAAGAATATTTTGTACCAAGAAATACAACAATAAACGAGCAGCTTAGTCTATATGCCATAAAAATGTTCTAAAAACTACCTCTTACTTACAAAGGATATATAGGTCTATAAGTCATTTGCACATAAGTATAAATTTATGTAACTTTTTATTATACTTTCTGCCATTAAAGTATGAATAAATTTATTTTTAAAAAATAAGAAAAAAATTATTTTAAAAAATAAGAAATGATTTTAAAAAAGAAGGATACTACATGTATTGGTATAATTAAATGGAAAACTGTTTTATATCTCAGTCAGTCTTAGCTAGCAAGCTCACCTTATGCGTGACCATTCATAATTAACCATGATGTATTTATATGCTTATAATATGAATTCTAGATGCAATAAAATTAATCTTGTATTCAAGTCAGGAACTTCAACTTTTTTATCAGATATTAGTCTTACAGTGCTTGATTGTTTTTCTCTCTTGTGTGAAAAGTGAATCTTTTTTGTTGACCTTCCAGCTTAACTATAAGTGGATAATATGTTCATGTGCATGATGTATAGAAAATGAAGTATCGTTAATACATCAATATGATTGTATTGATTTTCAATATGAATAACGCAAATTATGAGAATAATTATATCAATGGGGAGAAAAATCTGGCATTTGTTTTTGATTCTGATCAGGATACTACAGATCAGAAACAAGCAACAAAACAAACTGAGAAGGATGCTGGTAATATATTTCTATAGGATAATAATATCTAAAGTCAACTCAAAATATGCATATTTTTTATTAGTTAACTACTAATCCACTTTTTTAGCAATTCATCTTAAAAGTACAAATTTAGATAACTGATATAAACACAAATAAAAAAAATAAATCTCTTCATTTATATTTTCCTTTTCAGAGCACAAGCTTGAGAGGAAAACGAAGATCTATGTATTTATCAGCCATTTTATGTCAGCATGGGTATGTATTATTCTTTCTCTTTCCTTCCTTAACTAATCTTTGATCTGATTAAAAAAGTTTGACAATTATTGACTATTTTACAGGGAGACACATACAATTATTGACTATATCAGCAGGGAGACACATACAATTGTTGACTATATTTACAGGAAGACACATACAATTAACAACTATATTATCATGGAGACACATATAATTAATGACTATATTTACAGGGAGACCGTATGTGGTCCTTTGGGGTGGGGCTTTTCCTCATCAGCCTGGCCCCTGACTCCCTTCAGCTGCCCGCAATCTATGGATTCTCCTCCGGAGGGGCCACACTCCTCTTCGCGGGGCTTGTGGGATACTGGGTTGACAACACCCCTCGACTTACAGGTAATGTTACAAACAGAAATGAAGATAACATAACATTCTTCAGCAAAATCATGAAAAGTAACTACAGTGTTTTTCTGAATGTATGCCTTCCATGGAAATGATCTTTAAAATTTGTTTTAAAAATATGACTTGTGATTTTACTGTTGCCAATGAAGGCCCAAGTATTGTCCCTTTCCCTTTCAATCATCATGATCTTAAAGTTAAAGAATTTTTTCCAGATGGACTTTTTCTTGTCTCCTTAATAAACATTGTATTTTATCACCTTTATATTGTCTTCTCCACAGCGGCTCGGGTTTCCCTGGTGATACAGAACCTCCTGGTCGTGTTGTGTGCTGCAGTGGTTTTCTGTGTGTTCTTCTTTGGACTACACCAAGAAAATGCTTCAGTCTCTGATGTCTTGATTCATGTAAGAAATAAACTGCTATTTCTACTTGATACAAGGTTATTAAAACACTTGATTAAGCTTGAAGTCTTTAATTTGAAAAAAGAGTAATTTGAGATGCTTACAGTAATTATCAATTGCCTGTCTTAGAAAATGAATAAAGTGTGAATAAAGACTTTCTTTAGTTGTTCATTCTTTAATACGATTCCTTTGTAGGGAGGCAGAGGTGTAATTATTGTGTTGTCCATTCTGGCAGGCTTAGCCAGTATAGCCATGAAGATTGCTATTGAGAAGGACTGGGTGGTGGAAATCTGTGGTCGAGACAAAGACATGCTGGCCTGTAAGTCTGAACACAACATACATGTTTGATAAAATTTTACCAGGTATTTTTCACACTGATGCTGCCTAGTGCTACCTAATCAGCGCTATTATCCAACAATGTGTTTTTTGTCAATTATTTCGCATATTTGATGTGTGAGAATCCAATGTTTTCAGTATGTGCTACGTACATATTCAGCCAAATTTTTAACATTAAATATACATGCACAGACAAATCATTATTCTTTCTCAGTGGGCAGGGAATTCCACAATGTAGATGAAATATTTTTTCGTCATTTAAAATAATTGCTAAATCGATTGTAATTTGACTACATATGATAAAGCAGAGTTTTATTACTTGCAGCAATGACATCAAAGCTAAGGGCCATTGACCTTTGCACCCAGATTTTGGCCCCAGTCCTTACAGGTCAGGTCATGACCTGGTTAGGGATCCAGTATGGGGCTGTTCTGATTGGTGTTTGGAATCTAATGTCTGTGTTTGTGGAATATTATCTCATTCTTAAAGTTTACCAAGAAGTTCCTGCTCTAAAAAACAAAATGTACAAGAAAAAGGCAGACAAAGATGGTAAGTGCTTGAGTCTTATGATAGAGTTTTTCTTACATGTTTTAATCCCAATATAGACCCTTCTCCTATGACATATTTTGCCTAGGAGTTATTCCCCTTCGTTGCCATCTTGTAGGGCAAAATAGTGAATTTACCTCTTTGAATTGGAATGTTGACCTACAATATGGCGGTCATGTTGAATAACTCTTGCTTAAATAACCTCAATGGAAAACACTCTATAGGTCTGCATTTATATATACTGACACGCAAAAGAAACACAACACCCTACTTTAGGGGGGAATAATTATGTAAAGTAAAGAATTTTGTATCTTAAATTATGGATATTTTCAATTTAATAAACATCGGTAATTTAACGGTTGAACGATTTTCATACCATAACCAGAAGTCAAGTTTGAGTCTGTTGAACAGAAATCAAAAATTGCATGTTTAATGAAACATTTGGCAATATCATGGAGTTTTAAGGGTTTTTGCTGTTCATCATAAGTAATGCAGCAATATTTCAAAAAATAAACTCTCCTTTCGATTCCCGGAACGATGCTTAGGCTTCTTGAAAATGGCTTAAATACGCATTTTCATTGCTCTAGCTGGAAAATTTCAATGTAAAGGTGATAGAGACTTGCTGATGCAAAAATTCACTACATTACACCTAAACAGGGTCTTAAGTATCATATGCATTAAGGACAGTCCTTGTATCTGAAGTCCAAGGGTGGCTACACTGCTCTAGGTTAGAGAAAATTCGACCTAATCACCTATAAAACGGGCATTTAAAAATTGCAAAGAATAATTCCTTCGCTCAGATCTCAATATTGATGAACCTATTGTATCGTAGAAATTAAGCTGCAAATGTTGTTTAGGGCAGTCTTGCACATTTTACTTGAATGGCTGGGAGGGGGGTGTTTTAACTGTCATATGTTACTTAGTAAAGTAAAGATAAACATTTAACATTTTTATCAAATGGATGTTCTGAAAAGTGAGTTTAGCCTTACTGTATTCATTTTTGAAAATCGTTGGATAAAAAAATCAAACATTTGTAGATTACTGCTTGTTGCGTTTCTTTTGCGTTTCAGTATAGTAAAGGGAACCTTAGATAATAATGGTCCAATTGAGGAAAACAATAAAAAATGATATTCGTGATATTTTGTGTTAAGATTAAAACTCTTGTATTCTTACAAATAGTACCTGAAACAACAATCCCAGTTCAAGACAATGAAGAAAAAGCTATAACTGCTGAAGAGGATTCAAACATTGTCTGTGAAGAGACAACGAAGAATTCTGCTCCTCCAGGAAAAGATACTGCAGAATCGGCAAAAGATGACGATACCCAAATCAAACCCGCAACTCCAGAAAAGAAGATTCAAAAAGCATCAGAACTGACAGGTTGTGCCTGGTTCTTGAACAAGATGTTCTACAGTTTTATAACCCTGTATAGGGGTTACAGAACATATTTTAAGTATGAAGTCGCCCTAGCTGGACTTGGACTCTCCTTCTTGTACATGACTGTGCTGGGCTTTGACAGCATCACTATAGGTATACATCTCCTTGTCATGTGCATCAATAGCTTTTGTATTTATGGTCTTATTATGAACAAGTTTATTATGTACCTGCTTTTGCAAATTTTATATCACAGTTCCCTACAGCCTAAACTAGACCCATATTGATTTTGAGGTCCAAGGTCAAGATAATCATACATTGCCCCCCACCCCAATCCAAATTAAAAACGTTCATTTTCTTCGAACTTCTCAATAAAATTTAAAAACACAGGTCCCTTAAACCTTAAAAAGATGTGTACTATATTGATTTTGAGGTAAAAAGATCAAGGTCAGAATTTTTAAATTGAAATTTCAATGAAATTTGTATATTTCAAATACCCACCCTCAAACTAACATTACTTTGCCTTAACAAAGATACCTGTACAAATCATTGTGTATAGGAATTACAACTTCATATATATGCATGTGTTTATTTTAGGCTATGCCTACTCCCAGGGACTCTCAGAGGCTGTATTAGGAGGACTGCAGGCAGGAGGTGCTCTGATAGGAATTCTGGGAGCTTTTGCGTATCCCAAGATCCGAAAGGTTGTTGGTCTTGAGAGGACTGGTTTGTTTGGATTAGGTTCTGAAATTCTGTGCTTGTGTTTCTGTGTAGCTTCTGTATGGGCCCCTGGCAGTCCTTTTGATCTGTTAGGCAGTCCAAAGACCTCAGTTAACAACATGGTTGATGCGAGGTGCCAGAATGGATCTTATGTGTACACAACCAATGTGACCTCACCCCCAAGTGAAATATCTACTGTAATAACAATAACAACAATTAATTCTTCTTTTCCCTCTGGTATGCTATGTAATGAAACCACTAGTTCATCAGAAGAGTCACCCGACATCTCAATATGGCTACTTATGGTGGGAATCATCACAGCTAGATTTGGTATGTTTTACTTGTATATTGTGTACATGTATTGTATTTTTATGCCCCCCCCCCCCTTTCATAGAAGGAAGGGCTTATTGCTTTGCTGTTGTCATCAGTCTGTCTGTCGGTCCACCAAGTTTCTGTTCATTTGCAGAGGCTGCACGTACTGAAATGAAATTTTGTGTACAGATTTATCATAAGAATATCTAGGGCTAGTTTTGTTTTGGCTGCAATTGAGCCCTTTTTGACAGAGTTATGCCCCTTTGACATTGAAAAATTCCAATTATTTGAAGGGGGATATACGTGTTTCACAAACATTTCTTGTTCACTGTTGTCATTTTTATGTCTATTTTAGAAGTACAGTCTAACCTTATTATCTCAAACCCAGTGGGATTGAAAAAACTTTGTGATAATCGAGTATTCGAGATATCCATAGTAAATACTCGGGAATAAGTAGTTGGGACTTTAAAATGACTTCGATATCTACTGTAAAAGCACAAATATTTTCTTTAAAAAATATGATGGTTAAATTGACTAGTTTATTTCGTTGTTAACAATATTCAACGAATATATACTTCCCACACGATAATTATTATATAACTATATATTGAATAGGGTTACTTTCAAAACAACGAAATTAAATGCCCACGAAACTATTTTTGAAGACAAAACAACGAAATTTTATGCCCACGAAAATTTGTTTTTCTACAGTATATGGTATTCGAGGTGTCTGTGTACAACTGTATTCTTTATTTTCTTTAAAAAATATGATGGTTATGCAATTGACTAGTTTGGATATTTGCACAGTGAACAACAGTGAACAACAGTGAACAACGAATATATTCTTGAAAACCTGTACATTTATATTTGCATTATATGTATTAATTAAACCATTCACGGAAATGTGATATCATGAGTATACAGTTTTATGCACTCATTATCATTCTGTATCGGAAACCTGTATATTTGTTCCGATTTCAGGTCTTTGGGTTTCCGACCTGACAATCACACAGCTATTTCTACAGACCGTGGAGGAAACAGAGAGAGGCATCGTCAACTCCATGCAGAACTCTATGAACAAACTCATGGATATGCTGAAGTTTATCATGGTTATAGTGGCACCGTACCCCCATCAGTTTGGCCTACTGACCCTCATTTCGTTTTCCTTCATCTGTATGGCCTGGGTCCTGTACGCTGTCTACTGTCGCCGAGTTAGAGGACATTTCTTTCACTTCGAAAAAGTGACTAAGTGTGTGGATCACCAAAATAATAATCAGGCACCACAACATATTTCAAACACAGAAACTAGTGAAGCAGTGTGAAAGTAGAGGTAGATTTGTGTACATTAGAAAAAAGCACAAAATTAATTCACAATTGTTTGGTTTCAATATAGTCACACTTTGTTATCTTGAACTAGAAAACTTACGATTCCTGATGATTCAGAAAGAACAAGTTTTTTTAACTTTTAAATCACATTGACATATCCATGGTACATGTATTTGAAATACATGTACCATGTACCACAGGTACATGTATTAGTTTTTGAGATATACCAAAGTTCAACAGTATGTTGACAGTTAAATATTTTAGTGATAGTTTTTCTTGGATTTGTGATATTATCATGATTATGGTGCACTGGTGCTGTTTATGACTCGGTCAGTTTTTCTAATTTTAATGAGATAATTTTATGTAATTTTAAAATCTGAGGAAGAAGAGTTGGGTTCAAGTAACTCAGGTGAGTGTTGTGGCACCAATTGGCCTGTTATTTTTCAATATGATTGTTTTTCTTTTAATTGTTATGACAAATTTTATACTTATAATTTTTTAGTCAAATTTTACTTTGATTTGGCTTTTTAATCATCATCTTTGTAGCAAAACGTTATACTGGTTTAGGATACTGTATAATGTCTATTTGTAGGCATGTAGTATATATAATAAGACATGCAATTAATTTATGTTTTAAAATTAAAGAGGTCTACATTTCTATAGATGATTAGTGTTGCAAATGGATAAAATGAAAATTTTCTTTATATCTCATAAAACAGACAGGAAGTATTGGGGACTTAAGTGTAAAATATTTTCTTAAAGTAGGTGAATGTGTAATATTGACTATATAAAATAATTCCTATACAACAGAGGATTTTGCTGGCAGACACAAATACAATATTTTGTTCAAAGTATTAATATGCTGTTTAATTATTACTGTTTTAAGAACAGTGAAAGTAAAGGTGAAAAATATTGACTATATAAAATACCACCTACAACAGAGGATTTATGCTGTTATGGTTTATGATATCCTCTTTAAAGTATTGGACAGGCTTTCACCTATATTAGAGAAATGTAGAGGTTTTTGTTGTAGTTGAAACCCAGACCACTTCTCTAAAGAGAATATGGTTTATGGGAGTGGAATTTTATAGAAAGTCTGTCCAATTCTCTAGAGAGAATATTGTTTATGGGAGTGGAATGTGATGTGTTTACCAATAGGTCTGTCCAGCAGTTAATCTTCCCGTCATCATCATCATGCTCTTTGTCCAGCCACTGTGATGTAATGAAGAAATCTTAAGTTTGCATGACAAGTGTGTTATAAGTCTGAACCGGAATTTTTGTATACTGAAAGTTGAATTTTACTATCTCAAACATTAGAAGAAAAAGATTCAAGTAGCATGGGTGGACCATAAAATTCACAATTTTGGTAGACACTCTTTCATCATAACTATGTACTTGTTATTTATTTATTACATAACAAAAAGGATTTTCAAAGAAATAGAGAATTTTCACTAGTTTTCCCCGCCCTAGCACTTATTCCCTGACCCTGGGGCCATGAATTTCACAATTTTGGTAAGTGCATATTTGCATATGTTTTTGCTACATGTCCAGGAGTAACTTTTTAAAGATTGCACTAATTTTAGTAGTTTTGGCCCCACCCCTCAGGCCCCAGGGGGGCAGGGATCATGAAATTCATAATTTTCATTGGCCCATAGATGCTTTGTACCAAATTTAAAATTGGTTCAGTGGTTGCAGAGAAGAAGCTGAAAATGTTCAAATGTTAACGAAAAAACGACGAACGACATCTACATAAAAAAATCATGGTCACCTGAGTTTAAACCTAATAAAAGGAAAATGTGCCCACTGTCCAAACACGAAAATCCTACTTCTTCCAAAACCAGTTTTTTCTTTCCAAACACTACACTAAATGTGTAACATCAAGCCTTAATGGTGGCCCCTGAGCCACAAAAAATATAATCTGACAAGTAATGCTTCATACATTTTTTAATCAGTTTTGATTGCACATACTGTAGCATAGATAACAAAATCTTAATCACACATTAATAAAATACTTGTAATATCACAGTTTAACAATCACATATAAAACAATTACGAAGTTCAGATTGAAAATCTATTTGTCCATGTATTCATGACCTATAAAAAAAATTGGATTTGTCACAAAATAGTCACCCTGCAAGTCTATATAGCATGTCTATGACACAAAGAAAAGAAAAATGGAATAACACACTAAAAAGGCACTAGCTGTAGTTCTTGTCACAGTGACAAAATGATAAATTTTTCTTTTCTCAAAGATACATTGCAATTTCAAAATATATTTTATCAGATGCTTGGCGGTATTTTATCAAACATTTTCTTGTACACGATTATACAAATAATATTAACAAAGTGCAGCTATTTAATTTTAAAAATTAAGTGAATCAATAATGTTAATGTTCCCTTCTAAATTATGTGATATCACAGACTATTTGATTTCCTGATTATTTTAAAAATATTCCCAGTGATCCACTTGAAGAAGGATTGTAAAATGCATGGAATTCCTGTAACAAATATCTCATCTAGTTTGGTTCTTAATTGTCCAATCACCTAGTTCCATCAGCACTTGATTGTCCAATCATTTGAAAAAGCTAATATTTGTTCCTCCTCACATTTTTGACTTGGTCAGCCAATCAAAATCCTACAAAGAAACAACAAAAAATATTATTGAAATCAAAATTAAATTGACGAGGAACTATGAGTATAACAAAGACAAGGACATTTTATGCAAACTGAAAACTTTTAAAAATTATATTTTTGAAAAATAATATATTCAGGAAAATAAGTACATTGTACATTCAAAACAATTTAAATGTCACAGTTTAAAATAACATGCACCATTTTCCAATTGTGAAAAATTGCACATAGTTTTTAATTGTTTTAGTTATACATGAAAATGTAACTTCTGGTTACAGAGTATGCTTTTTACCTCACCTGATATTTTCTAGTACACATCAGTTTTAATAGATTGGTTTGCCCAGTAGACATACAATGCTGTCTAGTCCACTGAGTTTTTTTTCTATCTGAGGGTAATGTTTAGCTCACCTGAGTTTTTGTTTAGAGGGGGATACTTTTTAGCTCACTTGTTTTTGTATTGGAGGATGCTCTTAGATCACTTGAGTTTTTTCTAGAAGAGGATACTGTTTAGCTCACCTACGTTTTTGTAGGGGAGGAAACTTTTTAGCTCTCCAGAGTTTTTTCAGTACAATGCTATTTAGCTCATTTAAGTATTTATAATGTAAGATGTTGTTTAGCTCCCCAGAGTTTTTCCAGTAGATGAAACTGTTTAACTCGCTTGAGTTTCTGTAGTAGAGGATAATGTTAAGATTACCTGTGTTTTTCTAATTTGATACTGTTAGGCTCACCTGAGTTTTCCTCGAGGACATAGGACTGATGAGGATATTGAGAAGCGCCACCCTCTCTGGGTCCTTTGTGACCTCTGTAAGGTACTTGTTGATTTCGTCTGTTGTCCTGGCACAGTAACCTCGGCCTCCGAAGGCCTCAATCATCTTCTCGTACCTAGCAGCTGCCATCAGGGCCGTAGGGGGAGACCTGAAATGAGCAGGTTTCTTATTTTGAATGCAAGAACCTCTTTATTTCCACACTACAAAAATATGCACTCTGTGACTTATATTAAATAATATTGAAGGTTATCAATATTGGCTGAGCATAACTGACTTCATCCACAAATACAAGTATTACATAAATATAAGGATAAATACTGTAATACATGTAGTGAAATCAATGAAATATTTCCACCAATCAATATACTAGATACCTTTGATTAGACTGTAGCTTTACTGCTTTCTAACTATAACAAGAAAAGACATTTTGCTTACATAAGTGTGAGATCCTCAGCCTGCATAGATTTCCACACATCTTCTGGCACACCTGCATAAATTCCACCATTGTTTATTATCATCAGAGTTACTGGAAGCTTGTACCTAATGGTATTTTTGTAAAAATTTATACTTCACAGTAAAATACAAGCATCTAATAGAATTATATCAAGAGAATTCATAAAAAAACTGTGTCTTTTTGACACCACTAAACCACTGTTGTAAACCACTACCAGGTCCTGCCAACATAATCAGAGGAAGATGACATTTACCTGCATATTGTTTCAATTTCCATCCCAGAAAATCCAAATGCACTGTCTCCCTGAATGGAGAAGACTCTTTTTTCAGGAGCATGATCCCTGCACCAGATCCCAGCAGCCACGGCAAATCCCAATCCCACTCCCATAGTCCCAAATGTACCAGCATCTAATCTGTTAAATATGATGATAATCAGATGGTTAAATGCATCAAGAGCACCTTCTTCAGTTACATTCTCACTAAAAATTATACAGAATAAGTTTCAATTATTTATGACCTGTGTCTGGGAAGGTGGTTGGGAACCATGGTCCTGCTAATGTCCATAGTGTTGGCTCCTTCACTGACAATTATGCAGTCCTTGGGAAGAAACTTTTGTACCTACAAAATATTCATTTCAAAGTAAAGAATAGGGGTATTATTAAAGATGAAAGAGACTTGTGAAAGATTGTATTTGGAGTTTGACCTTGACCTTTGACTTGAGGTGGAATTATGATGATATCATTCCTCATGGGGGACTAATGTTTATGGATTTCATAGGTTATCCTTATCCACAAAGACAACCCCCCACCAATCATAGCTTTGTGAACATATTTGAAATATTAAACACCAAGTTTTAATACCCATTAAAAATATCATCTTATAAACAAATACATGTAAAATATTTGCTGCCCAAGAATTGAAATGATTCTACAATTTATCTTTTCCAAGATCTCTTGGGGTGAGATATGAGCCAAATGGAACCCTTGGGAAAGACAAGGATTTAATACCGAGACTTGCTATATATCTTTGATATCTGAACTTGCACCTCCAAGTTACTGCAGTGCAGTACATAATACACCATAGAGCACTCTGTAGGCGAAGAGAGAGAAAGGGGGCAAGGAGAAAAAAAACCAACATTTTCCGGGGGAGAATTTGACAAAACTTTGCTTTTTTTACTTTTAGTATATATTTTTTTAATTTCAATGTCATAGCACCTATTACATATACATACACTGTACCCTAAGGGTGTTGTTTGAATTTGGCCATATAGGGGAGAGAAATATGCTCCGGTCAAGAAGTATTGTCATTCATAAGAAAATAATACCTCACTATATGCTGCATAGTAGTTAAGGGGCTCACTTTTGTCATCCATCATTGCCTGCAAAAGTTTAAAAAAAATTAGATGAAAAGTAAATCTTTTCAGCTGACATGTCTAGTAAAAAAATCATTGAAATACACTATATTAACTTAATTACAAATGGTTAGTTACTTGCACAGCCTTTTGATTCTGTTGTACTTTGCTATTGAGAGTTTTCCACCATGGAGATTTAGGGTTGAAATGAAATTGACCTGGAATTTTGCTAATTTGTTCATTCATCTGAAATGATAAAGTTTGACTACTTTCAAAATGTATTTCTATTCATATTTTATAAGAAAAGACATTAATACTAAATCAAAACTGAAGTAATACATAGACTTTCTTAAATACACCTCATGTACTGTAGATCACTTAATTTTCACGACAACTAATTTTCGCGAGATATTCATTGACTCTTTATTAGCGAGACAAAATTTTCACGAATTGTGGTCATTGCTCTATATAATCATATGAATTCTATTATACGCGAGAATGAAATTTTCGCGAGCATATCATCTCGCGTAATTATGCAAAAATAAAGTTCTCGCAAATAAAAAGTGATTTAAAGTAATAAAACACAAATATAGGATGCCTGCTGATGTACAAACATAGCAAAGTTCTATTTCCTTCAAATTTGTAGATTTGAATGTCTATAAATCCACTGATACCTGTATCATGACAGCATCTAGATCTCCAACTAGAGACACTGCATTCTGTATATTATTACTCATCTCTTCAGCACATATATCCACCTTAAAAACAAAACAAGAGGCCCATGGGCCACATCGCTCACCTGAGCACTGAGGCTAGGAAAAAGTAGAAATTGGTTTATTAGTAAATCTTTGAACTGTTATGGTTTTGGTATTCTTGAGAAGATGATTTTTAAAGAATTTTCCTATATATTTCTATGTAAAACTTCGGGTTGTGGCCCCGGGGGGGGGGGGGGCCATGATTTGAACAAACTTGAATCTACACTACCTGAGGATGCTTCCATATAAATATGATCAATCATGGCTTTGTTATTCTTGAGAAGAAGATTTTTAAGAATTTTCCTATATATTTCTATGTAAAACTTTGGTCGGCCATTGTGGCCCTGCCTTACCCCCTGGGGTCATGATTTGAACAAACTTGAATCTACACTACCTGAGGATGCTTCCATATAAATATGATCAATTATGGCTTTGATATTCTTGAGAAGAAGATTTTTAAAGAATTTTCCTATATATTTCTATGTAAAACTTTGGTCGGCCATTTTGGCCCCACCCTAATCCCCAGGGGTCATGATTTGAAAAAAACTTGAATCTACACTATCTGAGGATAATTCCATATAAATATGATCAATTATGGCTTTGAGTATTCTTGAGAAGAAGATTTTTAAAGATTTTTCCTATATATTCCTATGTAAAACTTTGATCAGCCATTTCGGCCCCACCCTACCCCCGGGGTTCATGATTTGAACAAACTTGAATCTACACTACATGAGGATGCTACCATATAAATATGATCAATCATGGCTTAGTCATTCTTGGGAAGAAGATTTTTAAAGAATTTTTTATATATTTCTATGTAAAACTTTGGCCCCGCCCTACTCCCGGGGGTCATGATTTGAACAAACTTGAATCTACACTACCTGAGGAAGCTTCCATATAAATATGATCAATCATGGCTTTGGTATTCTTGAGAAGAAGATTTTTAAAGAATTTTCCTATATATTTCTATGTAAAACTTTGGTCGGCCATTGTGGCCCCGCCCTACCCCCGGGGGTCATGATTTGAACAAACTTGAATCTACACTACCTGAGGATGCTTCCATATAAATGTGATCAATCATGGCTTTGATATTCTTGAGAAGAAGATTTTTAAAGAATTTTCCTATATATTTCTATGTAAAACTTTGGTCCTTGTGGCCCAGTGGTTCTTGAGAAGAAATTTGATTTTTTTCCATATAAATGTGATTTTTTTTTCTCTAATTCAGATTTTTTTTTTCCTATATATTTCTATGTAAAACTTTGGAAAAGGGCATTGTGGCCCCGCCCTTTGATTTGAACAAACTTGAATCCCCTTTACTTCACAAGGTTTCATCTTTCCTAGGCACAGTGGTTCTTGAGAAGAAGATTTTTAAAACATACCACCAAATTTTCATTAATTCCCAGTGGTTCTTGAATGAGGGCATGGCCCTTCATGAAAATGTGAAAAGTTTGTGGCAAGTTTGACAACGCCGACAACGACGACGACGACGACAACAACGACAACGACGACAACGACAGACAACGGACAAATTTTGATCAGAAAAGCTCACTTGAGCCTTTGGCTCAGGTGAGCTAAAAAGTGATTTTATGATTAACTCCCTTTTACTTCAGTATTAAAAGTTGATATCTACAAGGTACTTGTAAACCCTTATGTTATATGTCAGCTGTATCCTAGTAATTCCACCAATGTTTTACAGAGGATATTGATGTCCTATAATTCTTTTTCCTGTATTTTTTTCCCTTTATTTACTTTCACTGAGGTTTACAGGATTACGAATTTTGCTAAGGTAATACTGGTTAAATCAGTAATAACAAAACATTTATTCTAAAAGATAAACTTTTTTTATTTTTCACCTCTTAAAGAAAAAGTGATTCTATGGTGCTAAGCAGATGAGAGTCATTGACTACCTCTATGTTGGAAAAAAGTCTATTGCATGGTTAACTCCCATCATAGGCCAGTGCCAATTGCCTGAGAGGGCCGAGACAATGCAGATGAAGTGCCTTGTCTAAGGACAAAACATCACGTGACCATGGGCAGGGCTTGAACCAGACTGAGTGAACCTTAAGTAACTAGCCTAATGCCCATGACCACTGACCCATGTGCTCCAGTGCATTATACATGTATCCATAAATTGGTTATACAGTAAAACTCGGTTATAACAAAGTCACTGGGACTTATGAAATTACTTCGCTATATCCGTAATTCAATATATGCATATAAGAAATTCGTTCAATTTATGTAGCTGGGGATCCAAGATAACTTCGCTATATCCATGAATTTGCAATATCTGTGTTCGTACTAAACGAGTTTTACTGTATCTGTGTTAGTTCAGAACACAGTAAAAATTTACAAGGAAGTGTAAAAAAATACAAGGGATAAAAAAATTGTTGCCAAATCATTGATAGGAAGGAATTACCTGTATGACCTTGACCTTTGCATTAAATCTAGGTGGCAAACCAAAGTGCAGAATCCAGTTTAATCTTGCTCCTAATAGAAGGATGACATCAGCTTCCTGTAGTGCTCTGTGGATCAAAAACATAAATAGTAAAACACACTTACATAGAAAAGTGCCAGGAATGAATAATTCTGATTTGTTATAACCATAATTCATTTTATCTGTTAAGTTCATCATATCTGTTGTAAGGTAAAATTCATTATAAGCGAGTTTGCTGTAACTGCATTTTACTATACTGGATTCTGTTGCATGATGAAACATTTAAATTATAACATTGATTCAACAAGATGTTTATGGGCCTTGACTGCATGCACCTAACTCATCCCCTGAGAAATGACTCGGTTATATAATTTAGAACCTACTTTGACCTTGCAGGAGCCACACAAAGTTCATGGTCATCAGGTAATACACCTTTTCCCATTGGGGTCGGTAGAAATGGAAGTCGAGTGGATTCTATAAACTGCTTGACAGATTTTTCTGCTTTGGCATATGCAGCACCTAAATTAAAGTTTTACCTCAGTATAAATATTGAACCTGCTTCATGCTGCTTAAAATCTGATTAATAGCATGTTATCAAACATTTACACTTGTCCACTACTTATTAAAGGAAAACTTTACATTAAAACATCAAAAATAGCAAAATGACATGTACATGTAACATGCTTCTTCTGGTACTACCATATAATAAAGAGATTATTTCAATCAAATTTAGAAAACAATAATCATAGAAATGATAAAAGGATAAAAATCACTTTTTATTTGCGAGAACTTTATTTTCATGTAATTTTACAAGAAAGTGCTAGTGTACTCTTGAAAATTTCATTCACACATATAACAGTATTCCTTAATATTACATATAGGAATGACCACAATTTGTGAAAATTTGTACCGCTAATAAAGAGTTAATTATGTTGCGAAATTAAGGTGTCACGAAAATTTTGTGATCTTCAGTATCTGAGATTGATTCAAATGTTTCATAAACATTTTTTTATCACACAGGAGTTTGATTTATATAAAATTTTGAAAAATTTCAAACCTTTCCCTACTATAACTAGTGGTTTCTCAGCATAATGAATGATATCCAGGGCCTCCTTTATTTTGTCTGGGTCTGTCAGGGTCTTTGGAGGGTCAAGACACTTTACATTTGGACTGGAAAAGAAAGAAGATGATGAGGAATGCCTCAATTGAATTCATAATTTGAAGTATTCATGTAAGTGTATAACAATGACATAGTTTTTTATAAAAAACATTATTTTTATGCCCCCGTGAACGAAGTTTCGAGGGTAAATAGTTTTTGTCATGTCCATCCGTCTGTCTGTCTCTCTCTTTCTCTCTCTCTGTCTGTCTCTCTCTGTCTGTTTGTCCACAAAAACTTTAACCTTGCCCATAACTTTTGATTTAATGGAGCTATGACTTTCATATTTCACATGTGTATTCCTTGTGAGAAGACCTTTCTTTCGGTACCACCAAATTTGACCTTTTGACCTTGGACTTTGACTTACTTTTACACAAAAATTCCAAACTTTTACTTTGGCCATATCTTTTGAACTCTAGACACGAGGACTTTTATACTTCATATATGTATTCTTTGTGGCAAGACCTTTCATTGAGTACCAACAACTTTGACCTATTGACCTTGACTTTAAAGATTTCCATACTTATGAAAAAACTTTAACCTTGATCATATCTTTTGAACGGTAAGGACTAGGGCTTTCATACTTCACATATGTAATCTTGTGAAAAGACACTTTATTGGATACCAAAAATGTTGACCCTTTGACCCTGACGTTTGACCTACTTTTCAAATACAACCTTGAACATAATTTTTGAAGGGTTGGAACGAGGGTTTCATACTTCACATATTTAATACTTGTGACAAGACCTTTCATTTGATATCAAGAACCTTGACCCTTTGACCTTGACCTTAGAGTTTGACCCATTTTTACACAATAAACCAAACTTTTACTTTGGCCCTATTTTAAAAATGGTAGATTCTAGGAATTTCATATTTCAAATATCAATTGTTTGTGGCAAGACCTTTTATTTAAACCAACAATTTTGACCTTTAGACCTTGACCTTCGACATTTTCATACTAACGAAAAAACTTTAACCTTGGCCATAACTTTTGAAGGGCTAGGGCTTTCATACTTCACTTATGTAATCCTTGTTAAAAGACCTTTTATTGAATTTCAACAACTTTGATTCTTTGACCTTGGAGTTTGACCTACTTTTTACAAACTTTAACCTTGGCCATAACTTTTGAACGGTAAGGGCCAGCACTTTTTTACTTCACATATGTAATCTTTGAGACAAGGCCTTTCTTTAAAAACTAACAACCTTGACCCTTTGACCTTGACCTCGGAGTTTGTCCTACCTTTAAAAGCATTAACCTTTGTCAAAACCTTTGAACTAGATTTTATATTTCACGTTTGTACTTCTTGTGAAAAGGCCTTACTTTAAGTACTTAAGGTACCAACATATTTGATCTGCATTTGAGAAAGCTTAACCTTTGCTATGTTGCCATATGGGGGCATTAGTGCTTCACAAACACATTTTGTTTTTAAGGTGCACTCAAAAACAATTTGTCCAATTACACAGTGTACATGAACAAGGAAACAAAATTCACTAAACTCTGCTTCTTTGCGAGTCAAAGTTTCTGACATAAATTCATTTTTTTTTTAAGGTAGAAGAGGGGAAGATCATAAACACAAAGACTAGCAAAAATTGCATGGACAGGGTACTTGCATGTACTGCCTGTTGCCCAATGAAATCCATTTTTTTTTCTGAATAAATATTGTTTAAAATAAATCACCTCAAGATTTTTTAAATCAACAGATTTTGATATATCCTGCGGGAACTTAGTTCATGGTCCATTTTATATTTTCCCAATCAACAAATGAAATGAACTAAACATAATGTGAGTACCTTAGATCTGCTACCCTGACTCTCTGTGTAACCATATTACCAGCCAGGTCAATGTAACTCACACCAGGCCTTCCATAAATACTGTGTCGAACTGCCTGGAATGGTGAGAATTGTACATGTACATGAAATCATATTATATAGATAACTGTAATACCGGTATATATTAAATACAGATTTTTTTCTGAAGAATATAAGCAGAAAATTGGTTGTTGTGATATTGATTAAAATGATTAGTAAAAGCAGAAACATATTTTGCACAGAGAACAAAAGCATATCTTTACCATAAAAGATTTCTGCACTAACTATGTGCAGTGTATATAAAGTAAACTATATTTTTTATAACTGAAAAGCTACAATTTGGTAATGAAAATTTCTTACCTTTTCAATATAAAATGGAATTCTCTCTACTTTACTTGGTCGAGCACTGTACTTGCAGTAAGGTCTGCATAATTCAACCTAAAAATTATCACAGTTTATAACAATTACTGAGTCTATCTTACAACCTGTTATACAGCTTAAATATGACAAAATTCTTGGAAATATCCATATTTGAATATTACCTGTGGATACTCCTGAAAAGCTCCCATGCCCTCCTGGTGGAGTTCACTGCTACCCCCTACTACAATCATAGGCCTAAAAAATATTTACATCTGATCAATTTGTGCTCTCTGTTCTTAAGTATTTCCACTGCTTAAAAGAAGGATTCTTAAATTTACTTTATGTGTGCCAGGGTTGCAAATAACATCTAAAACCTTAGGGACCATGTGTGCCTTTAAGTTTTAATTACTATCTTATTGTAACCAGTGTACTAAGTAATTAAATGTTTCAGTTTCAATGTTTTAATTATTTCTATTATGTGTGTTTACGTTTGTGTAGTCTTGTGTGAATTTCCATGTGTGAGTGTTAAAATATGTTTGATAGGTGTGAAACTGTATGATTGACCATTTCCTGTTTGACTAGTTTCTATTATATAAAAATTTATTTCTTTGAACTCTTCTTCTCTGCTCCTGGGTATTAAATAAACTAATAATTTTCATGCACCAAAATTGTGAATTTTATGGCCCCAGGGTCAGGGGCTGGTGTTACACACTTGAAAATGGAATAGTCATCCTTTATATTAGTAGCTGATTTATATAGTGTGTCTGGTAAATATATATTTATTACTTATCTATTTCTTCTATTTATATTTGTTATTAAAAGTAAAGTCAGTAAGGATTTGTAATTGTTTATTAATCATAATGACTTTATTTCAGGTTTTTATTCAATATTGTATTATTTCCATAATTAAATATACTAGTCAAACCACCACTGACTTGTGTGTTGATACATAAGAATGAACCCAAGATCTATCGACATGGTCTATATTATGTTGAAAATTTGGAGCCCATGATTTTTTATATATTTAGTTTTAAAAAATCTGATTTTTTTTTGTATTGAAATCTTAAAGAAGTTTACTTTGCTCAAAACAGTCTTTCATTTTCCTAAGGACTTTGACACCCCTTATTTTTTTTCCATACGTTAAGATGCAGTTACTACCTTGACATCAGTCAGGCCATAGAAATTTTTCTATGTTAGGAAACAGTAAAATTGAAAATGCTTTTAAGATTTCCTAATTTGACAGAGTTTCTAAATTCTTATTTACCTTATGGATGATAACATACCCAAGAATTGGCTTCCCACAGACAAAATTAACTAAGTGAGTGATTATTAACAACCCTGTAGACAAACTCTTTTACTCAGCAATTTTGCTTTGACAGGATCTTTTTTATCCAAACAATCAACTAAAATTAAGGTTATGCACTTGTCAATTCTAAGACTGGTGCAAGATGATTTATCTTCCAGCAGAAAAGCATTACCAGCAATTGACCTGGGCATTAGCCATTCCTGCCAAAGCATGGATGAGTCCTGGGCCTGAGACAACAAGGCATACAGCAGGCCTCCCTGTCATATACCCAATGGCTGAGGCAGCATAGGAGGCCTAGTGTGGAATACAAAGAACAACATAACTAATCAAGCCATTTCAAACAAGTTTCTAACATTACTGATTTACCATTGATTATAAATAATGAATCACTGTTCACTTATATATTAACAGTGAATTGCAAACACCATTGATTTAGAGTTTTAGACTAAGTCTGAAAAAATTTTGAATCCAAAACAAGAAAAAGCATTTGGCATTAAAAAATGATAGTATATGTATTGTGCCACAGAGCAATATAAAATATCACTACCATTAAACATCAAATGCATTCATAAAATACATTTTAAAAATGTGCTATTAATCACTGTTACTGGTGAACATACAGCCTGCTCATTTCGCATTCCAATGTATTTGATGCCATGGGCTTGTGCAGCATACGCAACCTCAATCACAGGAATACCAACAATGCCAAACATATACTCCACACCCTGAAATAATAATTAGGTATTTAGTAAAAATATTCATTAATCAACATACAGTCAAACCTCATTATTTCAAATATGACAGGTAAAAACTCTTGAAATATTCCAGGATACAAGATACATTGAAAGTAATTTACATTTCTTAAAAAATAATGAAGTGATTGGCACTTCCAAATCACTCTGACATACTCCAGGGTATTTAAGATATATCAGTGTTTGAGATGCTGAGGTTCAATGATTATTATTTTATATTAGTTTTTAGCTCACCATGACAAAGTGGAAATGAGGTTATGTTATACCCCCTGCACCTGCAGCTAGTGGAGTCCTAGTTAAGTTTTAGAGGCAAGTTAAGTTATTATAAGCCCTACTTGGATTTAACTTGAATAGATGATGCATCTACAGAAACACATTATCAGACTAGCTTTGGATGCTGGATCCATTAAGACCGCGGAACATTAACTGGCAAAATTGGAAATATACAGCTTACGTCATTTCTATCTGTTACAATCAAAACATTCAGTGATAGACAATGAATTGGGCTGGTACAATTCGACGCGGACTGGGGAAAGCATCCGATTGAAATTGCAGAACGAAATTCATTTTCAATCCACCTCAGCTACGCTAGAAAGCACATTATTACTGATTGACCCAGAAGACAAATAATTTCAATTTTGGTACAGTTTGAATTTTTTTGTCCAGGGTTTTAAAGGACAACTATTTCATTTCTGTTTGGTAAATATATGTATATCTTTGCGTGTGTGTGTGGGGGAGGGGGGGGGGGGGGCTGAACGATTTTTAAATAAAGTTGTCCAACAGTTTTAAATGAGAATAAGTATAAAACTCATGCACTCTTTATATAATCCTAGAAATAAAATATATTGTCATGTTAAGCCATGACCTGACTCGACAATTTTTTACCCTTCCCCCTTCTAGAATCAATTATCTCCTGAAAAATAATCTTTGTCTTCTATGATCTTTCGCATTCTTAAAATTATAAGCTGAAACTCATATTAATGTGAATTTCAAACAATATGTATTTGGGAGTTGAAATTAGTTGATTTTTGGATCATACGTTCACTCTTTGCTTTGAAAACAGCTTAGGAGGATTGAAAATGAATTTCGATCTGCAATTTCAATCCGATGTTTTCCCCACATCCGCGTCGAATTGTACCCGCCCATTTCATTGTCTGTCACTGAATGTTCTGATTGTAACAGATAGAAATGATGTAAGCTGTATATTTCCAATTTTGCCAGTTAATGTTCCGCGGTCTTAACCTTCATTTTTCCAATGAGTTACCACATTCAAGTTTTTGAGCATGTTTGCCCTAAAGTAATGGAAACAGAACTTTTCACATATGCTTAAGATAATTGATCTGACCTGCATTTGCCAGATAAATTACAACTTTTAGAAAGAATAAATTCACAAGTAACCATAAGTCCTGATATTATAGTGATTAAATTAAGATTTAATTTACATGCAGATACTGGATATGACCTGCATTAATTTTCCAAAATACTTGAACAGATTAAAATTTCAGGGGTAAACCCTTTCCCATGTTATTTTAATCCCTATGATGACATACTTCTGTAAACAGGGAGGGAGAAAATGTATGACTGGACCGGGAATCGAACCTGGGACCCCTGTATCTCCAGTAAGGTGCTCTACCAACTGAGCTATCCAGGGCAATATCCAGGGCCCAAACCATTACATCCCACCCTCCCTAAATTGTCTTTGCCCTTGAAGACCCAACCCAAGTTAATATTAACCCCCGGCAGGAATTGCACCTGCAATTCTAGGGGTGGTCAACGGCACCTTGAAATCTTAACAGGGAGGGAAAAAATGTATGGTTGGACCAGGAATCGAACCCAGGACCCCTGTATCTCGATCCAGTAAGGTGCTCTACCAAATGAACTATCCAGGACGATATCCATGGCCCAAACCACTTCACTTCCAACAAGAGGTCCATGGGCCACATCGCTCACCTGAGAAGCTTTGACCATTCTGTTCTTTACCAGATTTCCCCCTTGTAATACATAATGCATCCCCACCCTACCCAAATGATCATAATTTAGATATTTTGAAATCAACACTACCCCAGGATCCTTCCATGTGCACATAAGTTTCAGCTTTTCTGGCCCAGTGGTTCTTGAGAAGAAGATTTTCAAAGATTTTTCCTATATATTTCTGTGTAAAACTTTGATTCTCCATTGCGGCCCACCCTTCCCCCGGGGGTCATGATTTGAACAATTTACAATCTACACTACCCTAGGATGCTTCCACATAAGTTTCAGCTTTTCTGGCCCAGTGGTTCTTGAGAAGAAGATTTTCAAAGATTTTTCTTATATATTTCTATGTAAAACTTTGATTCTCCATTGTGGCCCAACCCTTCCCCCGGGGGTCATGATTTGAACAATTTAAAATCTACACTACCCCAGGATACTTCCACATAAATTTCAGCTTTTCTGGCCCAGTAGTTCTCGAGAAGAAGATTTTTTAATGACCCCACCCTATTTCTGTCTTTTCTTGATTATCTCCCCTTGTGAGGGGACTTGGCCCTTAATTTTAACAATTTTTTAAAAATTCCCCTTCACCCAAGGATGCTTTGTACCAAGATTGGTCAAAATTGGCCCAGTGGTTCTTGAGAAGAAGTCAAAAATGTGAAAAACTTACAGACAGACGGACAGACAGATGGACGGACGACGGAAAAAATGTGATCAGAAAGCTCACTTGAGCCTTCGGCTCAGGTGAGCTAAAAATGATGCGTTTCAGATGCAGCATCCACATTTTCCATTCGAATGACCTGGTTATTCATTTTAAAAGTTAGCAAAACTTCAGTTAAAGTAACTAGAGACTAAATAGATATACGAATCCTTATTAGGTATTTTTCAAAAAAGGAGAAAAGATATTAGTTCAGCAAGTGGAACGACGCGACGTTTATTTAAGTTCATAAAGGAGAACGATTTTATTAAATGAAGTGATCAACAAAATTGATTACCTTATCAATTAAAGAAAAAAATAATGAAAATAAATATATACAATAACGTTTTATGCCTTATTATTTTATTGCATGCATATTTACCTGAGCCTTTAATGCCTGAGCCAAAACATTCGCACCTTCAATTTCGTCTGCCATCATGAAGTCATGTGGTCAATATGTGGAATGGAACTCTTCTGTGTGAAGGGATAAAAGTTAATTGCAATGGCAGCCCCCATGACGTTCATGATTGCAATTTCACAAGCTAATCGGTTGTTATCCAAAAAGCTAATCTGTTTGACTGAATACCAAGTATGCAATGCAAGTCAGTATGGTAGGAGAAAATTTAATAAGAAATTTTCCAAGAAATCAACAAAACCTCAAAAGACGTCACAAATTTCCAAAGAGACTCGTGATGTGGAAGACGAGCAAGAGGAGGAGTACAGAAAAGAGAGCACGGCCAGGAAAAAGGTACGTTATTGACACGATTTATTGATAAGCTAAATAAATAGCAGGATATGTGCATGGATTTTTATACCCTTTCAAGCATTGTTTGTTATCATGATCTCAATAAGCAGGTCTCATCTGTAATGCTGAAGATTAGATCTGTTTTCTTAATCTTTATGTGTAGTCGCCCGTGTTGTCCAGTAGTTGGACCGTCTGCTCTAGAGTCGTGGATTAAGGAGTTGATCCATACGTTTCGGATTCGAATCCTACTGAGGAAAGTTCCAGTCCAAAGACTATTTCTACCTGCATAGCTATTAATAGCTACATAGGTATTTAAACCTACCCAAACTGAAAGTAGCCATTTTTACCTTGCGGTTCCTGCGATTGGCCACAAAATGCAAGTAAAGCAGATAGTAGGTAGAAATAGCTACCTTAGGTAGGTTTAAATATCTACGTAACTATTAATAGCTACGTAGATAGAAATAGTCTTTGGACTGGACCTGGTGGAGACCGGTCCTTAGGATGAGACCTAGGTCCCATGTCGCAGTAAGTGCTGGCACGAAAAAGATGCCTAACTGCTCAATGGCCCTGAGTGTCGAGCATAGGACAAGATTTGCAGCTCTCCACCTGGAAGTGATGGTGTCTCCATATACTAAGTGAAAATTCTTAAGAGGGATGTAAAATAATACCAGTATACAATCAACAACCTTTTATGTGTGCATTGTGTCTCTTGTGTCAATCTTTAAAAGAATAGATAAAAATGAATAATATAAAAATCTGTTTTTCGATCAGATCATTAACTCTTTAGCAGTTTTGGTTTACCATTTGTTTACTGGAGTTATTCAATAGTAGTTTGCATTTTATTAATTTCTTTCAACAGAATTATCTGATGGACAGACTACATGTGTTTATGAGAGGAGGAACTGGGGGGCACGGTTTGTCACGTTATGGGGGTATTGGAGGGGATGGTGGAAGTGTCATTGTTAAAGCCTCAAAAACAGCAACTCTGCAAGACATCAAGTCCAAATATCCATCACAGAGATTCAAAGCACCAGATGGAAAACCTTGCAAGTGAGTGCAATGATAATCAGTCTCCACAAGTATGTACAATTGTATTCAAAAAGTTAACATATTTCATCTTCGATAGTTTTCTTCTGTCATTGCATTAAAATTATTTTATATAATTACAGAAAACTTGCTTTGTTGGGAGAGAAAGGAGAGGATCTTATTTTAGAAGTACCAATGGGAATAACAATTGAGTCAGGAAGTAGAATAATTGGTAGGTTTTTTTCTGAGAATACAGTCATTTTAGAAGAGTTTAATTAAATAATTCCCTATGATTTGATTTGATCAAAAAAATTTCAGTGAGTAAGTTATCAACAGAACTCTTGATTTTTATAATTAGGTGATCTGGATGAAGAGGGCAAGGAATTAGTTGTAGCCAAAGGTGGTTCAGGGGGAAACCCCTCAAATGGGTTTGAAGGAACAAAGGGGGAGGCTAAGACCGTGGATTTAAATCTCAAGCTGATTGCAGACATTGGGCTTGTCGGGTAAGTGAGACATTTTTAGCTGTAAATGGAATCAAATTAATACTAAAAATTCAAACTTCATTTTCAAAATATATCATTGAAGGAAAACTGCTTCTGTATTTTAGATTTCCGAATGCTGGGAAATCTACTTTTGGGTCAGCGGTAACTCCATCAGGTGGTTGGAAAATTGCAGATTATCCATGTAAGAACTCAAATATGAAGTAAATAATGAATTAGTGTTTTAATGGTCAAAGGAAAAGAGAGTAATTTTCTAATGACAGTGATGGGAAAATAAAGAATACACAATTTTGGTTTACATATTAATTTGATGGAATGGTAAGCAGAGGTATATTCAGAATGCAAACAGTATTCGAATTTTTCTTTGAATTTGTAATGAAAACCAACATGAAGATTTTATTCCATATAAATGTAGCTGCATGATTGTCAAGCACACGATGGATAACTAACAATGGTTTTTAACAACGTTTTCAAAATTTTTAACATTGTTAACAACTTTTGGTGGGAGAAAATAGATGTTTTTTTACCAAATCCTTTCACATTACTATTGACTATTGATGGGACTGATAACATCAATATTATTTTGCTTTCAGTCACAACAATATCCCCGCGGATTGCTTGGATGGATTATACGGATGGAAGAAAGATCTCGGTGGCAGATCTTCCAGGTCTGATAGAGGGAGCCTGGGACAATATCGGAATGGGACACAGATTCCTTAAACACATCGAGCGTACCAAACTTCTCCTGTTCCTGGTCGACATCAATGGATTTCAGCTGAATCCCAATTTTCCATTCAGAGATCCTATTGAAACTATACTGATCTTAAACAGGGTATTTAATTGATGGGTTTTCTCTCCATTACACTACATTCAATATGATGAAATATACAGTAAAACTCGTTTAGTACGAACACGGATATAGCGAATTGATGGATATAGTGAAGTTTTTCTGGGTCCCCATCAAAATTCTTAACAAATCTTTGTAAAATTTGACGGTTATAACGAACTCTGATATACGAATTTACGGATATAGCGAACTGGTTTTGAGTTCCGTTGAGGTTAAATATAATAAAATTTACATTCTTTATAACGAACTTTCAAAGATCTTAAAATATTTGATAAATTCAACTGACTTTATTTCATTTTAGCATTTGTATAAAAAATTCAATTCATAACAAACCCTTGGTTATCAAAGGTACGTTTTCTAATATTTGCTTCCTTAACATATTTGGTAGTATACTTGAAAGAAATCATGCATATTGCGAATTCGCTATATATGGTTATATGAATTTCTTATACAGATATAACGAATTACGGATATAGCGAATAAAATTCACAGGTCCCTAGGACTTCGCTATAACCGAGTTTTACTGTAATGTGTTGAATGTAGAGTAACAAAGAAAAATCCATGATTGCCGACAATTACTTTATAGGGTTTTTTTTCTCCTTTGTAATGCACAGATACAAAAATGAACCTGACAGCAAAATCATGTGTGATGAATTCACACTTCCACCAAAAAGATTTTCATTCCCTGTAGTTTTATAACTTTTAAAAAAAGAAACTTATTATAACAGACATTACAAATTTTATTTATTGTTTGTTTCAAGCACTTTGCTGTTAGAGTGTTTTAATGTTACTAATGCTCCATTTGAATCAATTTATCCAATGACTTATCAAGGGCTTGTTTACCTATCTTATATAAGTAAATGCAAGTCTGAAACAAATTTAATTTGGCCCCCTTCTTTTGGACAGGAAGTAGAATTGTTTAAGCATCACTTGGTTGAGAAGCCAGCAGTTTTAGCACTGAATAAAATAGACTGTGATACAGATGGAGCTATAGTGGAAGACATTAAGGAGAGAGTGAAGAGTTTACCAGGTACAATGTAATCTGTGTAATATCATTGTACAATTATAATTTTCTTTAGCAATTTTGCTAATACATGTTCAACCAACACGTATTTTGTAAAGGAAATGAATATATGTTTGAAGATTTTTCTAAATAAAGTTTTATGTGTATCCAAGCAGTCTTATACCTCATTGTACATGTATAACATTGATACATCAAAATACTCTACAGACCTCATTTGACTAAATAGCTGAATTTATCTACAATTACCAGGGATTAATCTAGGGCATATTTACTACCAACATTCCCATGATGAACATTATAACTATTAATTAAAAATTTTCCTTTGCATGAAAAAGAACAATTCTTTCAGTGCTAACAGGTATTGGAGTAGAATCATTCTTGTAATGTCTTTGAATCACCATCATATATTCCTTACAAAGACACAAGTTTATTTTTATTTTTCTCCTCTTTTCAACTTTGCTCCCTCTAACACAATTCTTTTCTATTTTCAGAAAATATTTCAAACTTTCCCAAGGAGCTACAGCCAGATAGACTGATAAAATTTGAGGACATTTTCACTATTTCAACTAAAGAAGGAACAAACATTATCGAAACTAAACTGAAATTGCGACAAATACTGGACAGACATTTTGCTGAAAATCTTGAATATCCTCTTGAAAAATGGGAGCATGCTCTAACTGAACACAGTAAAATAAATAAATTGACATAGTCTCAACAGGAGGACTCAGGGAATAGGAGTGGGGGATATGTGTAGGGGCTGTGTGTCCTTTTACTGTGGAATTACATGTATACATGTATGATTCATCCAACAAAAATCAATGCAAATAATCTGAATGTACAAATTCTGAATAATTCAGTGAAACTAGAATTGTTACAAAAGTAGCACTATACATGCTGTAGAAAAGCTGGTTTTGCTTTTTTTTCAAATGTTTACAGTTTTGAGGTCAGGTGTAAGAAAGTTGTGTATTTTTTACATGGCCAGTCATGCATGAAGTTAAATAAAGAATATGAGCACAATGATTGCCACTAGCATAGAAGTGTACCAGGTACTTGTTAATTTTCCTCTTGAAATCATTTACAATTACCGGTACAAGTTTGTCTCTTTGTAAAGTGTTGAATTGGAGTTTCTGTGTAATGAATTCAAAGAGGTAAATGACCATTATTCCCAACCATAATGTACTTATTAAACCTCTGCTTCAATGTGTTAAGTTATGTATACCGCTAAGAAATCTCTCGTATATACAATTATTGGCATGGACATGTGTAGCGCTGTAACAAGGCTGTAATTGATGATTACACAAACATCTTCATACCCAGTGATTATGCTGAATTTTGAATACACCAATTTATGTAAACATACAGTATCAGTATCGAACAAAGACAACACAGTTTCTGTATTCAAGTATTCTACATTTATCTAAAACTATATTTAATGTACATGTATTTTTCAAAGTGTATAACTGGCCCGAAGATGCACAAGGATTTCGACAGAAACCACTGACCACATATCTTCACCATTCATCATACCAGTTATTTTCAGCTCGTGTCTACAAAAGAATTGTGAGGATGCATCAATTTTCCTGCTCTTTAATTAAATGTGTGTCATTCAATCAGTAAGAGGAATAGAGAATTAATGCATCTTTTTTCAAAGTACATGTAATACCTGTCCTATTGCGTTTATAGCCCTATTATCCTCTAATTGACACCTGGCTTCATATATCTTTAAAGCTGCGGTTTTACAGCTTACTTCCATTAGTCTCTTAGTATCCAAGTAGTATGCTGCCTTTAAAGAAAAATTGATCCTTCATTAAAAGAGAAAAAATGATTTTCAAAATTTATGACCAATTCTTCAAGTAACTTACTTCAATCAGTGCAAATAGAGTCAGGTCATCAACTTTCAGGAATTCAGCATCCCAAGGACAGATGTCAATATCATACATGTATCCTACTCCCATGTATTCTGGAAGGGGAGGGTCGTTTTTATGGTAGTTGCACCATTCAGTGACCTTTTTTAGAATGGCAGTATTAATATTATGGATCTGAATTGGTTCCTCTCTGTTTTCACTCACTAAATCTGCAACAAGATTTGAATAATCATCATTTTGGCTCATCTGAGTAAATTTTTCACATTTTCAACTTCTCAAGAATCACAGGGTCATTTGACCAAAGTTGGTACAATGCATCACTGGGTAAATTGAATTGAATTGTAAATCATTAAATTTGAGGGTCAACCCCCATTCAAGGGGAGATTTTATCTAGGAAAGGCAAAAATAGAGTGGGGTTATTTAAAAATCTGTTGATGAAGAACCTCCAGACTAGACAACTTTAAGTTTTTTTTCTTTCAAAGAGCAAGTTTCTCCGCAACCTATGTGCTTGGGTGACTGCTTAATGTAGAATTAACTTTATTCAGCATTAAGGACATAAGCAACATACCTTACCTACTGATAATTTTATAAGATATTTTTTGATTTAAGAACCCTCTCTACACTGCACACTAAAGAGTTCTGATTCTATGGTATTTTTTTTTTGCAGTTAGAGTGATCTGCCCTTAGATCTAAATTTTTAAAATTAGAAATTCACAGTTTGTTACACAATTTGTAATCAATTCAGGTATTCTTAACATTTTAAAAGGCCAAGATAAATTAATTGAACATGTTATTTACGTGTATTTTCATTATGGAAGTAAACAACAGTGATTTCTATTCACTGATACTGTGTTATGTTTGATTATTTTTCCTGGGGGTAAATGACACGCACCATATGTTGAAAATCATATAAATAAGCTCAAAACTAACACCTTTATAGAATATATTTTTCTCAATATCCAAAAAACATTTTGTACTGGTGTAGAGAGGGTCCTTAAGATTATAGTGCCATCAGAAGTTCGTAGACAAAAATTCATAAATCATTTAATGAAAATTCTTGCATAATTCAAGAAAAATACACAAAAATTAATAAACATAAATTTAAAATGTTTTGTTTATACAAACTTGTTTATGAAGAAGTGTACAACAGCATAAATAAACATTAAAATGTAGCATTAAGTTCCTTAAGGTATTGGAACTCTTCAACTTAAGAGAAAAACACAACACAGTTAAAACTGCGTTACATATGTCCTTAAAATATATTGCAAGGAATGGAATATAAGAACTTTATTATCATACAACTTTTTTTTTTGGGGGGGGGGGGGATAAGCTTACCTTTAATAGATCCACATTGTCTTATAGATTCCTCGTCTACCTCTAAAACATCGCCATCCATGCTTTGTAATTTTACCTTAGACATGACTGATGGAAGTTTACTGTCTGCAAAGAAACATATTTTCTATGGTAAAAAACAAACAAACATTGGAGTTTATGTTTTTTGAAACGAACAGATACAGGAATTTAATCTATTTGATGCTGTGGTAGCCTGGTCTGTGTAACACTTAATTCATTTCTAAAATGGTTTTGAGTTTTAGAATATTAATATATTAATTCAAATTTCTAACTTTCAAAAACTCAAACTGATTTGGCATATTGAAATTAAATATTTTAGTTCAAAAGTCTAAATTTTCAAATTTCCACACAGGTTTTAGAATTTTAATATTTTAGATTTTCAAAATTCAAATTTCCAAAAACAAATTTTGTATTTTAAACTTTTGTGTTTTTAATCTACCGTTTCTTCAGGAAGTTTACGCTTAACAATCTAAAATTTAATAACATTTTTCGTCTTTTGATTATTTAAAATTTACTTCCAACTTCCAACTTTCAAACGTTTTAGATCTTTAGAAATTTAGAATTGTGATTCAAACACTCAACTTTTAAATAACAAAAACACTTTTACATTTTGAGTTTTTAGAAGTTTATTTCAAATATCCAAAATATCAAATTCCAAACCAGGTATGAGTTTTGAAACAAAAGGGCTTTTAGATAGTTAGAATATTGAACTAATATTCAAAATTCAAATCGGGATTGGAAATTTGATATTTTGGATATTTAAAGTAAAAATCTAAAACTCAAAATGTTTTGGTTATTTGAAATTTGAATGTTTGATTCAAAAAAACAAATTTTAAATAACCAAAAACGTTTTGAAAGTTGAAATTTAAAAGTTTGAAGTAAATTTTAAATAATTAAAAGACGAAAAATGTTACTGAATTTTAAATTATTGAGCGCAAACATTCTGAACAAACGGTAGAATAAAAAGTCAAACATTTAAGATACAAAAAATTGTTTTTGGAAATTTGAATTCTAAACATTTAAGGTAAAAATCTAAAATATTGAAATAAAACCTTTTAGAAATTTGAAAAGTTAGGTTTTTGTACTAAAATATTAAATTTCAATATACCAAATCAGTTTGAGTTCTTTGAAATTTAGATATTTGAACTAATATGTTAACAGTCCTCTAAAACTCAAAATCATTTTAGAAATTTGAATTGTTAAGTGTTGCACGGACCGTAGTCTGAATCAGAATGGATTGTTTTTGTTTTTAAATCGGTACGCCTCAGGGTCTCCAATTGCAGAAGGAAAATAAATATATCTCGGCGGCGAAAGATAAAATATTTATTTTATTTGCTTCAGTACATAATTTAATAATTCTGCAAATCCGGGGAAGGGGGTGGGGTGGTCCCGCCAATCTGAGCAACTTCCTCTTTTTTCCTTCAGCGGGGGACACAAATTCTCTGAATTAGCTTGTTCAATACTGAATAATTGATTAAATTCCACCCACAGTAAAACATAATTCCAAAATATTTATTACTATTGAGTATGATTTTAAATGAATTAATAACAGTTTTTGCAAAAGTCTGTAACATCACACATGTCGCAGGAGGGTGGAAATACCTTAATATGAAACCTTTTATTTTATTCTAATGTACAGCAACTTTTCATTTCCTAATTTTGTTGTTTCAGTTATTTTAAACTTCAAATTTAACTGCAATATACTTTTGAAAGAATAATTAATGTCATGTTTTATTAGATTAATTATCGTTTTTTTAAAGATCGATACATCTATCTGTAAATCCACATTAATTGGATTAAATATACAAGATATCTACACTAAAATTTTCTTTAACTATTCTAAATTTATTTTGCAGATTTTCAAACTTAAATATTCGATCCGTTGTCACTTTTAAGTCCTCCAAAGGGGAATCGATTACGTGTTCCAGCATCACATACATGTACCTATATGAAACGTTTTAACTTACCTTTCTATTGTTTTGATATACAATAAAAAAAATTAACATCTTTCCAAATTTTAAAGGAAATCGCACTACAATGCCAACACTAGTACCAACACTCGCATACTCACCCTAACCCCTCTTCTATAACCGTCGAAAATGAAGGCAAAAGGATCATATGTCTCTTTGTTTGTGAAGCATCCACAGGGGGCGGATGAGTCACTCGGCGTAACTTATGTCCAGTGGATTTCCTCCCATTGTGCTTTAATTATAGGTGGTTGTGCAAGGCCGGATTCAGACTGTTTATTTATCGCGTAGAAATTAATAGGTACAAAACTGGTGATCATTTTCCAGATTTGAAAGTTAATCACTAGCATTGAATTGTTGTTCATCACGTATGTTATTTGATTTTTTTTTTTCTTATTTACTAGTACATTGTATTGTATATTCTTAATTATTTGTTTTAAACTTATTATGATTTATAGACAATTTTTTGGTGTTAAAAGTGTGTTTCGATTATAACCCCCCCCCCATATTAAATCCCACCAGAAATAATCTTGCCAATAAACAAGTCGTATATTATAATAGTATATAGTACATGTAGATCAAATAGTACAACACATGAATTTTAACTTGTGAAATTTATTACTAAACTGCATATTCGTGATTTCGCTTTGAACTGACAAAATTATATGAAATTCCTTAATTATTAATGAAATAAGAAGTTCATAGCATCAAAAATCTACATATACATATAAAACCTGAAAATATTAGATCTAGTATAGTCATTTTGAACATGTACATGTAGGATAAAATCTGGATTCTTCATCCAATTTTATTTTGATCTATAATTGAACTTTCGGCAACTTTTTTTTTATTTGATCAATTTTCTTTGGTTGAAAAATCTGAGTATTCATTTGTGTTACATGAATTAAGGGCGCTAAGCCACTGCTCGTACCATAGAAAACAAAGCTGCAAGATAAGATTTTATTCTGGATCCAGAAGGCTTACATTTTTACAACGGTAAAATAGAGTTTTGACTTTACTAAGGTACGTCAAAGAAATTTGACTCGCTAGTGTCTACCAAAAATGAAAAGGTTTGGTAGTGTGGCCCCCCTCTCCTTTTACTCAAATTGCTTCCTACGGGCCTATTTGCCAATGGCATCAAGATAAAATGTTAGTCAAAACGTTTACTTTTCCTTGATTCTAAGGATCTTTAATCCTCCCGGCCCCTACATCGGACATTGTCCTTGACCTGTAGCTGCTGTCCAAGCTGCTGGGAACCTACCTCGGCAGTAGTGTATCCAAACATTTCACTGTCTAATATAGCTCCCTGCAAACTGATCATACAAGCGCTAATTATGTAATGTCGAGAATGCCACGCCTTACTGAAAGTCCAAGGGTAACTGAGAATTGTACTAATTTCATATCCTCTTGAATATAAAATACTGTCAATATTTGTAATCATATCAGCTTATTTTGTAAAGATAATTTTCTGCAAATCTGTCTCTTCAAAATATAAAACATGTAGACTGTTTGGAATCAGTTCAAGTACTAGTAATCCTCACAGAGGGTCCAAATCTCATCTATCTCTCAGACTCCTCTACAGAATGCAGTTCTTAGTGCTAAAGGTAAAAACAAACCAGTCAACAACCTATTTAGAAATGTTCAAATTGCCCTTTTTTCCCACAATTATGCACACATGTAACGTTAAATGTAGAGTTGACTTTGGACAGCCTATATATGTATCTATACAGTTTATATTTGTTGCAGCTTGAAATGGCCTATATTATGTCATCTTCAAAAATAAAGGAGTTCCAGGCTAAATAAATTCTGATCACAGGAAACCTTGATGTATCCTAAAGTTCACACAAAAAAAAGTCTAGTGCAGATACTTTTCATTTCCTAGTTTTACATTTCAATTATTTATTCAAATCCCTACGATCACAATATAGTTTTAAGCCATAGGGAATGAAAATCACTTTGCTTTAAGCAACAACTCATAATAATCGTGTTTGCTAATATAAGCACACTTTACCATATATTTCAAGATAACTATGGACTACCGGTAATTTCTTATTCATTAGTATTATTTAATGATTATTCTAGAACAAACTGAAAAAAAAACAAGGATGATAATATTTAGGAAAATTTTATTTTACATTGGTTAATGTTTTTTCAAACAGTAAACAAGGTATTAAAATCATTGTTTTCATCTTGTAGAAAAACTTTTCATTTCAACACATAAATTTAAGTTAAAGTGCTAACTACATACATTCCAAAGATGTTAAAAAGAGGTGAACATAATTTATATTTTTTTTCTATATCAGCTAACTAGAGAGGGAATTTTGTGTAAATTTATTTACCTTGGTGAAATAATGTAGAGAGACAGAGAAAAAATCTAACAAAACGGAAAAGTCAAAGCAACTTCACAAATAAATACAAAATATGATATACAACATCACAATTATTGTGATCAGGCTGATTAATTAACACAATTAATTTTGTCCATAGCACGTTGGAGACAACACTACAGTTTGTCATTGTCCTTTGTAGACCTTTAGAAAGTCTCTCTCTAAACACAAAATATTTTCAAACATTCCCTTTATTTCTCTTCACACCACTCATTCTCTTTTCGAACCTGAAAATAAATAAAAACTTTATGAAATAACAGGAAAAAACAAAAAAAATTATAAAAGAGAGAGAATTTAAATTGTCAGTGAAGTATTCAGATTCGCTTATCATAACAGCAAACGAAACTGACATAACCCCTTATGTCTTTAAGAAAGGCATACCCTTTTTATGAGTATCCCATGCAAACTATAAACATAGGTAATCAGAGATTACAGAGCTCACCTCAACGAATGTTGTCTTTAAGTAAGGCAAAGTCACACAATTAACCAACAAAAAGTGTACATTCCAAATATGAAAATATTTAAGCAATTTTGATCTGATACTTTGCAATAGACCTACATAAAAAAATTAAACTAGTTCTTCTTCATGAAAATGTAATCAAAATCCAGCATCTGAAGCAAATTTGAGAGTTTTCATCTCTTGATGCAACATTTGTGCAAGTTTGGTTTATACAATGTTATATAAGCCTTATAGTTTTTTGGTAATAGACCTGCACCCATAACTTTTACCTGGTCTATTATCTGAAAAATGTATGTCGAATTCAGCATCCGAAGCAAGTCCATTAGTGTGCATCCAAAGATGTATCGTCCATGCAAATTTGCTCATTATAGGGCTCATAGTTAATTGGAAATGAAACATGCATCAAAAACTAACATTTTCACTCATCCACAAAAAGTAGGTCAGATTCAGCATCCGAAGCAAGCCTGGTAGTATGCATCCTTAGATGTATCATCCATGCAAGATTGGTCATTAAAGAACTCATAGTTACTTGGAAATGAAACCTGCACCAACAACTTTTACCTGTTCACTCAACCAGAAAATGTAGGTCAGATTCAGCATCCGAGCAAGCCCGGAAGTGTGCATCCTTAGATGTATGATCCATGCAAGTTTGGTCAACATAGGGCGTAAAGTTACTTGCAAATGAAACCTGCACCAACAACTTTTACCTGTTCACTCAACTGGAAAATGTAGGTCAGATTCAGCATCCGAAGCATGCACAGTAGTATGCATCCTTAGAAGTATCATCCATGCAAGTTTGGTCAACCTTATAGGCTTATAGTTACTTGGAAATGAAACTTGCATAAAAAATTTTAACCTGTTCACTCAACCGGAAAATGTAGGTCAGATTCAGATTCCGAAGCAAACTCTATAGTATGCATCCTTAGATGTATCATCCATGCAAGTTTGGTCAACATAGGGCTTAAAGTTACTTGCAAATGAAACCTGCACCAAAACCTTTAACCTGTTCACTCAACCGGAAAATGTAGGTCAGATTCAGCATCCCAAGCAAGCCCTGTAGTATGCATCCTTAGATGTATCATCCATGCAAGTTAGGTCAACATAGGGCTTATAGTTACTTGGAAATGAAACTTGCACCAAAAACTTTAACCTGTTCACTCAACCGGAAAATGTAGGTCAGAATCAGCATCCGAAGCAAGCCCGGTAGTATGCATCCTTAGATGTATCATCCATGCAAGTTTGGTCAACATAGGGCTTATAGTTACTTGGAAATGAAACCTACACCAAAAACTGCACCAAAAATGTTAACCTGCTCCAAAACATTAACCTGGTCATTCCTTTGCTGAAATTGCAGCATCTGAAACTTTGACTGGTACAATGAAACACACTAGAACCATCTTCCATGCATGTCTAATCAATATAGGACATAGAAGTACTTAAAAAGAAAACTGCTCCAAAAAACTTAACCTTAACCCGGGACGCCGACGCCGACACCGACGCCGAGGGTATTACATAAGCTCCCCCAACTTCGTTGAGGTGAGCTAAAAATGAACATTCAGTAAGGGCTCCACAGATGGCATATTATCTATGGGTGCAGTGAGGGATGAATTAATGATACCAGTTACTCAATAAAGCAATTAAAAGAATGTTTTATCTTTGTTTATACAGTTAAGTATTTTACCCTCAATATCTCGAAATCTAAGATATCTGAAGTTTGTTCTCAGCCCCATCGGGTTCAAAAATTCATACAGTCACTTATAAAATCAAATTGCAATAAAATTTGTATCTGAACCAGATTGAAGTACTGCACTTTCAAACATCCCCAAGTGATTGCAAACAAAACCTTAGCTTAATCTTTATACATCAAAATAATTATCACTTGCAGACAGTGGTGTAGAAGTATACTGTATACAGGAAATTTTCGCCCCTGTTTTATTTTCGCCCCTTTCGCCCTCTTCTTGATTGGGCAAATTTAAAACGGTGCGAATTAAAATTACACAGCATAATTTATTTAAACGGAACTATAACTGGGCGAATTTAAAACAGGGCAAAATTATTTGGAAGTGCAAAAGGGCGAAAATAACCCTGTATACAGGATTTATTTTTAAATTTACATAAATACATAATGAATACGTTTCTCTAAAGAGGCTATGTTAATTCATCACATGGGATTCATTGCGGCTTTCTCAGATAACAATTTAAGAAATAAATTTTATTCCAGAGAATTCATGTAGACATGAACTATGAAGCTTCATTGTGGCATATTTTATGAAGTGTGTTAGTCAGTAGTCACTTACTCGGTGCTTCATGATAAATATGCAGGCATTAAGTATTGTAGTTCATGTACCTCGTGAATTCCCAAAAATTGAATTCACATCTTATATCTACATTATTTTCTGATGACTTGGGGGATATTTTTTTCATTCAAAGGTCATTTTTGAAAAGAACTATATGCGGTATATTGCATATGTTTGCCCCCACAAAAGTCAAATTTTGAAAACTTCCTGAAATGTGCTGAATTCAATAAATTGTACGAGAAATATAAGTTAACAGAAAATATTATAGTTCCAGAGCAGTGTATTCACAAGTTCTGTTTTTATGACGTCACAAACTAGTCCGATTTTATATCCTTTTTCAGAAAGAGGACAAAATGGACAAAATTTCAACAATTTAAGCTTTAAAATTTATAGAGCGCATGTGTGTTCAGGAACAATATTGACATATTTCATTGATATTATCATTCTACACATTATATCAAAATATTTATCCTGAACACACATGCGCTCGGTGACTTTTATTTAAAATATCGACGAAATATGTACATTTTTCTGCAAAATTCATAAAAAATTGAAATTTACGTCATATTTGTGACGTCATTACGTACATATGACGTCATCACTTATGAAATTATTCAGTGCTTTGAAGTCAGCATATACTCCCCTGTTTAAGGACTTAATTAAATATTACTCCATCAAAGTTTGATTTTGGGGGGCAAATGTTGGTTAATACCGCATATAGTTCTTTGCACTTTTTATTTTACTTCAATAAGGTCATAATAGAAATATTCTTACTCATTCTATGGCAGTTCAAGAGAATGTTATTTTTTCTCGAACTTGCAAAGAATCTTCAGGAGAAATATTTGGAAATGAAAATATATTTGAATAAATGGACAAAGAGAGATAACTGATGACAATTTTCCTATTAATCTATTTCAACTCCCCTACTCCCAACTGGACGAGATCCAGGATCAAAAATAGTTTTATTATACATGTCCATTCAATCAACATTTGAACCTAATAGGACAACTGTAAAAAAAGTTAATAAATGGAAAAAAAAGAGAAAATTTCTGGATAGAAGAATGTCAATTTCTATAGAGCACCAGCAAATCCTTAATTGTGGGGCCAAATAAATTGTAATTTTATACCCACAGACTCAAAGGCAGACCTGTTTACTCTTACGATTTCGCCGTATTTTTAGTCTAGATTACGTCTCATGTTTTGCTATTATGAAAATATGGAAATTGGAAATACGTTCGTTTAGAATTTAGCAGTTAGTTTTCATTATGTTCTGTCTTAGGCCATATAAAACTGAAATCTTGGTTCTCAGGCCCGCGCGCATCCGTTTTGAGGTAGCCGCATTGCCGATTTTATTGTATTTTTGATAAAATAAAAAGTTGGTATTGCGGAGACCAATCCGGGAAAAAAAAATTCCGACCTCATTTGTTTCGTAGTTTAGTATTCAAATATCACTTCCGGTAGCCATTTACAATAAGATTTTGGCTACTTCGTTTGAAAATACATTCGAGGACATTACCTACGATGTTTACACGCTGTTAAGCAATGGATAGAGCAGAAATTTTAACCAGAAATGGAAAGTATATCTGTGATTAAAAAAATTATCTTTATGTTAAAGAAAATTCGGAAATTAAAAAAAAAACCTCCCTCATCTACTTTATTGCCAATAAAATGAAAAATAAAATGCCACCCTCCCGCATCTCTTTTGGAGAAAATTGGCCTGAGAACCAGGGAATTAAATTTAGATAGCCTTAGTTTCACGCTTTTTTATCGCTAAAGAAGAGAAAGATTTCAAACACATATAAGGGACGTCAGGTCGTCAAAATGCGGTGGCATTGTGAAATTACAAAGACCATGTTGTTAAACCATGTTTTTGTAATGCTATGTTCCCAATATCACGATTGGCGTCACGATTAAAATCGGGGACTCGAACGTGGACAAATCGTAGTGATCATATCCAACCGAAATAAATCTTGTGTTCACTCGTGGCTATCAGGTTGATCGTGAAATTTTTTTTGACTGTCAAAAATTGTTCTACGATTAACACGATTAAATTTTAATCGTTATCATCGCATCAAATCGCATTACATCGTAATTATCCTCAGCTGCATCGTAAGTAAACACATCTAATCTGGCTTTCATATCGTGATCATCTGGATCGATTTCGGACAGAACAAACATCCCGCTGAGTGGCGATTCGTTGTGATGTCTCACGTTCTGTCACTATCTGTGACGCTTTGCTTGGTCCTACTGCTCACGTGCTGACACGGTATTTTCCCGCTCAAAGACGATTTGATACGGACGTATGAGAGTAAACGTCATTAGACATGAGTGTTAACGCTTTGTTGCGGACAATCACGCTATATTATGAGTACTTAAACTTGCAAAAATAACGGGAAAATTGAACGCGTTTCTTTCCCGATTAAAAAAAATGTCTGAATTTTGGAAAAAATATTTTAAAGATGCCACCTAAAACAGGTACAAAAAAGGAAGAGGGGGAGACCCTATTTTCTTCTGAACCTGAACCCTTTCGATCAGAGGCAACATCGTTGAAAAAAAAAAAAAAAGATAAGAAAAACAGTTATACTGCTGCCTTTGCTCTACTTTGACAGCAATAACATATGGCCATAGTTAAACTACAAACACCACGTTTATGAAGTTGTCATCAACCTCCACTTCTGCCATTATTATTGATTGTATGTTTATGTTTTGTTTACTTTTTAAGGACAGACGATACAAACAAAAAAATAGATGCCTGGATTGGTATTTTTTTTTTTTTTTACATAATTTCATTGCAAATGATGCAAATAATAAATTTCTAGAATATAAAGAAATTGTAAACCTTCAGTGAGGTTCGGAATTCTACCCTTCTGAAACCATCCTTATTATTCTATACAAATAATTTTCACTTCAAATTCCATTTTTGTGCAAATTTGAATAAAAAAATAAAAACTATGCGGTGAAACTTATTCATTTTATTCATGAAAACATGACCCAAGTTGTTATTTTCAAAATTTTTGACAAAAGTTTGTTTGTATCATCTGTCCTTAAGGCCATACCAATTTCTAATATAGTTCGTCGGATTCGCCGCTTCTATTTTTAACAAATCCAAATTATAATATTAAAAAAATAAATTTTGCGCACGCGTCCAAAAATATCCGATTTCAATTTTTTTTCTTGACTTTTTACACAAAACGCATAGAAGACTTGGAAATTTGTATGACAGAAGCGCGGGATTTAGTGTTTGTTTGTACTTTTTAGCAGTCTGTGAAGTTTTGCAAGACGCTCGTGTAACTGTTTGTATGTACTAGGGGTGAGCAATTAGCATATCCAAACAACGGGGGCTTCCATTTTTGGGGATCAGGCTAGGTGTTTTCTGCAAGGAGGTAGCACGTCGGGCTAGTAAAAATCATAACTACACACGCAATGCAACAACGAATGACAAGAACAATCGGTATTTTCACTTGTATTTATTATAAAATTCCCAATCAGTTAAAATTTTCCAGACAAATTGCTCCTATTGTCAATAAATCTTCATAATATTATCTGTTTTGTAGTTCTATCTGACTTAATTACTTCCAAAAACGATCGTTTTTTTCCTAATCCGAATTTCCTCTATTCCTCCATTTATGGTAAATACATGCAGATATCTCATTAAATTATTTACGATTATCCAATGAACTGAAAGATAAGTGTTTTATGACTCATATAAAATATATTTCCAGTGTATTTAATGATTTAAGATGAAAACAAAATGCTTTTGATTTTATTCTAAATGAGCTAGTGCAATGATCAAGAAAAGGGGAAGATAATTCATTTAAATTAATTTAATTTTTTTTTCATAACAATTTATGCATGATTGATATTGATAGTGAGAACTTTTAACTTTAATTTTAAAAAGAATGACCCCAGTACCCTGACTTTTTCAGCAATTAATTTCTTCTCCAGATTTGTATTTATTTTAATTTTTGCCCCTCTGTTTGGGTAAATAACTTTTTATATTAATTGAAAGCTGCCACTAGCCTGTGGGAAAGTACTTGATTTTTTTCTCAATTGCACACCCCTGTGTACTATAGAATAGAACTTAGAAATGTTTTCCACTAACATTAATTATATTCGCTCGCCTCATAATTTTGAAAACTGAAAAAATAAATATTTGTAAAATATTTTCGCTCGCTCGCCTCTCTTTTTATTTTTGAAAATCCGAAGAACTATGTTACAAATTGGTGTGGCCTAATAGATAAAATATAAAGGACTCAGTATAGCCCGATTTTTGAATGTCTGTTGGGGTACAATCGTAACTCAAAACGTGTTCTATCTTGATCCTGATTGTGAATGACATTACAATGAACGTGTTATTTTATCGTACATTAGCGCAAGAGTGCACGATGAACACATTGTATCGTAGAGTACATATTAAAACGTAGGAGATCCTTTCTAATCGAGAACTCGGATCGTGATGTTCGTGACAGATCGAGGTCCTTTTTCGACTAAATCTTGATAATCCTATTGGAACGTAATTCATCTTATCAGAACGGTAGTCAGATCGTCAGAGATCGCATCTCATGAAATTTATCCATCGTGGCCATAGCGCATGAAAGCGTAATGAAACGTATAAAAACGCATCTCTTCGTATCTTGGCATAAAATTCAATAAAAACTCTGCGATCAACTACGATTGATCTATCCTGACGTGCGTAACTGGCCGCACGACAGTGGGAACGTAGCATAATCAGAAAAGCAGTTTTTTCCTATTAATATATGTAAAATCGATTGAAAGTGAAATCTTACTGGCTAATGCCAAATCTCACGGTCAAATCGAATCAAAATACTAAGAGACAAAGATATGGGTAAACAAGTCTGCAAAGGGAAAGCTAATTCTGCTGAATTTTGACCAAAGCAAAGTAAGCATATCTGTAGTAAGTATATCTAGTAAGCATATCTACAGTAAGTAGGAGATATATGTAGCTGCTGAAAACACAAGCAGACATTTAGAGAAATTAAATCTAACATAATAACTTTTCTTCCTAATTGTTACAATTAACCCACCTGTTCTTCCTCTGCTGGAGTGAAGTCATTCTTGATATTAAATGTCTTTCTGATTTCTTCTGGGGACTTTCCCTTGATCATATTTGCTACAGTTTTACAGGTGACATCCAACAGTCCTTTAATATCCAGGTAATTTGCTGCCTAAATTGTAAAATAAAGGAAAAGCATTTTCAAAGAGCCTTTTTTTCAAATAAAGCACAGACAGTCCTTTGGTAGACTTCAAGTTCTAATTTTATTTTAATTTTACAGATTTTGATAACATATCTAAAGGGAAAAAAAATCCTGAAATTTTTATGTTTTAGTATTCCTTTGGAACTTTTAATACCCTTTTTTCTTAAAGTTTTTAGAGTACAGTTACAACTATGGTTACAAAAATACATTTCTTCCTCTGACTTCTAATAAACACTGCATATTTGGCAGTGATAAGCATTACCACTATAGACATAGGTCAGCAGGGATAATCTGCTGGTCAGCTTTACTGATCCAGAATCAGAAGACTTTATCTGATGACAAGATGTCAGTAATTTGTCTCAACTTATTTGATGTCCATTATTTATCAGTCAATCTGTCAGTCTGTAAACAATTTTTCAGAACAGTATTCTTTAGTTTTCATTCAATTTGAACAGATCTTGATACACAAGTCTGATTCGATGTGAATACAATTTGATACACAAGTAGACAGCACCAAAATAGAATTCAGCTCTCTGTTTGTTTTTATTTTGGTAAACAGTTCAGTTGTTCTTACTTACAAGAATTAATTCAAACAGAGTGCCCTGGTCCACTTTGAGGAATTCAGCATCCCATGAGCAGATATCATCAGTTCTCTTCTCCTTGTTCTCATCGTCCTCGGGCGGGGGAGGGTCATCTTTGTGGTAGGTGCACCAGGCGATGACTTTTCTGAGGATAGCTGCGTTGACATTTGGAAGTGGGACGGGTTCTTCATCATCATCTTCTACACCCAGATCTACAAAAAAACCAGGTACATGTACTTCCATTTTAATTACAAGTCATCTATTTGGTTTTAATACCAATTTCTGATCTTCTGACCTTCTAATCATCTAAGTTATTATAGAAGTTAGCAGTACAGAAACCAACTACCAATTTTGAGTTGGACTACTGGAAAATCTTGTAGTAGTTGCCTGTCATGCTTGTTAAAAACACACTATCTACTTACCATTTAACATTGAAATCATTAGAAAAGAAAGTTTTAATGGTATCTTAACACACTAAGTTTAATTAGTTATTTTGAATATACTGTTTATTTTTCCTGTACTATGTACCCATTTTGGTCATATGTATTGTATTCTATAATTTAGTTTCAAATCTGCATCTTTTGTCAATGACACATTGAAAAACCAGAAGTCTCTGTCGAGACTGAAGCTCTACTGGTTTGTACTTATAGCAAAGAAGAGAAAAGTACTTATAAGCAGATGGGAATTGAAACTTTAAAACAGCAATAAATTATATTACATTATATTATAATCAGACTAAAACTGTATTTGGAGTAGCATTTTAAGAGCATTTAACTGAAATTTCTATTTTTAGTACCACGGCAACACCGTTCATTGAAGTCAAAAACCGATATACAGAATTATGTATCTTAGTGTAGTCTACTTGTGTGCCAAGTTATATTGAAATCAGACAAAAACTGTAGGAGGAGTAGCATTTTGAAAGAATTTCACAGAAATTTCTATTTTTAGTAACCATGGCAACACCACTCATCAAAATCAAAAACCGATACACAGAATTATGTATCTTAGTGTAGTCTACTTGTGTGTTAAGTTATATTGAAATCAGACAAAAACTGTGGGAGGAGTAGCATTTTGAAAGAATTTCATGGAAATTTCTATTTTTAGTAACCACAGCAACACCGATCATCAAAATCAAAATCCGATACACAGAATTATGTACTACCTTAGTGTTAAGTCTACTTGTGTGCCAAGTTATACTGAAATCAGACCAAAACTGTAGGAGGAGTAGCATTTTGAAAGAATTTCATAGAAATTTCTATTTTTAGTAACCGCAGCAACACCGTTCTTTGAAATCAAAAACCGATACACAGAATTATGTATCTTAGTCTGGTCTACTTGTGTGCCAAGTTATATTGAAATCAGACCAAAACTGTAGGAGGAGTAGCATTTTGAAAAATTGTTTACAGACAGACAGACAGACAGACGGACGGACTACGGACGCATTACTATCGCATAAGCTCTTCTGGTCTCTGACCAGTAGAGCTAAAAATGAAATAATATTATACTACATTTAATAAAACTTTTCAAATTAAAACCAAGTTAATGTGTATGATTTTAGATTTGTATTAAATGGTTTGGGCCGTGGATATCGGCCTGGGTAGCTCAATCTGTAGAAAACCTGACAAGTGATACAGGGGTCCCGGGTTCGATTCCTGGTCCAGCCATACGTTTTCTCCTTCTGCCATGTACTGCCCACAATCAACTAGTTGATTATTATGGCATGTGTGGTGCGCATGGAGTTCCAAAATCATAAAAATTTAAAAGGTTAAAAGGTTAAAATATTAGATTCATGGCATATAGTGGTCACCTGAGACTACCAGGGGCAATCAAGTGTTTTTGCCATGACAATCTCTGGTTAGGTGGTTGTGTCTTTGATGGTACAAAGACAATTTTCTATAGTCACTTTTACAAGATGGTAATTGGTAGGCTTCTTGGTGAGTATTGGTGATCCATGGATAAGTCGATCATGCTTGGTAACGGCAACTTCATCATGAACGATCTTATAAAACAGGACGAGAAATTCCTGACTAGTGTTTGCCATTGCAGATGTTGTATCATGCTGTCCACACTTGACCTGTTTCCATGCCTATTGCTTACATAGCGTGCAGCACGTCGTTGGACCATTTCCAGATTATAGGTGTCTTTTTGGGTGTACAATTCAAAATTTTCTCCTTTATTGATGTTGAGCTGTCATTTAAATTTCGGCGGAGATTACTTGTTTCCTTTGCTACAGATGTTACTTATATGATCGCTCCATTTCAAGTCAATGTTATTCAGACAGCAGTATTACCTTCAAGTATGGCCATGTAGCTTGTATTGGTGATGTATTGGGTTTGGCTTCCTGCTGACTGATAGTACATTACATTTATCAGGATGGAATTCTACATCTTCCACTTCCTTTCCCAAATGCCCAGTTTATCAAGGTCTGCCTGGATGTCTGGGTGTCCAACAGTAAGATATACGATAGTATCATCAGCAAAGAGTCTTACTGTGGCATTGAGGCCTTCTCATGTTTTATATAGAACAGGAATAAGCATGGCCCAAGGACTGACCCTTGAGGCAAAACATTGACATAGCAAAACATTTCTCCTTCGACTACTACAGCTTGTGTTCTGTTGGACAGGAAGCTTCCAATTGTTCACTTTTCCCTATCCCATAATGTCGGAGTTTATGGATGAGGAGGCTATGGCTGACCTTGTCAAAAGCCTTGGAAAAGTCCATGATCAATACATCTGTCTGCTTTCCGGCAGCCATGTGATTGGTTATGTCATCTATAAACTCAATGAGTTGGGATTCACAGGATCTCTTGCTACGGAAACCATGCTGAAGTGGGTATAGTATGTTATTGGTATCAGCGTGTTGCATTATATGGCTGGTGATGATATGCTCCATGAGCTTGCAGCAGATACATGTAAGGGAGATGGGTCGATAATTCTCAGCCTTGTATCTATCCCCTTTTTTGAAAATCGGGCTAACATGAGCTTTACGCAACTCCGACGGTATCTCTCCACTTTCTAGGGATTTCTTAAAGATGATGGTGAGAATAGGGGTCACGCTATCAGCCAGCTCCTTCAGTACTCTAGGTTTAATACCATCTGGGCCCGCTGCTTTATATGGATTCAGATTTTTCAATAGTCTTAGAATTCCATTATGGGTGATGTGCAGTTCTGGTGCAACTGGGTGTTTTCCACTCATAGGACAGTCAAAAATTCTTCAGTACTGATATGTGTCTTCTCTTACGGACTGGAACTGCTTGTTTAGCACATCTGCCTGGTCAGTCGGATTGGCATGTAGCACTCCTTCACTGCGGATTAGTGAGATTCCATTGTTGTCAGTTCTTTGGTGTTTTATATAGGTCCAGAAGCGTTTTAGGCCGCTGTATTGGTCATCCTCTACTTTAGGTGTTACTATTCCCTCGATGTAGTTCCAATATGCTCTTCTTAGATCTCTTTGAACCTTCCCCTTGATTTCTTTAAAGTGTTCATTATCTCTGTTGTCTCCAGATTTCTTCTTCTTTTTGTATAGTCTGTTTTTCTTATGGATGAGTTTCTTAAGTTCTGGTGTTATCCATGGTAGGCCATCTTTGGCTCTGGCATCTTTATGTGGTATATTTTGCTTTATGCTGTTTTCCAGGTTAGTTTTAAAGCACTTCCACATCTCATCTACACTGTGATTATCAACGTCCATCTTTGATATTGTGTTTAGGGTTGATGTCATATCTTCTTTCATTGTATCCCAGCTGGCTTTGCGATACAAGGGGATTTTCAGGTTTTTGATGTTTCTTTAGGATGTTCGTGTCTATTTCTGCAAAGACAATGTATGATATGCCTGGTATGGTTTCTACTCTGTTAAATTTTGATGGATTGTTGGTCACTATCAAGTCCAGGGTGTTTTCGCCTCTTGTTGGGCATTCTACTAGCTGAACTAAGCCATTGTCATCCAGGATATCTACAAATTTGTAGTGATTTCCTGACCAGGCGGTATTTGGCTTTAGTGTCTTATTTGTCCAGTTCCATCCTGTAAGTTGAAATGCCTGCAACAATTACACTTGCATTTTTAACCTGGTGCACCCGATTTAAGCTTTTTCGTAGTTCTTCTAAAGATTCTTCATTAGATGTTTTGGGGTTATAGTATGATGCTATATATAGGTCTTTCCGTCCAACTAGACTGATCTTCGTCCAGATGATTTCACAGTTAGAGTCTAGCTCAGGAACTGGTGAGCTCACATATTTTTTGTTGACAGCAATGAGCACACCTCCTCCATTAGAGGCACGGTCTTTACGGTATAGTTTATACTCTGTTGGAAAGATTTGGTTGTCTGTAATTGATGGGTCTGTCCAGGTCTCAGTACACACAACAATGTCAGGTTTGGTACTTTCTATGAGATTTTTGATTCGGCATTGTTTGGTCTTTATTGACTGGCAGTTTACATTTAGTAGTTTGATAGGAGATGTTTTTGGTCGAGGTTGATGGTTCTTAGTTGGTGTCGAGGTATGAACTGGTGTAATAGTTGCACTTGGTGTTGGACTAGCAATGGTTGAGTCTGATAACACACTGAAGGGGTTTGATGTTGTGACTATATGTTCAAAGCAGACTGAGCTGTAGTTAGGGCAGTCGCATATGATACAATCCCAAGCAATAGCACTGTTGTTGGCAAGTTCATTATATGTCTTACTATGAACAGATTGACAGGTAGCATGGTACCACTGGTTGCATGTTTCACACATAATACCCTTGTCATCCCAAGTAACTGGAAGATCACAAGTTCCACATGGGTAGGAGGAATCAGCAGGTCCAGGGTTACTCTCAACATCGTTTGATCTTATATATGGAGATAAGGAATACTAACAAGGACTTTGTGTTTTCTTGGTCCTTTAATATATTCTTATTAATCACTTGTCTGAGGATGGTGAAGTTTAAAGTCTGCATTTTCACAGCTAAATCATGATTTTGATTTGACAGAGGAAATTCTGGTTGTGTATAGAACAGATTCTCGAGGCATGATAACACAAATAACATGTATAGAAGGAGCATTATGTTGGTACAGATGCATACATACAATTATGATGGTCAGGCGAAGACTGGATGGCTATGGCAAGGGGCTGGTACCATTTTGGTGAACAGCTGATTAATACTCACAGATCACTGATGCTTTTCACATTATATGAATGCAGTCTTACAAGCGTTTTACCAATGAGGTAGCAGGATCGAGTCACACATTGATTGCAGGTGTAATACTTCAACTTTCCTGCGGTTTATGTCGTCTTAGACTAAATATTTTGATAAACTTGGAAAAATTTTAAGAGCAACAAAAATTTACGTCTACTACTTTCGCGCATGCGCACCACACACCTTTCCTGTTACAGATTCAAAATTTTCTGAAGAGCTGTCATTAACATTGGCGATTACATTTACATGCACTTTTCTTCATGGCCATTTCAATCAAGTATTCAAAGCAGTTTACCTTCAAGCATAGTTTTGATAGTAACTGATTGTCTTGCAATCTCTACATCTATCTCGAATACTTCCCCCTCCAAACTCTGTAACTTTATCATAGGCATCTGAAAGAAAATGCACCTGATAGCAAAATTTCTCAAATTAAAAAACACAAAAGACAATATTTAGGCAAACATCCACATCAAAATTATTTTTCATCTAAGAGTTTGTACAAATTTCCATGAATTATTACAAATATGATCGAATGCCTTTGAAACGTGCGTCATTCAGTCATTCTCTCAACTCTGCTGTCTTACTTCATTCACTGATTAACAATGAGCTGTATTTCATACTTTCCACTGGTTATCACCAGAAAGGAAAATATAATATATATGTGTAAAAATTAGTAATCCTTTATTGTAATGTTTTCCATTATACACAATGCAAAATACACGTCACTTGGCAAATGGTCATAACTATGTTAAGAAACACTCCGCCATCTTTGTTGGCAAGAGAGAACACGTTCGGTGGTCTAAACAAATGACCTTAATCAAAGAATATAATCAATTCGGTTGGAGTGCTCTATCTCAAACAAACCTTCATTCAAGAATTAAGAATAAAAAATGAAAATATACTCACCTTGTTCGTATATTATTATGCTTTCAAGCTGACCAATTTTCATGGAACGTCTGAGCCAAAATATATATCGAAAATGTATTTTCAGAATTTCGAGCCCGATGTAAACCAAACTCGACAGCTTAGATTATCACTGTGTATATGCAATCAATACATAGATAACTTAGCCCAATGCGGGGTTTAAATCTTACCCCCAGGACAAAAACCTCACAATAAAATACATCGTATAGGGCTAATTTCTCAACAAATAATTTAATTAGACTGTGATTATATTTCCAGAGAAAGAAATTAAAGTTAGTTGAAGGCCAATTGAATTTTTTATTCCTCATTTAATATACCCATTCAAATATACAAAGCCCATGGAACTCATTTTTGTAGGTAAAAAATTAAATTTTCGTGTTATAACGCGTAACTTTCGCGAATAAATGCGAAACTTTCGCGTTATGACGTGAAACTTCTGCTGTTTAACCGAGATATTTGCATAATTTCAACTTTCATTGATTTTAATTATGTTTAAATATGATCTAATTTATTCGTTACAATTTCCCCTTTCTTATGGAATGCCATATACGACAGCCAACTGCTTACTGCCAACTGCTGACTGCTTACTGGCAACTGCCACACATAATTGAATAAATTTTATTTTTATATTGATATATATGTAAATTTAAAAAAGAGGCGCGGATCTATAGGACATTTTTCCAAGAAGGTCACTCTGATAAAAAAAAAATCCAAACCAGAAATTTCTTGACAAGAAAAAAATACGTAAAGTCCTTTCCTAAATGTGAAAATTTATTTCGGCCGGGGAGAGGGGGTTCTTATGCGTCATACCTTCATGTGTATGACATTTTTCATATCAACTTAACACGAATCCACATTTTTGGTTGGGGAGGGGGGGGGGTTCTAAGGTCCCTTTTAGTTGATTTATTTTATACATTAAATAACTTTTAGATGGTTTAGTTTGTGCATTAAATAACTTTACAAATTTTAGAGGGGTGTTCCGGACCCCTGTCTCTAGATCTATGCATGTAAAACATATTTTATTTGTACAAACAAAGAGATATAAATGTTTGATCGGCGTTTTCTAAGTGGAGGGTCCAAGGTCAGTTATACCGGTAGTTCGTTTAGTTTATTTAACGTATGACTGTATAAATTTTAAATGCCCCCCCCCCCAGATCTATGCATGTGAAACATTACAGGAACGTAGCATCAGGAGGGGGGTGGGGGGCTGGCCCCCACCCCCACTTTTTTTCCCAACATTACCTTTACTATTGAAAATGTATATTGAAAGGATGGTTGCCCCCCCCCCCACTTCTTACCATAGTAAAATGATATGAAGGATATGTAGTATTGTGTGGAAAAAAAATGTAAGTAAAAGGTAGTTGGCATTAAAAAAAAGCTAGCCACCCCCCCCCCCCCCCCCCCCGAAATAGGATTTTCGAGTTTGGGCTATTTCCTTTTTTTCCTTTCTTTCTTTCTTTTTTTTTTTTTTTTGCTTGTCAACTTTTTCAGGTAAGTAAAAAAAAATTTCTCTGGTTGCCCCCCCCCCCACTTTCAAAAACGATGCTACGTGCCTGCATTATAACACACAGAGATATACATCTTTAATTTGAGGAAATTTTTAACTATAGAAAATAATGGAAAACGGAAATTTATTTTCAAAACATCTTTCTCTGCGAAGCGGCAAATCTTTTTTATTATTATTCTCTCTTCAAAGGTTTTGTTGTCTCCGGGGGAGGGGTGGGGGGCTTCTTTAAAGATTAAAAGCAGAAAATAGTCATTTTATTACCTATTTCAAATAGGAAAAAAATAAACAATGTACTTTATCAACTGCATATATTGAATATTACATAAGATAAAACATATTGGTCATTTTATTCAGTTCAATTTTACCAGGGTGACCCCCGTGGAAAAAATGTCCTGGATCCGTGCCTTTTTTCCCTTTTTTTGTGAAAATTCATATAAATATCAATACAAATATAAAATTTATTCAAATATATGTGGCAGTTGGCAGTAAGCAGCTGACAGTTGGCAGTAAGCAGTCGGCAGTTGGCAGTAAGCAGTTGGCTGTCGTATATGGCATTCCATACTTTCTAAATCTTTTTTTCAGTCACATTTCGTGTTTCTCAATGCTGTTCAAACAATTCAAAGTCTATGCGAGTTTTCCAAAACTGAAAATTGAATGACAAATGTTCATTTGTCTCCAAAAATGTTCATTACACTGTATTTTGAGGTTGCACCACGTGGTCATATACCATTGCATTCGAAACATTGACAATGAATTCAAAGTGTACAAACTCTCAAAAAATCAGTCTTAAGAATTTCTTGAATTTAACAAGTGAAAACAAAAAAAATCTTTAAAGGTATATTCATTTTATTTTAAATTAGTAGGGATTTTAAATAAAATGCAAAAATCTGAAAACTAATCTATCCTATTATCGCGTCATTTCCCCGGTACATCTTCTGAGAAAAAGTCATTCATAAATTCATATAGAAGTTCCCGTCTGCCTTCATGTGTTTTATATCTGCCATTCAAGATCAAAGGTCTCTAAGTAAGCAACATTTATATACTATATAGGTCCGTGTAACACTTAACAATTCCAATTTCTTAAACGATTTAGAGTTTTAGAATGTTAATATATTAGTTCAAATATCTAACTTTCAAAAACTCAAACTGATTTGGTATAATGAAATTTAATATTTTAGTTCAAAAATCTAAATTTCCAAATAGGTTTTAGAATTTTGATATTTTAGATTTTTACCTTAAATTTTCAAAATTCAAATTACCAAAAACGATTTATGGAATAAACGTTTGAGTTTTTAGTCTACCGTTTGTTCAGAAAGTTTACACTTAACAATCTAAAGTTTGGTAATATTTTTCGTCTTTCGATTATTTGAAATTAGCTTCAAACTTCTAAAATCCAACTTTGAAACGTTTAAGATTTTTAGAAATTTTGGTTCAAATGTTCAAATTTCTAATAACTTAACACTGTTTTTAGGTCCGTGTAACACTTAATAATTCAAATTTCTAAAATGATTTTGAGTTTTAGAATGTTAATATAATAGTTCAATTTTCTAAATTTCAAAAACTCAAAATGATTTGGTATATTGAAATTTAATATTTTAGTTCAAAAACCTTTTTTTTTTTCAAATTTCTACCAAGGTTTTAGAATTTTAATATTTTAGATTTTTACCTTAAGAAACCAAAATTCAAATTTCCAAAAACGATTTTTGTAATCTAAACGTTTGAGTTTTTAGTCTACTGTTTGCTCAGAAAGATTACATTTAACAATCTATAGTTAAGTAATATTTTTCGTCTTTTGATTATTTGAAATCAGCTTCAAACTTCTAAAATCCAACTTTGAAACCTTTTAGATTTTTAGAAAATTGGAAGTTTAGTTCAAATATGCTAATTTCAAATAACCTAAACACTTTGAGTTTTAGAATTTTACTTTAACAATCCAAAATACCAAGTTTCTAAACCCGATTTGAATTTTGAATATCAGCTCAATATTCTAACTATCTTAAAGCTCTTTTGCTTAGCCAACAGTGTTTTTGTAATAGTTTCAAAATTCAAACCAGGTTTGGAACTTGATATTTTGGATATTTGAAGTAAATATCTAAAACCTCCAAGTGTTTTGGTTGTTTGAAATTTGAATGTTTGAATAAAAATTCTAAATTTTAAAAAAATCTAAAACGTTTTGAAAGTTGAAATAAAGAAGTTTGAAGTAAATTTTGAAATATCAAAACTCCTCAAACTGAATTTTAGATTGTTAAGCGTAAACTTATTAAATAAACAGTAGGCTAAAAACTCAAAAGTTTGAAATACAAAATTTGTTTTTGGAAATTTGAATTTTGAATGTTTAAGGTAAAAATCTAAAATTCTAAAACCTGTTTGGAAATTTGAAAATTTAGGTTTTGAACTAAAATATTAAATTCCAATATAAGAATCAGTTTAAGTTTTTGAAATTTAGAAATTTGAACTAATATTAACATTCTAAAACTCTAAATCGTTTTAGAAATTTGAATTGTTAAGTGTTACACGGACCTTTTTAGAATTTTACTTTAAATATCCAAAATTTAAACCAGGAATAGAATTTCATATTTTGGATATTTGAAGTAAACCTCTAAAAACTCAAAATGTACAAACGTGTTTTGGTTATTTTAAAGTTGAGTTTTAAAATCAAAATTCTAAATTTCTAAAAATCTAAAGCGTTTGAAAGTTGGAAGTTTGAGGTAAATTTTAAATAATCAAAAGACGAAAATGTTATCGAATTTTAGATTGTTAAGCGTAAACTTTCTAAACAAACGGTAGATTAAAAACTCTAAAGTTTAAAATACAAAATTTGTTTTTGGAAATTTGAATTTTGAATATTTAAGTAAAAATCTTAAAACTCAAAATGTTCAACCTGTTTGGAAAATTGAAATTTTAGATTTTTGAACTAAAATATTAAAATTCAATATACCAAATCAGTTTGAGTTTTTGAAAGTTAGATATTTGAACTAATATATTAACATTCTAAAACTCTAAATCGTTTTAGAAATTTGAATTGTTAAGTGTTACACGGACCTATATACATTACTATATAACTTCGCGATATAAAGCGAAAATTACACGTTTATTCGCGAAAGTTACACTTATAACGCGAAATTTACGCGTTTATTCGCGAAAGTTTCACGTTATAAAGCGATCATTTTATTTTTTAACCTACGAAAACGAACTCAGTGGGTTTTCTTACAAATAGTTTGCCTGCACTCACGAGGAGATAGAAAAAAGATTTTCAAAGACACGAATCTTTAATACATGATAACACTTGGTGCTTAAGCTTTTATACTTCACAAGTTCACATGTATTTATTTTGTGATAACTTTTACAGACCTTTTCTTGGGTGCAGATATTAAACTTATCGATAAAACGTGATAGATCTATGAGTTTTTGTTCCACTCAAAACCCATATCTTTGGCCATAAGTTGGGAATGATTGGAACTAGGGTTTTCATATCATACATGTGTAAGAAGACTTTTTCTTGGTGCCAACGATTTTGACCATTTGATCCTGACCTCGGTGTTTGACTCACTTTTGAAAAGCTCTAGCTTTGGCCATAACTCTTGAATGATTGTTGTTGGAACTTTCATTTTCAAAGTGTATCCCTTGTTATATGCCTTTGGGTATGAGCAGTTTTGACCTTTTGTCTTGACCTTGGTTTGTCTTACTTTTGATAAAAAAAATTTTATTCTTGGCCATAACTTTTGAATGATTGGTGCCAGGGCTTTCATTTTTATACATTCTTTGTTATAAGATCTTTACTTAGCCACAGTTAATTTTGACTTTTGACCTACCTTTGGAAAACTTAAATCTGGGCTATAACCATTGGTAGTACGACTTTTATGTTCCGCATGTGTATTCAATGTTATAAGATATTCCTTTGGGCGTATACCTTTAACCTTGGCCATGTTTTGAAAGGTTGGTGCTAGGGCTTGTTTATTCCTTAATAAATAAAAAAACGTCCTTAGGCTCCATTAATTTTGAAAATTTGACCTTGATACACTTTTAGCAAATCTTCTATCTTGTCCATAACATTTGAATGATTGGTGCAAAGTCTTCATATTTCATAAAGACGATTTCCTTACTTGTGATAAAACCTTTACTATGGGTACCAATATTTTATATCTCTAGACCTTGGCCTTGGTGTTTTGCTTGCATTTGAGAACTTAAATCTTTGCAGAGAGCTGCCATCACTGTTTCACAAAAACCTTTTGTTGACAGTTTAACACGTCTGTAATTTGTCAAATTCCTCTGCATCACCGGTAGTGCCGATTACACTGTAAAAACTTGGTGGCCCAATATTAAGTATGAAGAAGAACCACGAAGATCAGCTTTCAGGAACACATGCTACCGCTTTCAACAGCCAACTCTCTAATTTGAATTCTGTTCTATAGTTCATGAAAAGCCAATTCTAAATTCTTTATATTATGTAAGTTGTTCAATTTGTTCAATCTTATTGCAGTACCAATGCAATGAAAAAATCTTACGTGTCCTCTGCAAGTCTGAAATTACACTCTCAAATAAGTACCATGCAATGCAGCTATTTCAAATTGTCAGCATTACTACTGGTACTCAGCACTACACAAACCATCAATATAATGTAAAACAGAAAATAAATTATTGACATTTTATTGAATTATTGTACATCTCTGTATAAAGCAAATTAAATAGCAGCAGTGGAAAACCTTGCAATGTCAGGTACAGACCATGTTCAGTTTTGGTACTTTTATCCATACGACACGTCATAAAAAGGTTGTCATACAGAGTGTTAACAAAAAATTGACAAAGGCAAGCTTGGTATACTTGATTAAATATAAGAAAATCTGCAATTGTACATTCTTCATCTCATGAACAATAACAAAATCGTGCCAGTTTCTCCATTTCACAACCCTGCATTAGAGATCCTTCTAGATTTTACAATAAACATCTTCAAAATTTTTATCAAATTGGGTAATATTTTAGAAGCCCCCCTCCTCCCTCCCCATGCCTGGAGTACTAGTATCTAGATTGGTAAATGACTTGTGTATCAAATTAACCTGAGCAACAGACTGAATATATATGATACAAGATATAAATTTGGTTGTTGTACATGTATTAAAAAAATTATCTTAGCAACTTGGTCAAAAGCGTCAAAATGAGGAAACTACAAGTACATAAAATTATATAATGGCATCAACCATGAGAATAAATTTATCCCCAGTCAATTTAAATATAAATTCAGTGCAGTCTCTCTCTCCCTCTCTTTTTCCATCTCTCTCTCTCTCTCTTTCTCTCTCTGTATATACTAGTATAAATAATGCAAGAAAGCCTTGCATCATGGTCACATACATATGTAAAGTTTGCATGTCTGGGTATTGTATGGTCCACCAAAAAGGATAACAGAAAATACTAATGACAATCCCTCATCTATGAGCCTGATGATGAACACAGTTTCTCTTTATATGGCAAACTGATACAAAGAAATGAAAGACACATTGAACTTTTGGACTAGAATGTGTCTGGGGGGATCAAGCTATTTAAATTTTACTCCATCATTGCACAATAGATAATTTTACTCTTATGAAAAGAATATTTATGCTAATAAAAAATCAGTTTGCTTTTAGAAAGGTCATTAGAGTTATTTAACACTTTTCACACACACAGTTCATGATTAGGAGGAAAAAGCCCAATCAAAATGAAACATTTCTTCAAGATCCTCCCACTCTAAATGGCACTTACATGTACGGGAAGATATTTTTGTTTTAATTCAACTAAGAAAATTCATAGAAATTACATACTTATTAAATTCATATCTTTTCAAGAGATGATTGATACAAACCATTTGAAAATGTGTTTACAACAATACTTATTCTGAAAAGCATTCTATCAACTACATTACTATTCTTTAATAATGAGATGAGTATCACTTTATGCTGTTAGGTATACATACATATAATATATGTATAAATATATAATAAATACAACTGACTTTGGTGTAATTTTTTTTTTTACACATATGGTTTATATTGTGTTATAAATATGAGAATAAGATAAATTATCACTCACAGTAAATTTGGGTCCAAATGCTCAAATTGGATTCCCATAATTATAAATTATGTTCCTTACCCTATTTCTATGTACGATATTCAAAGCCCTATAAAAATCAAAAATATATCAAAATGTATGCTTACTTATCTATAGCTATTTATATATGTGCTTCAATACACAGAAAGTCTTCACCTTTCAATGCATTTAAAGAGAGCAAAAATTCATGTCTAGAGACATACAGAGTCAGTTGATGAATCGTGGGAAAAGACATGCATTACCTAATAAGATTGAAATTTTCCTGATTTTCTTATATCCTTTCCAAATATCTGCATATCATGAAAAAATTAACGTATTTCGTCCGTTTGAAGAAAAATGACAGATTTGAGATATTGTGAGTCTCCCTAATTAACAACAGTTTCAATAATAAAGAGTAAAAAATAACACAAGACAAGAAACAGATATCACAAAAAATCAACATTGTAAAATCACAGCTGAAAAGGGTTTTCTCTAACAAAACAGCAGAGTGTCAAAATAACATTTCATTAAAAAAAGCTATTATGTTTGTTGTTGATTACAAGACAATGTCCACTATAATGTTATACTCTCATATGAACAGCACTTTCTTATTATTTTCAAAATGACATAAAATATATATCCACATTAATCAACTTTTTCACAACTATGAATCTTCAAATAATCACTCACAAAAAGGTTTCAAGATTGCATATTTAGCATCTTGAAGATGGATAAATAATTACACTTCATTCTGCCTATATATTTTAAACAATGTGAAAAAAAGTTTTTGAGGCGGAATACTTGATATCACTGACATTAACCACAAAGCATCATTCATATTCACTTCATTGCAACAATCTCCCATTCACATATTATGCACTGGTATATTGGCCCACTAAAAATTGTAATAAAACACTATATAGTTAATGAACAAGAAAATGCCTCTTTGAACGTCCGCTAACCTGTTGAACAGTGAGCTGCCCGAGCGCCACCTGGTGTCAGTCTGCCATTGCATGGCATGCAGGTCCGGCCTGCGGCAGTCATTTTCTCTTTGCGGCACAAAACGGACTGGCATCTGATCTTGCCGCATCATCGTCGTCTACATAATTTCTCCATAACTCCATCCTACACTGATATGAACTAATTAGGTTTAATTTTTTCAATTATCCACACAACGCTTGCTCTCCTGGTCACACAACCTCCGAGATTTCATCCTCACCGTGAAAGAAGAAACCGCACTGTTCTATAAGCGTCTGTACTATAATCGCCGGGAGGCGTGTCATCTGTGTCATGTCTGTGTAGGTTTTACCGGTAAAGTCTATCCTCAGGAGAGTTGGCCACAAACAAATGGCCAAGTTTGAACTGTTCATGTTATGTGTCGCCTTGTGTTGACTCACTCTGTGACAAAGAAAAATAAACATATACTTATCAATATTGTTTTTTTAGTTCATATTGGTAAATATCCACATATATTATGTGTTGCCTTTGAAAGATAAAAATCATTACATCTGAGCTAAAATTTAATAAGATCATAATTTACACAAAATAAAGACATGTTCATTATATTTATTTAACAATATACAGTGTTGTTTAATGTTTGCTATAGAAAATGATCTGAGAAACTTTAAATTGTGCTTAATTTTCAAATGTCATCATATTGTCAATCTAATTATTCAAAATTTACCTTTTCAGATGAGTAATGAAATACTTTAGCACTTCATAGTTTGTGGGGTAGACCTTCTTGAGGACTCCTCTTAAAGCTAATAACTTTGAACTCTTGTCTGGCATACCTGAAGAATAAGAAAAAAAATATGACATGTGTACAGCTCTAATCTGGCTTCTTGTTTGTGTCAAAATATAAAGTACATCTTGAAAATGTGTGGTGATGTAAACAACTCTGTGATACCACTGTAAACCCTGAAATCTGTGTCTCTTTGATGTATCTTTATAAATATAAACCCATTATGTATACAGTGTAAATGATCAGTCATAGAAATGTTTTGTAAATGGTCATTTCTTATTTTGAAAAAACACTGGAATGCGATGGGCCATCTACAGGATATACTGTAAGGATTATGAATATTGAATTATAATAGTAAAAAAAATTCCTACATTTTGAAACCCATTATATATATAAAGAATGACTCAATAAGGCATTAGTAAAATGTTAAAGCATGCAAAATTATCTTTAAAGAACTACAAATATCTGAATTTTGGTATATCACTTTTACCATACTAGAAATATGTCATACATTTGACAGTAACATCCTCTTTCCTGCTCTAATAAACCTAAAGAGCACCATTGTTTGGTTTTTCAAAAATATCCAAGAAACAAATGAGAAAGAATTCCATGACCATTCTTAAATTTGATGTTAGTTGCTTGACAGAAAATGCTAAAGATTAATAGAATGAAAAATGAGTTCTACAAATAACACTCCACCATTGAAGGTCAAGGTTACACCACAGAAGTATGAGATTACCCCATGGAAGGCAAAGAATATATGCCTAATAATGCTCACTGGTAAGTGATACAGGCTAACTTAAATGTAACATTGATATCTAGGAAGTGACAACTCTGCAAAAACATTAATTTATTTCATAATATACTAAATTTGTTTTGTTTTGAAAGAAAAATTCAAATATTGCTGAAATGAGTTTATAGTCATATTTACAAGAGAAGACAAAGGGTAGAGAGTTAGAGAAGACACCTACCTAAACTGGCAGGTAACTGACAAAGTGGAAAAACACATCCTTTTTGAAAAAATATACAGACATGTCATAGTCTCATGCACAGTAATTAATTTCCATTCAGTGGTACTAAGCTAGTAGGTAAATGTATGTCTTATGTAGTTGATATACAGATAAATATATATAGTTGTATATGTAATGATGCAGTTCAATGTAATATATTTTCAGTGGCATGGGGAAATGACAGAATTATTATGACAGAGATGTTCTTGGAAAATTTGTTAATAGTGGTACGTCAGTGCTTAGAAAAATAATGAAGCAATAAAGCACACAGGCAGGCACGCCAGATGTGACCTCTAACATAACCTCAAGCTGAATTGTGATTGGTTGATATTTTTACCTTCAGACTCATCATCCTGCTCAGTAATCTTTGCTGTAAATTGTACACAACAATTAGAACAACACTCTAATCAGCTACCGGATGATGCATTAAACAATAATCACTCCGATAATTCAATATTTTTACCATCAGAATTTCATTACAGTACAATCATTTATGATTTTAACCAAAAATAAAGAAATGGTTGAAATGCAAAAATAAAAAGTATGACCTTGGATTTCTAAAGAAATATAGAGGACAAATTAATTACATAAAAAATCATTTCATATCCAAAACTGGAAAGTTCAATTTTTTTAAAATCAATTTTTTGCTTTAAATACAACCATGCACCAAAAAAATTCACACATCAAAACTTTTGACACACATTCTTGAGGATCAATTCTCAAAGAAAGCATTCATCACTTAAAACACATAGTATTCTCAAAAATTTCTTAACTCTGTGAAAATATCTGATACCTTAGGATGTAGCCAATGACAACACTTATCATATCTAAAAACCACAATCAATGGAAACACTAGCACAAACCTGCTGCTTCCAACAGCTCATCGTGTAGACTAGGGGGGATTAGGGGTTCCGTGTCATTTATGAAGTTCTTCAGGACCGTCGCCACGGCATTCACCTGTATGTCCAGGCTATGGATATCTATTGAAGGGTCTGAAAAATCACAGGACCAAACCTCAGATTATAGGACTTAAAATGAAGCAGTTTATTAGTATTATACTTGAAATTCTCAAACTTAACTTTCTTACAAATTTGCATAGAATTCTTTAATTACCCTCTTGCAGTTTACTTTGCAGTAGTTCCACCTGCAGCTTGTTACCAGGGATACGATAAATACCCTCTGTGTTCATACCTGTATAAATGTTGACATCTCTTAAGTAATTTTTTTCACCATGTTCACAATTATATATTTCGGACAAATTCATTTTTATTTGAATTCTTGACACAATTTCCACATGAAAATGCTGCCGTAAAAGTTTAAACATTCTTTTTTCTTTTTTTTTTCAAAATAGCCAAACATTATTCTCCTAATACTACTGAACACTGATAAGATTCAAAAGTACTCTATAAAAGTAATCTATTTCTTCAATCATAATTCAATTATCTGCAGATAAAGATGGCTATTCTGAGCCATTTAAAAAAAACTGTTTTCTACATAAATGCTGATCTGACCTTCATTGTCTATGAATTCCACACAGGTCTCTACAAATTGTGGTAGGGAGGGGTTATTGCTGGACATGGGGAACTCGCTCAGTTTACAGCCACTCTCAGACGTCCCCGGGCGGCCATCCTTCTTCTTCTTCTTCTGAGCTTTCTGTTGTTCTTTTTGTTTTCTCTCCTGAAAATACCCAAACAAGTTTTATTGATATGAATTTATTGCAACATTTAGATGCTAGTAAGCTTTCTGATAATTGATAATATTTAAAGCACAATTGTATCTTTAATAATTATATAACATCGAAATGTTTATTTCCTAACATCACACTTCCCATTCATTTAAAACTATAGAAGTATTGACAGCAATGAGCTCTAAAAATGCCCCTCCCCCCTTCCAATGAGGATGTTTTGCTATGGGAGAGCTAAAATATAAATGAGACCAATCACATATAAGAATTTTTAAATGTTACATTACAATGATCCCTTAGTGTCATACCTCATTATTGTCTAATTGTGCTGTACTTTTCAGAACAGTGGAATATGGCATCACATGAACTGAGGCTGTACAACCCATTACTTCCTTATATCTCAACAGTATTCACTGCATATCAGTCAGATTTGAATTCCCCTGCATGGGTAATGGGTATTTTTTGATAACTTCCATAACATAAAACTAATTAAACTTGGTTACTTGGCACATGTCTTTTTTTATGCTAAAGGCACCTGGTAATGCCATTTAAATCCACGGCCATGAAACAATAGAAAGGGGTGATTCGCACTACCCCTGTATTCTGACAGTCAACCAAAGTAACAAAATTGTTATCCTATTTAATAGCACCTCCATATTCAACTCTTTATATCAATTGGCATATAGTTAATTTCAATAGAACTTTCACTACACAATGCAAACCCAAAGTGTACAAATAACATTTTATCTAACTTGCTATACAACTGGAGATTTAAATCCTTAAAATCCCCTACACATCAATATTTCTGTATATCCATTCTAACAGAACCAAGACTAAGGATATGTGTATTGATCACGGGGCCTTTAAAAATCTACCTGCATAACCTGATAGGGTTTACAATAGCAAGACACAAAACACCTAAAGAACAAAGAGCCCAAGAACTATAGATTGTCTTAATTAATTATTCATACATTTAATAATAAGAAATAGCAAATCATGGTATGCTGGGATTGCAGAAATAGAAATAAACATCAAAATTAATCAGCAAATGGATCCATATGTAAATTTTAAAGGTGTTTATTGGGCTGATGAAATTTAATGCCCTTTTTATGGTGCTTGATGAACTTGGTAAGACCCTCATAAGTAAATAAAATATTTCAGAGGGTGCTTGACTCCTTATAAGATTTATTGGGTGAAATATGCAAGTAACACAGATTATCGTATTGACAAACCATGTACCACTGCTGCAGTGAAAATTAACTGGCCGGTGTAGCAATCAATATTTCTGTGTTATTAGCACTTGAAATTAACACCGATCTTATTAGCCTAACAAACCTTACTAATTTCACCTGATAAAATAGAGATCAATCCTAAGCCCGTAAAAACAAACTTGATGTTTTTTCTTTTTTAAATAAGCTTGTCCTAGTCCAACAGATTCATGTATACATGGGTCTGGACTAATGATGGATGGGACTTAGGATGTGGTTGTCCACAAGACAAAATCATTCTAGGTGCTCTTTTGCAAAAAAAAACAAAAAAACAAACAAACAAAAAAAAACCACAGAGACTGTGTATAGTGGACAAGGACTGTGAAATACATATCTTTGTTGTTTCTGTGATCAGTACTAGACAAGAATTGTGCTACTCAACCATCAGTGCATGTATTTGTTTGTTCCTACAGATAAAACATATCTACTTTTTTCTAAAAATACTCATAAAAATTAAATATTTTGGGTTGGTTCCTTTCTGTAGTAGAACTATGAATGGTACATGAATTTCCTATTGCTTTCATTATCAAAAATAATCATAGCGCTACATATTCCAGCAGTCCCTTTCTAGTATATCACAGTGGGCCTACTTTTGACCTATGTCTATATTTAGGATTGTGCAATTTGGCCACAATAAAAAATAGTTGGTTTGGTGTTGTCATTTTAGTCTTTTTTATGTCTGGATCGGTAGGTAAGGAATTTTTTTTTTCAATTTCAGAAATGGCACGTTAGTACCAGTGTCTGGCATCATGTGTTTCCGATAGTCTAACACCTCACATGTAATCTGGTTAAATATGAAGTTATGATCCATATCAGTTGAAAAAATTCTTTGGACCGCACCAATTTATGCGAGTCAGCCGCTGAGCCAGCTAATTTTATATTTGGCCTCACACCTACCTCCTCTTTCTGCCTCCGCCTCTCGTCATCTTTGATCCTCTTTTCCTCCTTCCTCCGATTCTTGTCAGCTTTCAGGGTCCTAAACTTGGTCATCCAACTTCCACTGTCATTCAGGTCAAATTCCTCAAAACTTGAAAACCCGCCCTGTTTGCAAGGAAAACCACTCATTAGAACACTCCAATATACCTTTTTAATTTTTATGCCCCCGGATCAAAAGATCCCGGGGTTAATATTATTTTTGTCCTATCTGTCTGTTTGTCTGTCTATTGTCAAATTTAACCTAGCCTATAACTATTGTACTGTCAAGGGTAAGTGTATACCACTTCAGTCTACGTCCCACTCCAGAATTGTGCTACCACATTGTGTTTCACAAACACATCTTTTCCTTTTTAAATTCATTTGCCAAGATTCCAATTTGACTATTCAGCGACATCTTTAACACTTACCCGAGGCATCGTATGCGAGTACTCTTTGTTGGGCGTATCCAGGTCAGAATCTCTGAAGTTGCCTATAATACAGAGGATAATTTGTAGCATACCAAAGCCAAGTCTAATTTTCAAAATGTTCAAACAAGAGGGCTTTGACAACACAAAAGAAAATTAAGGGGTAAAAGTTGAAAAATACAGGGATTCTACACATATTACTTGATATTTATAATGGAGAGTAAATATGCATATAAATACAAGAAAAGATAAATGTAAAGCTATCTTATTAACCTGAGTATAACTTTATGAACCATACAGATTACTGATTTGCTTTTTCAGAGGGCTAATCAGATTGTCAGAGGGCTTGTGTAACATTGTCAGGATCATATTTTTTTAAAATATGCAATGTCTTTAAATCATTGCATTTTTAATACCAACACCATTTTAATATAATTTAGAATGATTTATATATAAATCATTGTTTTACTTCATTCAATATTTTTCAAAATATTATTATTTTCCTTTTAATGATTTCAGAAATATGTCTCTAGACAACCAAATAATAAATGCCACGTCTCTTTTTTTTTTAGTTCTAGCTTTATAAATACATAATTTATGACCACATACAGTGGTGGAGTGTGAATACTGAATTTAAGGCAATCAGAAAAGAGCTGAAGCTCAAAGCAGAACATTGAAAAGCAAACGCACATAAAAAAGCAAATCAGCTAGTAAAATAGGGAATCTATTGACTTAGCAGTTATGATATACAGCAGTAAAGGTTGATCATAAGCGGTGTTGTTAGGCAGTGAAGTTGTCATCTGAATGAAAATTGTGCAAGGTTGTTGTGCTACACATAAAAAAAAAATAGCTACAAGTTTGCTTCAGTTTCCATTTAACAACGACATATTGTTTCTTGATGTTTATATTCTATAGTTACACATAAAACAGTGTTACAACACTGATGATAAAACTATACTGAGAATTTATCCTAAGAACAAATATCAAAGTCTATGACCAAATTCTGACCCCACCTCTACCATGCCTTAAAGCTAACACCCCTCCCTAGTTCAAACAACATCAAAAGTGATGGGGAGGTACCTGGTGAACCTAGAGACGACTGGGGACTCAGAATATAATTGTCAGTCACCCCCTGCCACTTCCATTGTTTAAACATGCATTTCGTCATTGGAGTTTTATTCATCTCGTCCCCCGTTTCTTCACTCTCTGTGGGTGAATCACTTCGTTCTATTTGGTGAGAAAAGGACTCAGTAATTCATGTACACTTCAATTCATTTGTAGGCATATTCTCAAATAGAGAGTCTCCAGATCCATTTATATCTGAACATGTAATGAATGGTACCTGTAAGCTGTACATCAAAATCAAGATTTTACTAACATCGGAAGACTACAAGACCTATAAGATCACTTAGACATGTCAAAGTCCCAATATGAATGTTTTGTAAATTCATGAGAGTTGATATTAGTTTTTAGTTTGTATAATATACGTAGATATATAAAGAATAGAAACACCTCATCCCAAAGCTGTCACTGGATGACTAGATCTTACGGAAGACAAAGTTACTGAAATCTAGTATGATTAAGCTAAACAGATCATCTTCAGTTAGCATTGATGTAACATAGGATAATTATACAGATATTTGAAGGGTGATAATGCGTTACATACTCCAAACATCCTTTTTAAAGGCAAACAACTTCAAGCACAGCATAAGTTAATAAGCATTGATAACAGGACAGTGTTGAAAGTAACGTTATCTAACCTCGGTTGTCTCTGCGTCGATTTCCTTGCGGACGCTCGTCAGTATACACAGGTATGGTGTACACCTGTCCATCCTGGGATTTCTGTTTGGTTTTCTTTTTGTGTGGAGTGGGTTTGCGATTGACTCGGCTATAAATAGAATCCTTGTCTTTCTTGTCACGCTCCAGTGAACTGGACTCTTCAGAATCATCAGAATCTTGGGCTTTTTCTGAAAAATTTTGTACTCTCCCAATTGTACATCAAAATGATTTAGCATCTCATCACAATTAACAATGATTCTTAAGATTTTGGTAATCTAATACACATCTTCAGTTCTTAAGAACTGATATATATTAAAATTTGTTTAACATTTATGGAAAATCATTTATAAAAATCTTACTTTTTTTCCGTTCCTGTGACATAATACGCTGGTGTCTACCAGGTTCCAATGCCCCATACACTGCAGCATATTCTCCATCTTCTGCTCCATGAGAACGATAATCCTTACAGAATAACAATTAGTATCATATAGAATTGTGACCATTGACAACAAAGCTCTAAATACTATAGAATAACAAACTAGAGGTACTGTAAGATACATTAACTGACAAAGTTTGTAGATTCTAGCCAATTATAGGACCTGAGATATTTAATACAGCCATAAAATTTCAAAAGTAGATCACTGTGACTTATTTTTAATTGAAATTATCTGAGGACCCAAGATGCATCAATTGGCACAGTTGGATTTTTTCTAAACTTTTAAGTACCTGAGATATTTAAATATAGCCATAAAAAGTTCAAAAGTAGGTTACCATGACCTACTTTTTGGTTGACATTCTCCGGGGAATCGAGATGCATCAATTAACAAAGTTTGATGTTTCTAATCCAATATGTACCGAAGTTGAGATATTTAAATATAGCCAAAAAATTTCAAAAGTAGGTCACTATGACCTACTTATTCTCCCTTGTTGCGGCTAGTTTTATGAAGATTTTAACCATAGGTTTGAATAATATTCACAAATGAGCCTCTGGCTCAGAAGAGCTAAAAATACACGTGGACACTTTTAACCTTGTAATGTTCCATACTGTTACAAGCCTTTAGAACATAGATGTCAAATCCTTTAATTTAAACACACTTAAAATAAGTTCAGAACAAAATATTAAATCCCTACCTTTGGGTCTTGGTAGTCTTCTGCCAGAGTGATATCCTGTTCAGGTTGAGCAATTGGCGCCCCCTGGCCCACAAAGTTTTTCTTTGGTGAGGCCTAATGAAAAGATCATCACGTAATACATGTCAAAGGCTAAATACAGTACATATAAGCATTAGGCAAGTGCAACAATTTTTATATGACTGCATGGAGGTACCAAATCCTGTGCACATGCCTCTCACATTAATGTAGAACCTACATCCTATGATGTCAGTCAAGTGAATGAATCTAAGACTGTCTCAGGTAATGAAAATATATATACACAACTATGATAATATAAATGGCATGCAACCATTTTCAAGGAATGCAAAGTAGCTAAAAAAAAAATCTTCAGTTGATTTCTAAATAGTCAAACATCTTGATAATATGCTTTCAATCAAAGATAAAGAATTTAATTTTGAACAATATTTTCAATTATTATGCTTCCTGTCAGTTTGTCTCTATATAACCCATATCCTACTATTCTCGCATAGTGGTCTAAGGATTTATATAGCGTAAGCATACTATGCCGAAATAGTGCACAGCCTTATTTTCTGAATAAAATTCTTCTATGCACACACCGGGAATCGAACTCACGACCTTGAGGTTGCCAGTCCGATGCCTTATCGATTACGCCACAGAGACGATCACTGATTGGAGAATTTTATTAAATATATAAACTTTATTTATACAATTGACACAAGAAGGAGAAAATAGACAAATATTAGTTGAAAACAATTATATTTATTCTAAGGAATCTTAGATAAATGTGTACAACAAAGTTTCAAACTAATTATATACAGATCGTTAGATGAATTGATATCATGTGGTCATTAAAACGCTTTTTTATATAGCGCTTGATTGAAGGATGTAAAAGAAAATTATCAATGAGAATCCACATCTGTAAACAAATCAGTCTTACTAACAAAACAGAAAATAAAGATGAGTATCTTTGGGACAGAAAATCCTGACTTATTTAGAGAAAATACTAGTAACCAAAATAACTAAGCATGCAACTAATTTTAGCATGAAGATTTTGAATGAGTTTTTGCAAGTGCGATGTGTTACCACCATTATTTTCAGGAAAAAATCAAATGGATTGCCGCATAAATAATAACAACAGTCAGCATAATAATAACAATAGTGTTGCATTATGCATGTACTATGCCTAAATAGTAGGCAGGGTTTGACACATAGTGCACTCGCCTCCGGCTCGTCAACCTTTTTAAAAACCCTGCATAATATTTAGGAATATTACATGCATAATGCAACACTATTATATAAATATTGCCCAGTTAATTTAAGTCTAAAAAACAAAGATTTTTCAAGAAGTATTTTTGTGATATTCTATTAGTCTCTATATGAGTATGTGCCATTAAAAATGGCTGAAAATTACAGTCACAGTGTATAATTATCATTCCAAGTTATACCTGCTGCATTACATTTAATAACAAGAAAACAGATCAAATATTTTAATTGATAAATAAGCAAATGTCGATTACTCAATTAAAAAAAAATTGAAAATCCTGTGATAAAGACTTTTCGGACAAAGGTTCTACCTTAAATTTGGAATCATCTAAGATAGTTGAAGCTCTCTGGTAAATTTCATTTTCCACAAAAATTGTGTCAGGTCCATGATTTTGTGACTCTGTAGATCCATGAGTTGAATGATCAGTCCAAGAATCTACCAAAAAATACCAATAAAAATGAATTAACCATATTAACAAACAAATTTACAGCAGATTTCTACATTACTTTTCTAATCATTTTCTACTAAAAGGAAAAAAGATTACTTTAAGTCTAATAGATGCAAAAAGAAATAAAATTCTGTTATTTCAAAGTCTATGCATCCTTAACAAAAAAGAGGCCCTAGGGCCTTATAAGTCACCTGAGTATTATGTAAAAACTTTCCAACAACTGAATTTGGTTTGTATTTTAAACAATGGGTCATGAAATTTACAATTTTGAAAAAGGCATCATTGCTCATCATAACTATACACTTAGCATGCTTAGTTTGATTACTTATTACTCAGAGCAGAGGAACAAAGAAAAATACATTTCCACAACATGTTTTTAATCAGTACTGCCCCACCCCACAGGAACCACTGACCCTGGGGCCATGCATTTCACAATATTGGAAAAGGAACCTTTGCTCATCATAAATATTTAAGTTTGATAAATACCAAAGAGCAGATTTCAAAGTATTAATTTCTTTTCAGTAAACAGAGCCACCCCAGGTACTACTGATCCATGGGTACCCATGGGTATTGAAATTCCCAATTCTGAAAGAAACACCCCTTGCTCATCATACTATGTACCGGAAGCAAAGGGGATTTGTAATAAAATAATAATGCATTACTCATTAGAGCCACTCACTAATACCAGACTCCTGATTCAGAGGCCATGACATTCACTATTTTGGAAGAGGCACCCTTCCTCATCATAACTATGTACACAGTTTATCTGCTTAATAACCAGGAGCAGAGAAGAAGATTTTCTCAAATTTTATCCCTCAAGGGCCATGAATTTCAAAATTTTATCCCCCAAGGGCCATGAATTTCAAAACTTTATCCCCCTTCACCAATAGATGCTATATGCCAAAATTGGTTGAAATTGGTTGAAATTGGTTCAGTGGTTTCAGAGAAGAAGGTGTAATATGAACGCATAAAGGACGACACATGCTGACGGACGAAAACAGATAGCAATAGGTCACAAGAGTAATATCAGGTGACCTGAAAATGGATGATCAATTATGATAAGCATTTTTTTTAAAATTCCATATTTCAAAGGAAAGCATGTTATTATTCAATTAGAAGAAAATGCTGGCATTAAATTTAAGAACAGACAGAAATTTTAGACTTTAACTAATGTTTAATCAAAAGTAAGGAAATAATTATTTAGGAAATACATAAATGACTGATTTGGACACTAAGATATAGAATAACAACACAAATACAATATCTGTGACACTTTATGTTTTGTTGTTAGGAAAATATATTAGATATATTGATACTAAATCTTAGTGAATTTATTCTATGCGTACATTATCTCAACCTGTGAGCAATGTTTAGAAAGAACAGATCATATTTTGTACCGAGTATCTAATTAAAAAAAAAACAAAACTGTGAATACCTTCTGCATGATGAATTGTGCATAAAAATACACCGGTACATGTAAACTTTGGTATCTCTACATTGCATATGTTGACAACCTCACTAGATATTCAACATGTTCAACATCAGTCTGCGGTCCCGTCAGTATTCACTTTTAATAATTTCCAAAAACTCTACATTGACCTAATAATGTCGACTATCCAGCTTTTCTCAACATATATTCATAGTCCCGAGAGCAAAATTTACCTTTGATTTGTCAACATTGGTAAAAATTTTGAAATGCATTGCACCATGTGCACAGGAAACAATTCAAACAACGACACAAATAACCGAATCAGCTGTGATTTGTGTGTATGTAACATCACTACAATAGTTCAAATACCCAAATCTTTAAAAAAAAAATCATTTCAAGTTAAAATTAAAAAAACTAGAAAACTGACCAGTCAGCAAGGGCCCCGCCATGGGGTAGAATTAAAAGGGTGCAGCTTACGGAATGACTCAAAATATACGAAAAATAAGCAACAGCAACTGTATTCTTAAAATTTCAAGATAATTCCTGAACATTCAAAAACCTGAAAATAATATCCTTGTACTTACATTAGGCAGTAAAGAATGACTTAACATTGAATGTATATTTAAACAATTATGAAGCTTGTGTTATATAAAATCCAGCCTTCAATGAATGCAAATATCATGAAGGCTTGACCTTAACTTCAAACAAACAGCAGTTGCAGACAAAGGTTTTCATTAATCTTAAAGACAGATAAAGAAAAGCCTACTAAATTTTCTGCAGCAGGCTAGATAATTAATCCCAAGGGATTAATTGTATCTCTCTCATCATTTTCTTTTAAAGTTACAATAAGAACTTTTTCAGTATTAATGATAGAATGGGGTTTTTATACAACTACCTTAAAAATTAATAATATTCTTGAATTAACATAAGTAACAAAAGTAAATCAAAAAATCTTCTTTAATCTATTTCTTGATTTTAGAATTCAATGAAATCATAACTATTAAACAAAAATAAATTATGAAAATTTATATTCAAATCCACATTTCAGAGTGTTCATCACATTCCAAATTGACTAAACTTCAAAACAAACTTCATTTGCAGACAGAGGTGGTAATTCATCTCAATGTGACAGATAAAGATAATGCTCTGGATTTTCTTCAGGAGGAAAGCTAATTAATCCCAAGGGACTCATATAGCAGCATTCAGTTTACAATGGGAACATCTTCAGCAGTTATCTCTCTTTGCCAATGCATTCTTTTATAAAGTTAAGGAATGTACCCCACCACCCCAGCTCCAAACCAGGGGACATAGAGAACCAAACTTAGCATCAAAATATGTATTTCTGCCTACTGAACTACCATACCAAATTTGAACTTAATTGGGCAACCATAAAAAAAGTTGCCCATTCATTCTTATGCATAGTTAAGGAATCTACCCCACCACCCCAGCTCCAAACCAGAAGACATAGAGAGCCAAACTTAGCATCAAAATATGTATTTTTGCCTACTGAACTACCATACCAAATTTGAACTTGATTGGGCAACCATAAAAAAAGTTATTAGAAAAAAACAGAAAATTTGTGGACGGAAGAGTGACAGACGGACAGACAGACGGACAGACAGACAGACAGACAGACGGACAGACAGAGTGATTACTATAGGGCACCCGCAAATCCTTGCGGGGCCCTAAATATGCATTTAGTTTTTTCTGTATCTTGGATGTCAACCTTATAAGGTTCAATATTTATTGAGCGCATAACGTATCCTGTCCTGACAAAAAAGTTACTCTCAGAATGCTGGATGTAAAACTTTGAATTTAGCCCCACCAATGTGGAGATAACAAGTTTACCTGTATATTGAAAGTAACATGTAAACATAATTTGAAAATATTAATAAATTAAGTACTTCTATATGTTTTTAAGTGATTCCTTTGGCAAACATACTAACATTTTCAGACATTAAGCCATTGTCACCTGTGTCATACAAAACATAAATATCTGTTTTCCATTTACATATAGTGATTACAGCATTCTCAAACAATATCATATTAAACACTACATATGAAAGTACATCTAGACTTTGATACCTCACCAGCAAGATGATCAGAAAATGTCCAGACATGAGCTGAAAACTGATTCTCATCCGAGTTCTATAATCCTACATCAACAAATTACTGTATACGGGGAAATTTTCGCCCCCGTTTTATTTTCGCCCCTTTCGCCCTCTTCCTCATTGGGCGAATTTAAAACGGTGCGAATTCAAATTACACAGTATCATTTCTTAAACAAAACTATGACTGGGCGAATTTAAAACGGGGCAAAATTGTTCGCAAGGGCAAAAGGGCGAAAGTAACACGGGGCGAAAATAACCCTGTATACAGTATTTTCCCTTTTCATGTAAATTCCTATGTAAAACTTTCTTGACAAGCTTTTTAAGGATTTTTCTTCTACTAATCCTTTGCAAAACTTAAATCACTTATTTTGGCCCCACCCAACCCAAAGGGGCCATGATTTAAACAAAATCGAACCAATGCTTTCATATAAATATAACTGATCGTGATGGATTTACTGTTCTTGACTTCAAAGTTTTTTTTACACATTTCTTCAATATATTCAAATGTAAAACTTTGATCTCAACCATTTTGGCTCAACCCTACCCCAAAAGGCCATTTGAACAATCATGGGTAACAATCTACTCTAGATTTACATTCATAAATATACACTTACAATGTTGAAATACCAAAGTTCACCTACTGCAAGGTAAAACTCATGCATAAAACATGCTAAAATAAAAGAACATTCCACAATGTAACTTGTCTAACCTGGGTGTCATGCAGTCTAAGGCTCTACAGGAAACTTTTATATTATTATACATATTTTTGGTACGTCAGATGCTAACTAAACCAACTGATTAAATTCTTTTTATTAAGAAAGCCTGGCCTGTATGATTTAAACAAGTTACACTGCATTAAATATATCAAAACAATGACCAGATTGAAATCTGTGTTTTCTGCAAGGGCCTGCTCTGCGGTTAAACATTTTAGCATGCAATTTCTACGAAGCTACATGTATTATCATTATTGTGTTTGTCAGGTGTCACATTTAGTTTGCCAAAATAAAAAATAAGCTGAAAAGTAAAAAATAGCTCCCCAATTCACTCTCAGAGAAACACATGGAGGACTTTTCTAGACAACTGTCTTTTAGGGATGACCCAAACTATGATTTTTTGTTTGTTTTTTTCACTTCTCTCGATATAGAAAATTTACTTTTCAGTTTATACACAATAAGTAACATGGAATGATATTAAATCTAAAAAACGCTATCCATTCAGGAACTACGTAACAATTTTAAAATCATTCCCAAACCAATGGTAAGTGTGCTACAATGAGAGATGAATGTGGAGAAAGCCCAGGCCCAAGTTTGTTACAACAACCACCATGAATACAAAAGCAGTTATCACCATTGTCCCGGGCGGGATGATGCACGTCGGTCGGGAAAGTGGACGCTTTCTTCTGTCTCACGGGCTCATTGAGTGCCCAGGCTTTTAGGAATAAGAAAAGATTCAGATACCATCAGAGATAGCTCACCAAACAGAGAAAAAACAGAAAGGTTATTCATATGTTGTTTTCCCCTAATTTAAATGAACATGCAATTAATCAAGACATCGGAATAATTTTTCTTTTAACTGATTGTAAATGTGGCACATCCTGTAGTTTTTGCATTCATTACAGTTTTTATTAGAGAGCATGAATCTCAATTCAGGTTATGAATATTCATAACGGAATACTGATTACAGCTGAATTATACAAAATTGTATTATATATAAGAAAATCTATGAAGACATCAAATATATTATATAAGAGAAGTATTACAAAACAAAACTAAATCCCAGAAACAAACAATTATCTACAGACACTAATGGTAACTAAAATTCTTACTTCTAAACACTTATAAAATTAGATCATGAGTCATTTTTAATGAAATAAAAACATAAGCATCTTTTTTTGCAAGCAGATAAAAAAAAATCATACTTGAGATATTTGAAGGGGAAAAAATTAAAGGACAGGAAAACAAAAGAAAATAATTTTGAGGAAAAAAAATCCATATTATTCCAATTGTTCCTTGGAATATTCAAAGCACCCGAACACAAGAACAAAATCACAAAGCTGACGACAATATTGAATCACCTGGCTCTTTATCTTTCACGGCTAGTTTCATACTACAAGATTTCCTAAATTGAAACGGGCTCTGAGTGGTCTCAGAGTCTGGGTGCTCCAGACTCTTGTAACTAATCAAGCGTAACGAATCAGTTTCAATCACAGGAAACGACCTGCGAAAGACTTCCCGATGATATCCCCCGGGAACTACAAATTACATAAAAGTAAGTTAACCTCAAATTGACATCTAACAGAGTTGCTAGACCCTACAAGACTCACATTTACACATTATTTTTCAAAAATGACTTTATGATACTTACAAATAAACCTTTCACATTATTGCCACTAATTTAAATCAGATGTCATTAAGAAGTTTAGTAACCCCTTTTTTCTCAAAAAAAAACAAAAAAACAAGTTAAAACTTTATATTTAAACTCTAATACATTTCTTGTTAATATTTCTTAAGAAAAGGAGTTTCATTATTACTTTGTGAACAGAAAATACAAGAAAAAATATTGAGTTATTTTATTTATGCCAATGTAATTTTAAACTTGTTGAAATATTTAGATTGTTGCTCTAAATAAGCAAAAGCATTAAGGAGCTGGACTGCTTTTTTAGTAATGGTCTCTATTAGTAACAAAATTATTATTGTAGATATTCATCATTCCATAATTCTGAAATTCTAAAATACAAATATATTTGACACATATTAAGTACATTTTTTTGTTAACTTATTTTCTAACTAAAAAGATAATCTTTTTAAAACATTGGAGGAAAAAAATTGCATCTACTACTTGACTTTGAATTTCAAATGTTTTAACACTTTTTAAATTGCACTGTATAGACCAATGTCCCAAATTACTCGGTGCAATGATAAGAAGAAAAATAGAAAGATATTTCACTCCAGAGCACTGCAAAATTTCAAAGTGTATAACAGAGTTTTTCCCCTTTGTCATTTACCTGCATTTGATCCGCGGTTTTTCCTCAGCATGCTGGGTTTGACCAGCTGCTCGCGGCTGGGTAACTCCCCGTTGGGGGGACTTGATGACCTGATGGGAGGGGGAGAACTAGAGGAGGGCTCACTGTCTGAGTGATGGTGGGTGAAGGGTTTGTCATAGATTGGTTCCTGTGTGTACAGTGGTTCTTTTGACTCGGAGTCCTCAGTACTTTGGCTGTACAAATAAAAGCAAAATGTCATCCTATGCATTTTTTGTAAATTCAGACAAAACAGTTTCTCTGTGAATTTAGTAATCACATTACTGTAAAATTACAAATTTTCATAGGGTAAAATTTTCGTGGTTTGAGTAAAAACGCTTTGTGGATGAAGAATTGTTGAGTTGCTATGTATGTAACATTTTACAATTCATGGTTGTCATTAATTCGTGGGTCTCTTCATACCTCGAAAACAATGAAAATTAATTCCCCACGAAAATTTGTGATTTGACAGTACATGTATATAAGTATTTTTAGTACATATTATTGATATCCTGACATCCCCTCTCTGAATACTAAGCTGAGTTCATCATAAAATCAATGTAATAACTACCTGTTACTGCTACCATTGGTGGGATGGAAAGTGTCTGGTAGAGGGGCCGGGGGTCTCATGTCTAGTTTGGTGTCGTATGGAGGGCTATTAGGGTCACAATATATAGACTCCAGTTCATCACGCTTATTCCAAGCTTCCTTCATCAAGGGCAGGTAAACAGTGTCTGAAAAAAAATCGTGTTATTACCCAAAATGTATGCTTACTTATGAATGCCATTAACATAAAATATAATTCTTACTTTAATCTAAAACTTGTCCAGCTACAAACTGTTAACAATAATTATTACTATACTTAACATTCTGTTCATATTTCTACAATTTTCCTAAATGTTCTGTCCCAATGAAAATGCAAATTATTCTGTGTTGAAAATAAATACTGTTCAATATTTGTTAAGAGCTCTGTAATTCAAAAAAAAAATTGTGTTACCTCCTAGTACAGTAATACCTTTCTGCTTGAAATCAGCAGTTGTGACGATGAATTCTGCCCGAAAATCCTCTGCAATTCTCTCCCCAGCCACAATTAAATCCTTAGAGAAAGGGACACGATTCATAGGATCTTTCACAGCTACGATCATCAGTGGCATTACATTGTAAAGATTACGTAAATTTTCGGCATAAGCTCTGTCAAAAATAAAAGTAATTAGTGTTTTATGTGTCAAGTTTGTTTTCACAGGTAATTCTTTGGAATAAACAAAATTTTTCCAAATAAAGGTAAAGTCAGCATGACTGCCCATTAGCACGTCATCAGACTACAACAGCACAAGGTGACCAGTACTCACTTCATAGCAGCAAATGATGCCTGTCGGACTGGACTGTAGACTAGAATAAAACCTTGAAATTCCTCCTCCTCCCTGAACACCCTGGTGATGAAGTTATGGTACGCTCCAACACATACCTCCACTTTCTGTTTGCCAGAGTCAAGACCACTTTCTAAATTTAGTTCTAATGAAACAGAGAGATCGGTTTCTACATCTACGTAGGTGGCGTTACTATTCAGGATCGGACCTATTGGAATATCCACCCGGAAGTCTTCTCCACACATAATACACATGGCAATCCTAAAGAAATGTATAATTATACCAAAGTTAAAGGGTATTAACAATGATTTAAACCTTCTTTTTAATGGGGGTTGTGTAATCAAATGAAATGTTCTGCAATATGTTCTAGCCTTAAATCATATTTTTTAAAATCTTTCTAAAAGCCAGTTTACATTGTATAAATATTGAAAATCACTTAATTATGTCCTGAATTTCCATTAGGAATTACCTAAGTTGAGGTTCTAGCTGAAGGTTGAATCCATTTGTAGTTCGAACCAGAGCTAGTAGTGCATCTTCCACTTGAATTAGGAGCATGTCTTCTGGGGTATCCTCAGGAATGTATACAAAATCACAATTCATCCTGAAACAAAGGTAAGATATATACAAATGTCAGATATACACAAACAAGGGCAAGATCTACACATTATTCAGATCAGCTTCTTTGTAAATAAAGGAACACTGTATGCAAAAAAGACAATGAGATTTAACTTCTACTTGTATATCCGTGCTACTTCTAGTCTTCTACTGGATTTTTATGAATTTCCTCATGTTCTTTCTTGCCATCCTTTGTTTCTCTAATTCTTCATGTTTCAATATATGAAAGCATGGGTCCCATTAACTGAGAAGTTCTGTATCTCTGTATTTATTTTTGAGTGTAAGATAGATAAGGATAGGTAGATATGCCTACTAACTTTCTAGCTAGGTCCTGTCCTTTTTGTTGCAGTTTCAGGCTATCCTTCTCTGAGAGCTGAGGATCGTATCCGTGTATTATAACGATGGGAAGATTTCGCAGGCTGTCTTCTTCTGGGACATCAGCCGTCAGAACAGTCTCTAAACTTGAAGCAATGTAATTGAGCGAGGATTCTGATGTATACATACACAAACAACCTAGAAAAAAAAATGCATCAAATGAAAAGGTTTTTTTCCCCTCAAATTGAGAGTTAGACATACAGGTACTGTGCAGTAACATGTACTTTTCAACTAAAAACATTTTTTTTTAACAGACACTGAAGTTTCTGTACACAAATGACACAATTTTAAAATATTTCTGAGCCCCTCCTGGACTTACCATTTGGCTTAAATTCTGCAGTTTGAAAAGCATTCTGTTCTAAGCTCACATCATCTTCAATAGGACGATAGTCCACATTGTAGATTGTGTCATTATATTGAAACTGGTCATGTTCAAACATCTCCTAAACAAAGATTTAGAAAAAAATTGTTGTTAAAAAAAAAACAGCTCCTTTAGCCAGTAAATCAGTTATCAATTCACGCTAGATCTGTGTAAAAAGTTTAAGACTATCCACTGGGGTTAACTTAGGACACTGATTGAATACATATGTAAAATATCGTAAATCTGGAAATTTTTGCTGTAGATAAATTTTTAGCAATTTGCGAGTTCATTGCATTTGCAAAAATATTTTTCTTAAAAATAAATTACCAATAAGAAAATGTAAACAAAGCAGTGGTCATTCACAAAATTTTGAAACGTAAAAATTAATCAACAGCATTTTGACCTGAATTCGCAAAATAAAATCGACATAAAAATTTCCAGATTTACAGTATTTTGAAAGTCCTCATATATATTGTTCAGAAGTTATGGCCAAAGTAAAAGTTTGGAATTTTTGTGTAAAAGTGTGTCAAACTCCAAGGTCAAGGTCAAAAGGTCAAATTTAGTGGTACCCAAAGAAAGGTCTTGTCACAAGGAATACACATTTGACATACGAAAGTCATAGCTCCACTAAATCAGAAGTTATGAGCAAGGCGGACACATTCCCATTACGAATCGTGTTCGTCTTTACCAAATCATCTTAAAGTTATAAACCTGCTTACCCTTATCTGCTTGAATAGTTTGGTGGCCAGCCCCTCACATCCCAAGAGAACCAGATTAAGGGGGCATTCCTTTTCAGACACTGCTGATATTCTATTTGATGAACGACTGAAAAAAAGGGAAATATTTGGTTTGTGCTTACATTGACAAGTCTCTGAAAAGCAACTTCAAAATGAAATTGATTCATTGTTGTGTGATAAATCTTGCATGATTTCCTTTTTAAAAATAACTTGTAATGCAAAAGATGGTACAATTTTTGCAAAGAATTTGTCTAAAATATGTACAAAATTCCATTTTTTAAATAAAAAAAGATTTTTATTTCTTTAATAATTATTTTTTCCCAGCCGAAATTAGGTTTGTTTGTGTTTGGTTTTAGCATTGAAAAAAGTCCAGACACTTGACTGTGACTTTGACCACTTGAAAATTTGCGTATTGTCCAGCTAGGGCCTACTCACTTGACTGTCTTGGCAGCTATCTCTAATACTGATTGCACTTGAGTCTCGGCACACTGGTCCTTGTAATAACACCTGTCACTGGAGGGCATCTCCAGAAATCCCAGGTGTTTTATCAGAAGCACATCCCGTTCATCCTCCATCTTGTCCAAACGACGATACCTGCAGAGGTAGAAACCTCACAATGTCATACATATGATAGTTTAGGCTTCCCCCATACCATTTACCTTATATTGTATCAAAATATTTTAAAAAGAACCTGTAACTTTTTTAATTGAAGCTTACTATCCATTAGTACTCAACCAAACAATATAAATAGTTTAGATAATACAATATGCCTAAATGACCAAATATATGCCATTCTAGCCTTTTAATCCTTTCTATTTTTCCATGCACTCTGGGCTTGTATTGTGGTAAGAACTGTTTAATTTAATGTATATATTTCTTGCTGGTTCTCAGCTTTACCTGGGGTCCTTCTCTATATCCTCCTTGATGAGAGTGAGATCTTCTTGAGTGATTTTTTCGGAGGAGTTTGGCTGCATCCTCTGCCTAATGAATGTCTCGGTCCGTTCCCAGAGGAGTTCCTGAAAATCGTGCTTGACCTGGGCTTTTAGCTCCTCCTGATAATCATCAAACACATCCTCCCGCTCTGAGGCCGACAGCCCGATGTAGCAGTCCCTCCCAGTAAATAACATATAGATATCGTCCAGTGTAGCCCCCGGGAAAACTTGAGGAGTCTCCGACAAAAGCTTCTTGAACTGTTCCCTCAGTCTGTTGTAAACAAATTTAACAAATTATTTCTTCATCATATTAACGATCATAAATACTTTCTCAAAAAATCTGATTTGGATAGCACAGTAAAACTAAAGCTCAATATACAGTGGTAAAAAGTTCTTTCACAGTAGTTTTCCTACAAGGAATGAATTAAACTAAGCACTCTTAGAGCTTATATATCTCTTCATTAAAATTTTCACAAAGTGACTTTTCAAATCAATCACAGAACTAGTCTACTGACAAAGACTTGGTGCTGATCTTACTGAATTTTCTTGTGAGCCTCCTGCAGTTCTTTGAGATGCCTCTGGTACACGGCCTCCCCCTCAGGGGAACTCAGGACATCAAATGGCGTCCTGGTCTCATTGTAGTCGTCAATGAAGGAGGGCACCATCTTCCAGGTCTCCCCCTCCTCCGGATTACACACCTCCACAAAGTAATGCTTAAATTCCTTGTGTTCTTTGATGTACCTTTGACAAGCACTCCATGACCTACAAAATATAGCAAGTTTTACATATACATGTACTGCCTAAAACAAATGTGTAAAGCATGGTCCAGTTTGCCTTCTACCTTACTTATAATGTATACAAATTTTGATTCTTTTCCACATGGCTTTCAAGATTTGCACTACTCTTATCCATATTTTCCAGGATGCCATTAATCATTTCCTTAATAAAGATCTTTTAACAATAGTTAATATTTTTAACTGTTTCCAATCATAATTTTGCTAAATACAGAATTAACTAGCTGATGTCAAATAGGACTTTGTGGTAGAAGAAAATCATACAAATGAAATATTCGATATCCACAGATCTTCTATTGAAACAAACTGAATGAACAGGCACCATTTATGTCATCATTTTGGAAAACTTTTAGTCAGAATTATATGATCTGATCAACTTAAATGAGTACTTGGACATTTATTTATTTAAAAAATATGTTACCTGTTCCCAATAGTTTCTAAATCAGGTAAAAACCGTTGAATCAGATCTGGCAATCTTGTAGAGAATATTTTTTCTCGCTTTCTAATCTGGTCCTCCCTTAACTGTCTCGCATGTTGACGAAACAATTTCTTAGCATTATCAGTACCTAACAGTTCAACATAATGGTTAAAATCAGGTTCCCGCTCCAACTTCCTAAGGTATGTCTTAAAGATGGCCTTAGGGTCTGTTACATGAATACGTAAAAGATTTTTATAAGCATTAATTGCTACTTCTTCGATCTCCTGGCGTTGTTTAAAGGCCTCAGTGTAAGGGGTGATAATTGGTCGACGCTTGTTTTTGTCCATCATGTGAGCCAGCACTATTAAGGCCTGCTCCACATTCACATTTTTATGAGCTGAAGTCTCGACAACGGGAATGTTGTTCTTGTAGTCTTTTCTGGCTACGATTTTGGCCACTTCCGGTAAATATCGCTTGTCTGCATCATCATTCTTGGTGGTCACCAGTACTACGGGTTTTCTGGTTTTCACTGCAGCATTCAGGAGATGGATCACAAAGTCCACTTGGTGTTCTAAGTTCCTCTGAGGAACCTTGCTAACATCAAAACAGCAAATGAACCCATCAATGTTAAGTTTCCCATCAGGCATTAGTTTCTGCTCATACGCACTGTCTGTTTCCATTCCTGAAAAAAATATATGACTTTAACAGTAAGGTATTGTGGGAGATTTCAATGGCATTCAATTTTAGTTTGGAAATAACACAATATTTCTGTATGATATACAAGACCACCATACCTTTAATTTTACTCATTGACATTAAAAGGAAAATTTACTGTTGTTATAAAGCTTTTAGTCATTTTAAAAAAAGAAAGGTTGAACTTTTCCTAATGCAAATATATATCACTTATTTTAATAGATACAAAAATAGAGAGGAAATGATTTTTTAATTCTATAAAACAAAGTTTTTGAATTTGAAATGGGAAGCTTAATTGAACAATGATTGAGTTGAAGTTTACAAAGAAGAACTTCGAGATCCAAAAGGATGTTGATCATAAGCAGTGTGTAATGATATTAATTAGCCAGTCCTTAGGATTTCAAGAGTGCTCCCAACATCAGTCGTATATAGTTCCTTGTTTTATTGATATTAAAAGGTCAAGATTTATCATATAACAAAAACCGAATTAAAAAATCGGAAGATCGAGTCTAGTACTCAAACGCATGCCACATTCCATGAGATCAAAAATGGAAAGAATCCTTTTGAAAGATCTTTTCTTTTCTAAATGAAATTTGGAAGAATTTGAAAACAACAGATTTTTTTGTATTAATTAAAATGCTTGGATTCAAGAGGATACTGAAAATGAGACAATGGTGATCACAATGGAAAACACCTACCACTGAAACTCTCCACTGAAATACAATAGCTAGACATAAAACATGTAAAAAAAATACATCAAATATTAAAGATATTGTGAAACACTTATAGCTACTAAGGAATAAAAATGTAGGTCAGATCCAGCATCCGAAGCAAGTCTGGTAGTGTCCATCCCTAGATGCATCATCCATGCAAGTTTGGTTCAGGTAGGGCTTATAGTTACTTGATATGTAGGTCAGATCCAGCATCCGAAGCAAGTCTGGTAGTGTCCATCCCTAGATGCATCATCCATGCAAGTTTGGTTCAGGTAGGGCTTATAGTTACTTGAGAATAAAAATGTAGGTCAGATCCAGCATCCGAAGCAAGTCTGGTAGTGTCCATCCCTAGATGCATCAGCCATGCAAGTTTGGTTCAGGCAGGGCTTATAGTTACTTGGGAATGAAAATATAGGTCAGATTCAGCATCCGAAGCAAGTCTGGTAGTGTCCATCCCTAGATGCATCATCCATGCAAGTTTGGTTCAGGCAGGGCTTATAGTTACTTGGGAATGAAAATATAGGTCAGATTCAGCATCCGAAGCAAGTCTGGTAGTGTCCCTCCCTAGATGCATCATCCATGCAAGTTTGGTTCAGGCAGGGCTTATAGTTACTTGGGGATGAAAATATAGGTCAGATTCAGCATCCGAAGCAAGTCCGGTTGTGTCCATCCCTAGATGCATCATCCATGCAAGTTTGGTTCAGGCAGGGCTAATAGTTACTTGGGAATGAAAATATAGGTCAGATCCAGCATCCGAAGCAAGTCTGGTAGTGTCCATCCCTAGATGCATCATCCATGCAAGTTTGGTTCAGGCAGGGCTTATAGTTATTAGGGAATTAAAATATAGGTCAGATCCAGCATCCGAAGCAAGTCTGGTAGTGTCCATCCCTAGATGCATCATCCATGCAAGTTTGGTTCAGGTAGGGCTTATAGTTACTTGGGAATGAAAATGTAGGTCAGATTCAGCATCCGAAGCAAGTCTGGTAGTGTCCATCCCTAGATGCATCATCCATGCAAGTTTGGTTCAGGTAGGGCTTAAAGTTACTTGGGAATGAAAATGTAGGTCAGATTCAGCATCCGAAGCAAGTCTGGTAGTGTCCATCTCTATATGCATCATCCATGCAAGTTTGGTTTGGGTAGGGCTTATAGTTCCTTAGGAATGGACCTGCTTCAAAAACTTTAACCTGGTCACTCATCAGGAAAAAGTAGGTCAGATCCAGCATCCGAAGCAAGTCTGGTAGTGTTCATCCCTAGATGCATTGTCCATGAAAGTTTGGATTGGGTAGGGCTTATATTTCCTTGGAAATGGACCTGCTCCAAAAACTTTAACCTGGTCACTTATCTGGAAAATGTAGGTCAGATCCAGCATCCGAAGCAAGTCTGCTAGTGTTCATCTCTAGATGCATCATCCATGCAAGTTTGTATCAACATGTGAAGTTTAATAACACCAACTTGAATGGTATGTTCAAATCTGAGCTAAACACCAATTTAAGAAAAGTGAGGTCAAGGTCAAAGGAAAGGTCAGGGTCAAAAAATGTTGATGCAGTTGCATAGCTCTCATCAATATCTATCAGCATATGAAGTTTGATGAAAATATCTTGGATAGTTTCAAAGAAACTTAGCTTTGAACAGAGCTAAATGCAAAGTGTGACGGAAGACGGAAGGACAGAAGGACGGAAAGACGGAAGGACGGAAGGATGGAAGACGCCCATGACAAACACTATATGCCCCAGCCATATTCATGGCGGGGCATAAAAATGGGTAACCCCAAAGGAAATTCCATATTTTCCTATGGGAAACCCCACATTTCTGTTTTGTTGGTGCTTTTGTCAGCCTATAGCAGAATAGAATACTATTCCAATGTAGCTTAAAGCATTCTTTATTTATAAGTTTTTAATGATATAATATTAAGTAAAACAAGAAGGAAGGAATATACAAATGCCTCTTTCACAAGGAGATGTCAATAGCTAGCTGTTGTCAACACTTTCCATGTATCGTTGTTAAGTATCTTTTATACTACATCCTGAAATTTTTGCCTACTTTTTAAATTGGACATTTAAAGATAAAAGTGAACATATTTTATCAGACAGTGCTTCGTGACTAATCATTCAACTCTTGAACCCGCAGCCCATTTTTCTTAGTTTGTCCTTATATTTCATGAAATCTATGTATATTTCAATTCTGACATATAACGTGCAAGCCCCATACACAACTTTAAATGATCATTTTTATCCCCCTCCCCCTAAATGAAGTTTCAGGCATTTAGTTTTTTTCCCTGTCCATTTGTCTGTCTGTTTGTCCACAAAAACTTTTAACATTGCCCATACTTTTGACTGGGTGGGACTATATATGGTATTCATATTTCATAGCTCTATTCCTTGGGTACCACCAAATTTGACCTCTTGACCTTAACCTTGTAGTTTGACACACTTTTACACCAAAATTCCAAACTTTTACTTTGGTCATAACTTTTGAACGGTTGGTTCTAGGACTTTCATACTTCAATTACGCATTCTTTATGAGAAGACCTTTCATTGGATACCAACAACTTTGACCTTTTGTGGAGATTGACCTACTTTTAAGAAAACTTTAACTTTGGCCATAACTTTTGAACCATAAGGGCTAGGGCTTTCATATTTTACATATGTAATCCATGTGACAAGACCTTTTTATTGGATACCAACAATCTTGACATTTTCCCCTTGACCTTGTAGATTGACCAATTTTTAAAAAACTTTAACCTTGTCCATAATTTTGAATGGTTAGGGCTTACATACTTTACATATGTAATCCTTGTGACAAGACCTTTCATTGGATACCAACAACTTTGACCCTTTGACCTTGGAGTTTGACCTACATTTTAAAAACTTTAACCTTAGCAATAACTTTTGAACGGTTAGGGCTAGGGCTTACATACTTCCCATATGTAATCTTTGTGACAAGGCCTTTTTTAACACACCAACAATCCTGAACTTTGACCTTGACCCGGAGTTTGACCTATCTTTAAAAATTGTTAACCTTGGCCATAACTTTTGAACAGGTGGTGCTAGGGTTTTATATTTCACATTTGTATTTCTTGTGAGAAGGCCATACTTTGGGTATCAATATTTTGCATTTGAGAAAACTTAATCTTTGCTATGTTGCCATACGGGGGCATCAGTATTTCACAAACGCATCTTGTTTCACATTGAAACAGGTCTTGTTTAAAGAGTTATAGACTGTTTAATTTAAGACTGAAAATTCTAGGAAATCTACAAATAGTAAATGGACAAAGGACGCCCACAAAAAATATGCCTTAAAATATTCCGAGAAAATGAATACAATGTTGATATTGTTTTATCAGCATGAATTTTGGATAATGGGAAGTCTAGTATTTGCCTATGTATGCTACAATAATAGCTTGATCTATGCCTCAAGTACAGAGAAACTGCGTGTCAAACTAATCTGTGACATCATCTCACTCAGTACAGCGAGATCAATTTGGATTTACATTCTTCATTCAAAAAGTAAACATTGATTTATTTTAACAATATTTATGAGAAATTACTGAATCTAAATGTGAATGAAACAGAACATTAGTATTTATTTGCCTAGATTTATTAGTACAGTTTTAACATGACGTCATTATCAATTTCCCAAAGTTAGGCATAGACTGATGTAAGATTGTGAGTCCTTAACCTAGCTGCCTAGTTACTTGTACACATGTATTATAATTTTGAAAACAGGGAAGTTGATCATTTCAAAATTTTATTTGTACAAAGTTATTATCATAAATCAATTTTAGCATTTCCTGAATGAAGCTATACAATATGATTTAATACCAGAAATATACACAGACAAGACATATATATATGTACTAATATATTGATGCATGTACTGTCATGTGATGTATCGTCACTATCATGTAAATATGCTTTAAATTTTATATTTAAATGCTTAATAAAGAAAATATCTAAAGAAGCAGAATAACATAATTCAATCAATTTGTTAAACAAAACTTTGTCTGTTTATTTGTTTGTCTTTTTTCATTGTTTCTGTAACTTTGTCAATAACTTGGGTGGGGCAGTTTCACAGTTGTATTCCTTGTGACAAGACCTTTCTTTGGGTACCAACAATTTTGAAATCTTGACCTTGGAGTTTGTTCCACTTTTACAGTCAGGGGTGTGATGGAAATCCGTCATTTCTAAAAATGACTGATTGTCGTCTCTTTTTTAAATACGGGATTCCGTCATTTTTGTAAATATGACGAATTTTCGTCATATTTTTATTTCCGACAAAATGCCTCTATCACGGTTGTTTAACATCGAATTTTGAATTTCCCGCTTGAACAGCAGGGTTTACGCGAGTTTCCTTTCATCCGGGTCACTGACTTCTACAGACCACGTGCGTTAGAACATCAACATGAACCTAGAAGGTGAAAGTTATTGTTTAGCTGTAAAATGTAGAATTTTGGTAGATCTAATTCGCCATTTACATGGCTTTTAGTGCTCTAAAAAACGTATAGTAAAGTGTCTGGAAGAATATATACGTGTAGAGAAAAGTCTTGACAAAAAGTTAAAGCAATAAAAAAGTAGTGCGCCCCGTAAAACAAGCGAGATATTTCAGTGCGCCCAGACCCTCTATTTTGAAAAAAGACGAAATATCGTCATTTTCGTCTTCTTTGCTATTTAATGCAAATAAATTGACAAATAACTCTTTTACTCTTATTTTTGTTTGGGAAATTTGTACTGTCAACATAACCAGTATTGTGGTCAACTGTATTAGAGAAATCAAGTTTTTTTACGATGTTTTTTGTCCTTTTTACGGTTGGTGGATCTAACATTTTTCAAAGAGAGGTAACTCGGTATTCTAAAAACATTCTAAATTTTTATGACTGTTTTTCGTCATTTTCTTAAAAATGACAAGTTTTAGTCATAATAACAAATTTATTTTATGACAAAAAATCGTCATTTAAAAAATGATGGATTTCCATCACACCCCTGACTGTTTTACAAAAAAAACACCAAACTTTAACTTTAATTGGCCACAATTTTTGAATAGTTGGTGCTAGAGCTTTCATACTTCACATATGACTTCATTGTCACAAGGCCTTTCAATGGGTATAAATGACCTTGACCTTAGAGTTTGACCCACTTTCTAAAAAATTTTTTAACCTTGGTCCTAACTTTTGAACAATTAATACTAGGCCTTTCATATTTCACAGGTACTGGTATATTTCTTGTGAAAAGACCTTCTCCAACAATTTAAACATTTTGAGGTTGAAATTTGACTTGCATTTGAAAAACTTCAACCCTGGCCATATGCTGCCATACAGGGCCATCAATGTTCACAAACAAATCTTGTTTCCTTTAAAACATGATCTTTAACTTAAGGAGAAGACTGCAACAGGTGTTGTACCTTTATAGTAACCAATTTACAACTGGTGATGAATTTACAGCAATTGTGGATCTTAAATAGACAATATTGTTAATTGTTTAAGACATAAACAAATGCTTCATCTATTTCATTTTGTGACCATGTTTAAATTACTTAATCAAATCAGTAGTGTATGGTTCTTTATTGTATATCATCTTTTTTAAAGTACATGTATCTGCTGTATCGGAAATTGAGGTTGGTTTTTAGATGATTCAAGGTTAAATATTGTATCATCATTTCAAAACAGAGTATAATTACTTAAAACATTGCTGTGACGTCAAGCCTTTGTTCTTGCAGTCTAAAAATTTACCTGTAGCCGTCCGATAATAATAATTACCCGTCTGATAATATATTATCGGACGGCAATGATAACAAAATCGGACGGTATTTAAAAAGCAAAACAAAGAGTGAAATTACGATTAAATATGTCCAGAAACCCCTAATAAAAATGTTAAGAAAAAATTTTTGGGAAACCAAACGCAAGGAAATTAAGATGAGCACACTACAAAATAGCAAATCCATGAAAAGAAATCCGAGTTTAAACCATCCACAACATCAATACTTCCCAATCTTTAAAAGAGTTTTTGATTCAGCACTTTGAATAAGCGAATTTAAATCCATTTCTGAAAAAGATTCTGCAATCTCCTTTTATGTGTGTTCGCCGATGGCCACATTTTCAAAACCTGAGAATTTCCATTATCTAAACTAAAATTTCAGCTAGAGTTAAAATCCGCATTTTACTTTCCAGGGTGATGGTTAAAATATCAACCAAAATTATGTCAGTATCAATGTCAATTCATGCACATCATAAATAAAAATGCCCCCCCCCCCCTCCAAAAAAAAATTCCCACCGGACCCCTGTCCTGCTAAACGAAACGACTACCATTGAATGAATGAAATGAAACAAGAGTTCACTCACTTTTTTTACTTTCTCATTTCTTTTATCTACTTATCAGACGGGTAGAAAACAATGGATGCCTAAACTCCCATTGTGTTATTATCGGACTCCTTCAGGTAACTTTTGTACATTTAAATGGCAATGTTTTAAGTAAGATATATGCCTCATACTATTCTATATGTAAAATTATCAGACAGTTTTCGGCCCTAACGGGCCTCAAACAGTCTGATAATTTTACATATAGAACAGTATTCGGCATATATCCATTACTTATTAAAGGAAAGTTCATATCAATATATAATCATTGTTATTAATAAAAATTTATAATTAATTTTCTTTAAAGCAAATACCAGTTGAACATTTGAAACAAAATGAAAACCATAAAATGCAGAAAAACTGCAAGAACAATGAAGAAAAAAATGTATCAAATAATAATTGTTTTGCTGTTATAGGCTTACCCAGCTGGTCTTTACAGATGTACATCAATTTCTCGGCAGACTGTACTTTACTTTGCGTACTCCTCTTGCAGTAGTTGTCCGTACGTCCCGTCTTGAAGACTTGGAAGGAGACATCATCAATGAATTCCGTCTGTTCTATGACATGGAATGTAAAGTTGTTCCCTTCGTCCGTTTTTGTCGTCTCTCCCCAGTACAGGAAGTGGTCATTGTTGATCACCCGCCCCGCGAAGTCGCTCTGACTGAGGACGGAGATGTGTTCCGTGTGGTATTTGTCCGCTACATCGTTGATAAAACGGTTACACAGGCATGACTTGCCCACCCCCACCGCCCCTTTCACACTCTCTGACCCTGACAGGCCAATAACGCTGACATTGTAAGTTCTATCTTCTGCTTTCTTTGCCATTCCCGATTCACACACATGAAAAACTGTTATCGAAGTCTGTCTGGCATACCTGCCATGGTCCTAGACAGAGTTCAGGTTTCATCTACGAAGTGTAAGAGGTAAATTTCCTTGTCTGTGTCTTTAGCCATTGTTCTCTGTATCAGTGATCAATCAGGAAGAGAGTTCGTTACTACTTATTTTATAAGTATTACTTTCCTGAAACTTGTTCCCACAAACACTGTACTCTCTCTTCTTCAAATCGCTCACTTCCAATGAAGAATCTGATTCTGTGGCATCAAAAGACTTTACACACTTCTTAGTACAATCTCTTCAATCTGTTCAATAGAAAACAAAAATCAAAGTTCATGAAAAATTCAATCACAAAAAATAAGAATCTACAAATCAGAATTTAGGCAAATGTACATATTCCACTTCACCCAGGAACAATTACTAATAAATACACATGTAAGGACATTTTAGAATATTATTTGGAATTCATCGGAAATAAAACAAGGCAGATACAGAATCAGCTAACACATATTGTGACAAAACTGCATATCAAAATAAAGCACTCACAATTTTAAGTGGAATATTTTCAAAATCAGCATTTTAATAGACCCAGAGATGTATAATCAAGATATAATACAAAGTTTATATGCATGTCTAAGAAAGAAACTGTATCAAATGGCTCTAACTTTGCTTCATTATCATGACCCTTATGACAAAAATGGTCAATTCTAATGATCCAGCACATGTGAAATATGTGTATTAATAGACTTTGTACAGGTATTTATTTTCAAAAATAAGAGTAAAGTTTTACTATAAGTGTAGTTTATGGGTTCAGTAATGGACCCTAATAAACCTGGATATCATATTAATACAAGGAAGACATTAACAATGGGTGTCATTTTATGATTTTATAAACATGTCTTTATTTGAGCATTTAACTTTAAGGAATATCATGTGAAGAAAAAATAATTTGAGGCATTTTCCTCCAAATCCAGGTGTACATGTAAATATTAACATAAAACAGATTACATCAGCAGTATTTCTACCATCTGATCACCAACAGACTTCTTCCCATATTCTCTCCCTTTTTCAGAACCCTAAAAATATCTTTCCAAGACAAATCTGAATTACACAAACTAAAGATAGATCCATTCAAAACATGCTGAAGACATCAGCAAATGCAAGCACAATACAATGACCTTGCCAAGAGAAGAAATTTTTTATCTCAAATTCTTCGCCTGTATCTTTCCAAAAGCCTCTATGACACCCCCGTCAGAAGATATCTGTAGTTTGATTTATAAACAATCATAAAACAATGAACGGATAAATTCTAATCTCTGACCAATTCAACTCACCCTTAGACAACAATGGGCTAAAATTACCAGAACACCAGTGGCAGCTTTGAACAGGTTTATGATTTTAAGTAAGCTGTTACTAAGTATAGCTGACGGAGGTTTCCCTATCTATAGTAAATTGATGAGTCATCGCTACATTCAGTGGAAGGCAGTGTGTACAGTGGGTTATTTACAGACAGCACAGAGCAAATATTGACAGTATGAAAAGCAGAGACGATACCAAAATACAGCAGTCTGTGTTTACCCTGATACAATTTTTTTTTCATTCAGAGAGGAAAATATTGGAATGTGTGCTGTGTATTATTCTTTTTTATTTTACATTCACTTTAAAAAAACTAAACTGAACAAAATGGATAGTGGATTTCCAAGAAGCATCAAGCACAAAATATTGTGTGGGTGAAAAAGCTTGTTTTTATAGGGTTTAATAATGAGTCCTTCCATTTAACTTCCTTTTTTTTTTTTATAAAACTTAAATGCAAGCTTCTGGTCCTACATGTACCTACTATGATAATACAAGCATAAATTTAATACAAGCTTCTCATATTTTATACATGCACTAAGACTGTAACCTTGCAAATGTTTTGGACTTGAATATTTGTGGAAATGGATATTTGAAATTTGACATAAAGTAGATGTGTGAATTGAACAGGTACTTTAGGTAAAAAAAAAATGCAACAGTGACTGTGAAATCTTAAAATAACACACATGGAAATTTATTCATGCGTCAGATATTACAACTGCGGGAGAAAAATTTCCATGTGAAATTCTACACATTCCCGTTATGTTACCTATATAAGTGACCTTGTACTTACATGTATATGTATATCATGTATATGTAGCTTATACAATTATGAACTGGGTAAAATATGAATAGTCCACAAAATGAATAGCATTCCTCTGGTATGTTATGCCGAGTTGTCTCTAAAAATTGAAATATCTTCTGTATCTTCCTCAGAAAAGATTAAGTAGAAGGAGATCAGGGGTTCCTACCCTAACTGGGGGTTGATGGTGAATACCAGAATAAATGACAAATTATATCATAACAGGCAGGAAAATTTCCCCAGCCCCCTTGTCTTAAAGACAGCCCTGGTTGTGTACATATGAGTGAACTTGCATGTACTTATGCAGTTTACAATTGTACGGAGCAGGGGTAAAATATGATACAGTCCAAAAATGAGTTCCATTAAGTATAAAATGTATGCTGTACTTATGCGAATGCTGAATTCCATATTTAATTGTTAAGGTAATAATTAATTCACGACTGCCTTTTGAAAAATTCAATTTTTAAGAAATCATAATACATGCATGATAAAATGCTTAAAGTACATGATTTACAACTACTTCATTGTTTTTCATTCTCAATACTTTGTAATGGTGAAAGAAGTTAAAAATAATGAAGAAATTGCTGAGAACATTGTGCCTATCTAGCCATTAGCATGCATACAGGTCCCCACATAAAAATGATAAATGCACTTTATCCATTCAGGGAAGTCACTGTAGATTTAAAATATACCTGTACACATCTCATCCCAGTAAAACAGATCCATTCAACCCCTACTTAAAAATTTTAAACAAAAACCTTGATGACATCTGCAGACAGTTGAAGCCTATATATAAATGTACATCATCCAGTTCTCTACTATTTCCCCCTCATAACCATTCCTAAGACAGATTTATACCCTGGCAGTGATTCCTCCTCGATTCTGATATCGTCTGAGGCAGCAGGGAATTTCCTGTCCGTTATACACAGCTCCCAAATACTACTCATTCACAATGTTTTACAAAATGTGGAGTTTACACTGATAGTAACCTAAAGACTACCAATAAACTGAATAAAATAATCACAATGGTACAGAACATTCTGACATACTATGAACTAAAAGAGGCCCCTGGACCTTGAAGGTCACCTCGGTACATGAATTCTACAAATTTAGTTGAGACTAAATGCTTATTAAAATCATTCAGTTTGCCTGCTATATGTCCACAAGTATAAAGATAAATTCTTATTTCTTGGTATATTTTCAAAATGTGAGCAACTTTTAGAGTCCCACCCTAGATCTGAACTTTTGAATTTCAGAACTTTGATAAAGGGGCTACCTGCTCTTTATAACCCAGAAAAAAGTCATCTCAAAGACTAAGGTGAGCTAAAATCAATATATTTTCAAAGCAATCTGAGAAAATGTCTATCCTTTTTAATTTTGATTTTAAATGCAGACTTGGCATGAGAACCTGACTATAATCTGCTAGCAACCTCCTTTAAAATCTCATTCATAAATCCCAAACAATGGCTGCCTCCAGTCAAGCAAAAAAAAAATTAAAACTTGAAAACTACAACTCTGGATATTGGATATATATACTTCCATTCATAAAACTATAAATATACCACTACAAAGATTTAATTAATGACCACACCAGAATTCTATTCAGAAGTGGGATTTAAATGTTTTGGGATTGTTTTCCTGGCCATCTGTTCAATTGTCAGGTGACAAGTATACATAGATTATATGTGTACTCATACATGATCAAGAAACAAAATAAATTTACTGCAGCATTCTAAGTGTTGGTGATCTGTTTTATTACTTTATATCTGTTTTCCCAACTTAAGCCTATTGAATACTCTTTGGTATCCACACGTGAGAACCTTCCGCAATTTTAAACCTCACGCCAGTCAAGGTGTTGATCCCCCGTTTTTTTCTTTGTTTTGTATCATACATTTATGATCAATTATGGATATTGAAATATAAAGTGACAGCTATTCAGGACTACCTTCCCTCTTTCCCTTTCCCCTCATCCACTCAAGATTAATGGTAAAACAGGGAAAAACATCAAATAAAGCAATAACTGTAAGGATATATAAATAAGGTTTAAAATTAACATCAGTTTTCATTAAATTAAGCTACTAAAGTACTTTATAAATTAAGTATTCTGAGTATTCTACAATAATGATTAATATATGTAAAATGACCTCCTCTTTTAAAATACAGTTGTGGCAATGATAATTGACATCTGATTCAAAGATTATTAATATATTAAATTATACGACATGTAACTGAAGAAAAGTAACATTCCAGGCTTCTGATTCATACTACAAACAAGTCAATATCATAAAAGCAAAACAAGTCAACAAGTGAACAATTACACAACATATGTGTCTCAAGTATATGTACAAACACATGGGGGAAATTGTTAACATGCCTCATCTGTTAATTTCAGAGTAGAAGAAAAAAGTTTTTTCCTTCATCATGTTCATATAAAATCTAGATTTTAAAAACAGATTTTGTAAGAAATAAATTTTAAGATGCTATGAAGACGAAATATAGGTTTAAACCCTCAGACATCAAACACTTACAAAATTCAAATTTCCACGCCAAAAATATGCACTTCGACTCAAATGTTCAAACCTTTGCATATATCAAATGTATTCCCAGGTGTCCAACCATCCCAGCAGATGTGGGTATCCATCACCAAAAAGGAACTATCACAACACTCTACATGCACTTCAAGCTTTACTAAGTGTTTTGTTACATGCGCAGACACTTTTTTTTTTAGTTAAGTAGACTTGCAAAATGAGGATGAGACCCCTTTACTTAATTATACAGCAGTGTCTCAGGATTAAGTACCTGTTGAGCACATTTTAGAAACTGACTATAGTACATATTATATACATATATACTATTTGTGTACAAAGCTCTGTTGCATTGCATATAGTTTTACAATTCAATTTTGTCCTATTTGTAGCTTTACTGGTTCCAGCTCATCTATACAAGTAAACCCTATCTGAACCTATCCCTCTTTTATGGGAGTTTCCTCTATTTTTGTTTTCAGCCTTGACTGTAGCTGAAGAGTCTGTATGAAGCTGGGGATTACTCAATGACTCAGAGTCACCAAATCAATAAGTATCTATTAACCAAGGTTGGTATGGAGACCACTGATGAATGACTGGGAAATCCAACAGCCCATGACCAATTTCAACTCAGTCCCAACTTTTTTTTTCTTTCTTCAGACTGAATGAGATTTTGTATTATTTCCTCCCATTTTCACTCCCTTTTAATTTAAGTACAATCAATTTCTAGTGTAATTGTCATAATGGGGTCATGCTTATGCTGAAAATCAATGACTGATATCACACATAGACCACTGTGTGTCATTACAGATTTAAACACAAGGCATACTCAGCTAAACATGTTGACTCAAAGAACCAAAAATATAATTTGACTCTCAAAATTCATATGCATTTGAAATTAAATAAGTGACATGTATGACTGGCATCCAGGTTTAACCCCAGAAACCACAAGCAATGTCCCATGAGACATAGGTTTTGGGTCAATAACGTATTTCACTTCTAAAGAGGTTTCTGCTGAAGAAAGGTTGAATAATGGTGTTGGGTTAATGCACAAATGATCACAAAAACTGCAGGTAGACTGGAAAAAAAAATTTCATGGAAAGATAGATAAAACCCCATATATATATGAAGTAACAAGTTACGGAAGAGGAGAAAATTGCAGGGGACCAGACTGGGCTTCGAACCTCGGCCCCCTGAATCTCCAGTCAGGTACTCTAACAAGATAGACCAACTGAACCTCGGCCCCCTGAATCTCCAGTCAGGTGCTCTAACAAGATAGACCAACTGAGCTATCTAGATAGACCAGCAATCGAATCCGACTGACCTCCACATATATAAAACCAGACCAGGTATTCAATAACACATTACATTATACTTAGGTATGTACTTATAATCATGCTAATGGGAAAAAAAAAATCTTTGATATCAGGAACTATGAAGAAAAAAAAAAACCCAAACATATATAAATAAATCTCATTCACTTTTTTGAGAGAAAATCAGAATTGTTGACCTGAAACTACCAATTAATATACATTTGTTTCTCATTCAACATGTTCAACTTAACAATACAATTTTTGTGATGCCCCTAAAAATTCAAGTGCTATATACATATTACTGCATTCTTTTCCACATGATAAACATTTTTGTGGCATTCAAACCCTTACACTGTACATGAATGAAATCAACTCACCACTTCAAACTGAATTTCAACATCTTAAAATGCACAGAATTCTGCTTTTGACCCAATTATTAAGAACTTCATGATAATATGGATTACATACATTTTAACACATGCTGCACAATTCCTGAACAACTTCTATACAAATACACCTGTTGATTTTTTCAAGGCAATGATGCAATCATAATTTCTGCTGCAGATTTTGGCAAATATAAAAATCAGAAAAATATGAGACACAAATGTCTGGCACCCTTTGCGAGCAAGAAATGACTTTCTAAGAAACCTGATGGAAACTTAAGAATCGGTTAACATGGTTAATGATAAACAGATATGATATGACATTTTTTATGCATATTTTCTTTACAATGCACTCAAATGGTAATATTCCTGAAATATATGTAGTTTTTATAGATGTGCTCGTATCTTCTAATCAGAGACCTATGATATTTGGAACTAAAGAATATAACTGAAATGGGTTAAGGCCATCTTAATATCCCCTCATAGGATGTGTGTGTGTGGGGGGGGGGGGCAAGGACATGGCTTAAGGCAAAGTGCCTCCATCCACCGAAAGAGAGTTCACATACAACCAATTTTTTATGCCTAAAATCACTTTCCTCTAAGTCGTGACACTTATTTTAGATAGTATTCACACCTTACATCCAAAGGTCAAGGTAGCGACCATAAGATCAATGCCACTGGAGAACTACTTTTAACTGGGTAAGTGGGAGATTCCTCATAAATTTCTGTAGGAATTGTGGAAATGCTTAATAATTTATCCAGCAAATTATTGGAATTTTTCTAAGTCCAAGGAGCATAACTCTGTCCAAATGGCCTGATAGCACCCAAAACTGAACTTGATCTAGATAATCTTATGATACAGTGTTTTCCCTAAGAATCGACTATTGGCCAAATTGACCACTTCAATTGACAAAAATTCTGCTTCCAAATAAAACCTTGTTGTAAGGTCCACAAAGATTCTATTCATAAACCTCAGCCCCTAGCCTGTTACAACTGATCTTTAACCCTTTTCTTTGAAATAAAGGGAAAACACTTTGATAAATTTGTAAACCAAATTTCATTTCAATATGTCCAACTGCTGTGAAAAAAATGAACAGAAACTGATGGTGTACCGAAAGACAGACAGACCAATCCACAGACAGCAGCAAAGCAATATGCCCTCCCTTCTTCAAAGGAGGGCATAAAAAAAGAGACCCAAAGGCCACAATGCTCACCTAAGTAACCAATTTCTTTGAATATATACATATAAAGAAAACCTCTCATAAACAAGAGATGTTTGTAAAACACTTTATGCTCCCCTCTCCAAAATAATTAGAATATTTCTAAGCCAACAGGGCATAACTCTGTCAAAAACGGCTTGTTCATACCCAAAACAGAACTTGACCTAGATATTTTTTTATGATAAACCTGTATACCAAATTTCATTTCAGAATCACTATGTGCAACCCCTGTGAAGAAAATGAATGGAAACTGCAAATAAATGGAATTTTTCCCAAGTCCAAGGGCATATCTCTGTCAAAAATAGCTTGATCGTCCCAAACCAAAACTTGACCTAGAAATTCTTATGATAAATCTGTATACCAAATCTCATTTCAGTATGTGCAACCACTTCGAAGAAAATGAACAGAAACTTGGTGGAGCAACAGACTGACCGACTGACAAGCAGCAGCAAAGCAATATGCCCTCCCTTCTTTGAAGGGGGGCATAATAAAAAATACAACTAAATAAAACTTGATTTGAGTAATTAACCCAATGCTTTGAGTTTTACAGTGTACATTAAATAAAAATTTCCTTCCCTTTAGACACCTCGCATGCTTATATGAAATTTACACTTCTGTCAATCACAAAACTTAGACAAGGAACAATTTCTTCAATTTTCAAATTATAAAACAAAGAACATGGTACAATTAGTGTCCTTATCTAAATCAAATTTGGCATGAATAATTCCTTACATATGACTCTAAAAATTACACTTTTACAACATTCAATGAAAGCCCTGGTGTAGAGCCACTATTAGCCATCCAGCATAATTTCTCTATATCCGATTCTAAGACATTGACACATTTTTTAAATAAAAAGGATAGATCAGCATATCCAGTACACAAATATACACTATAGATCCGGATGGGAATTAAGTATTCACTAAAAATTTTATTGCACATTTCCCTATTCATTATCTGAAGCTAATTTTCTGTACCTATCTCAAGTAATGTATCTCATTCTGAATACTGTGCAACAACCAGGAATATATACATATCACTTGCAATCTCATCAAATGCAAGTAAAATTTAGTATGAGCTGAAAAACTTTAAAAGTTTAATAACTTGTTCACCTACATGTTAATTTCATTGGTTTGGCAACCCTACGTCAGTATGAACAATTTTTTTTTTTTTACTGCAGATCACAATTAAACCTATTATTGCAATGCATTTCGCATGATCTATTGCATGGCAATGCATTTGTCCCTGTTTTTCAAAGTCAATGAGAGGAAGCCTTGCTTATTCTTAAAATTGATGATCATTTCAGAATTAACACTGATTTGAGTTTTTCATTTTGTTTTGTTTTTAATCACTTTAAATAAAGTTATATGCTGCTTAAACATATAGCAGTAGCCTGTAGGATTGAATTTTTTGGAGCCTGCTACACAGACTTATCTAGGCTATGATATTCCCCATTTTCAAAAGGTGAGTTATTTCCCCTGAAGGGAACTCTTTTACTGTGTTTAATACGCATGCGCTATAAATAAAGTCACTTCCGCGGACGTTCTTGATGTAAACATGTTCGTGGTGTAATGCCTCTGTCATATGGAAAATATTATTGTGTTTGTGAATAAAAAGAAATCTTAACTGATTCGTATTTTTTTTTAAATTGCCCACTCATAGTCTCTTTTTGGATTTGTATTAATCTGTGTAGTACTATAATAAGGTGCTGTGTGACACCCCCCCCCCCCTCACAAAAAAAAAAAAAACAAAAAAAAAAAAAAAAAGAAACAAATTACTGATAAAATGCTGATACATATTCGAATAGGCCTATTTAAAAAAAAAAAAGCTAATAAGCTAATTTTCGGTAGTGGATGTTCTGCAGACGGATCATCATTATTTACAAAATGTGCGGAACAAATTTTTAGTTATAAAGTTTATACGAATTAATCTAGCCTGCTGCAGCCATATTTTCTTTGAATCTCTAGGAATTTTTTGGAGACTGATGACATGTCCATCTACAGTTTTACCTCTGAAATTGCTGCATATACAGCAGTAGTTCGTCTTCCGCGACCGACAGTCTACGCGAAAGTTTAAAATTTTTACAGGACAAAATGTCTGGTAAAAATAAAATTTTTACCAGACCGAACAATTTCTTACCAGACCGACTTTTTTCGCCT